ATGCGCGAAATGGGAGATTCGGAATCTGTTCTTTCCAGCTATAAGCATGTGATGTATCAAAGTGGAATCATGTAGGTAATGTGCAATAATGCAAGAGTTAAGGAGACAACAGCCAAAGCCAAAACAAAATGTATTAAATTAGCAAAATATGATATCATTAGCCTATGTATATATATAGTGAAATGATGCAACGATACATTTTGACACAAGAAACTTACATAGATGTTTCCTCCACAAATACATGGGCCATGCCCTGCAGGGAATAGATCTAAAACCAGACAACCCTTGCAGCTGCTCACAAATGGATTGCACAGTGCCCGCCCTGCCTTGATAGACGTACAATGCCACTAATAGACTTCAATCATGTATAGCATGCACACGGCACACTAAGGGGATGCACACACCATTCTAATCCGCACATTTTCCAAATAAGCAAGCCAACTCATCTAATGCCTCAATTGAAACAGCTTCATGCAATTGTATCCCTCGCAGCTGCTCACATAGGGGATGCACACCTTGTCGTCCGCACACACCCGGTTGAGCCGACACGGCTGGTTCACCCCGTTGTTGTCACACAGCCAAGGGCACAGGCGGTGCCTGGGGGTGCAGGGAGAAGGAACTGGAGTGCCAGGCGCAGGGGGAGGAGGCGGAGAGGCTGTACCTGGGGGAGGTGGGGGGGAGCCTGCCTCCGGGGGAGGCAGAGTGGGTACCTCGAAACCAGGGGGAGGTGGGGGGGAGGCTACCACTGGGGGAGGCAGAGTGGGCACCTCAAAACCAGGAGGCGGCGGCGGGGAGGCGACCACTGGGGGAGGCAAAGTAGGTACCTCGAAAACAGGGGGAGGCGGCGGGGAGGGGTCTGACGCTGGGAGAGGAGAAGGAGGCTCAGATTGAGCCATGACTGCAGCCAGACAACACACGGAGCGGGTTCCGGGTGGAACAAGGGGGTACAGGATAGCGGTTAGATATGCACGCATAGTAAATTCATAACGAGGTTCAGAGAGGCATTAGTTTCAAAGCACGCCTTCTGTAGAAGAATGGGCAATGCAACGCAACGCAACGGACGGGGAGCATTTGAGGCGCCTCAGAATCAAGCCACAGGGGAATCGACGGTGGAAAGGGTATTGAGACGTTTCGACACTCACACCCTCAAGAATCCAGACACGAGGGAATTGACGGATTTGATGGAAGGAGTTTTGAGGCGTCTCACCACTCGTTGAGAGTCCTCAAAAATCATCACACAAGGGGTTCTCCGGTGGAAGGACCTTTTTGACGTCTCAAACTGTATTGGGGCCCCCCTAAAATCAAGACACCAAGGGAATTGACGGACCTGATAGAAGGACGAGCACGACGAGAAGAATGGCGATCGCCGAGATTCCTTTGCCTCCCGTCATCGTCTCAGGAGGAGACGTTCCGTTGAATCGGCTCAAAGGCGACGGTAGCACGGGCCAGAAGCGCCGATAGATGAGTCCTTCGCCGTGTGGAGGAGAGTATTACTCCTGGAGCCAAAACATTGAGACTGGTGACGATCCCGACGGATGTCAGTATGGATTATGGATGAGAATCTCCCGGCGCTCTGTATACTATTTTGGTATTGTCTCGCTGACGCCTGATCGGGGTAAGGCGAGCCGCGAGGACTGACTCGAAAGACGGGACGTGATTGGCCAGGGTCTCGTCGAGATTGACGGACGGGCCAGTCACGTCTCGTGGCAGCAAGGATGCCAGAATGAGTCGTTCGCGACGTTCGCGAGGCAGTCGCCTTTTCGCGAGGCCGTCGCCTCTTTGCCAGGCCAACATCGCCTTTTGGTTGGGCGGTTGTCAAGCACACGTGGGTGATATTACGACGAATTTCACGTGTGGTGAATCGTGACTGAGCTAGCAGCAAGTATGCCGGAAGGCAGCAGCAGGGAGGCAGCACCGCAAATAGGACATGATACTGTAGTGGGACTGTAACGTAACGCAACCGCCACGCTCCATGTCAGTTGTAACGGCAAGCTGCGCAACTGCACGAAGAGGCACGACGGCTTAGCGGCATGGGAGCGTGAGGTTCAGCTGAACCCCCCATTCCCCCGAGCGTGGGATTCAACTGTAAGAGAAGTTGCTAAGTTTCCCCCCTTCCTTTCTCTGGGTACAGTACTAATGGAAATGTGTGGGTGGCCAGGAACCGCCGGACCGGAATCTGTTATCTGTGACTTGAGCTGGTTTTTTTTGGGAAGAGAAAAAAAAGCTGCTCAACTCGCTCAGTCGGGACACGGGAATAGCAGAATCCGACGAACCGACCATGGCAGCTATGTTGTCTTTTGTTTTACATCTACAAAACAAAACGCAACACAGCTGCTGCATCTTTCTCAAAGCACCCTGTAGAATCGGCGAACCGACCATGGCTGCTGCTGTTGCACATGCATGCGGGGAAACAGAGACCATATCTCCGCTAAACTGGCTCGATTGGAATCTTGGTGTGGTACAGCCAGCGTTAGCAGCGAGAGATTTGGGATTAGCAATACCCGACGAACCGACCATAGCTGCTGCTGTTACGCATGCCTACTGGGAGAAAGAGACCCTTTCCCGCTGATCTGTCTCGACTTGGTCCGGCTGGCCTAGTTAGAGCCTAAGTAAGCTGCCCGCGGACCTAGTTAGAGCCAAACGAAGCAGCGGGAGACTGATGAGGCTTGGATCAAGGCAAAGAAATAACAGTGAAACAAAAATCGCTGGGAGACCCAACTTGGGAGTTCCTGTAGTCAAATCTCTGACTCAAGCCATGGCGCCAAGGGAAGGAGAGCGAAGCGGGTCGACACGGGTTACCAGGCTGGCAGCCGCCTGTTGGGGGATGGCGATACCTGGCGACACAACGAAACGCGAAACGAAACGCGCGATATGGGAGGTGAGCGAAAGTGAACAGCAAAGCAGTGGGTTTCTGGTGCAGCAGGGATGACAGGTGGGGATGGAGGGTGGATTGTGCTCGTTATTAGTCGAACCAGAAACATTTAAGTTCGTCAGAAGTAAACGAATATAATGACACTTTCCCGACTCTCGGAAACACAGCCACTAACCACTGTGCTGAAGGGGCAGTAGCGGGTCAGCGCCAGGCCTCTCGATATAAGGGTGAAATAGGCTGATGACCCTTACTATAAGGGTGGGATGCGCGTTGGAAGCTTATTTTTTTGAGTGATTTTCTTACAGACCCTGATGAGAAAAAGCACATTTGCTTAAGGCCCTGATTTTTAAGAGTGCTTGGGTGTAGGCACGCTGACGAGGAAAAGTGTCTCCGAGGCCGACCCTTCCACGAATTTCCGGCGGAGTCCTCGACTACCAGATACATTCCTCCCACACCCCTTGCAACCTGTTATTTTTATTTTCAAAGTCCCCACCCCCCACACTAAAGATTTTCTCCCCACACCTCTACCAACCCAAAAAAATGTGCTAAGTCCCCCACACCATAGACATTTCTCTCCGCACCTCTAGCAACCTGAAAAATCGGCAAAGTCTCCCAGACAAGAGACATTCCTCCCCACACCCCTCCCATCCGAAATTTTCGGCGAAGTCCCATTCATTGCAGACATAATCCTCCCATACCCCTAGCCTCTCGCGAGGTCTTCGCTAGGCCCTCCGATTGTCGGAATTCTAGTTTCTGACGGTCGTCTGACGGTGAACTAACGGGGTTCGTCTAACCGTCTAGACGGGCGGAATTTTAATTTATGATTTCCCTGACGATCACATTCTCGATGTCCAAAGTTTCAAAAGTTGCTCCCCCCCCCCTTCCCCACCCCTTCCCCCCCATGTTTCACCCTTCTTAGTTTAATCTCTGTGAACTTAGTCAACCAAGATTGGTAGAAAACAGATTCGTGACGAATTGCGGGTGGGGGGCAATATTGGAAGATGGGCGGCAAAAGAATGGGGGGCGGGCGAATCTACTATTCAGGTCACAAACTACGACTTAGGCGCAGTTCGCTAGGGCCTTGTTCCCTGACAGTTTCAGCCAAAAATCAGCGCCATCCAGGTGGCAATTTCATGAAGGGCCAATGCACGCCCTACAATGCGCAGCGTCATGCAAACAACAGCACTTTGCACTGTGTAAGACAGTATTTCTATTCTAACCTTATGTCGAAAACCAAAAATTTTATGGACCCTTATATGTAAGCCTACCAAAAAAATCTTGCCTTACAGGAATGAGTGCTTTGGGGGGGGGAGGCTGATGAAAATGAGTACTTCAATACCTATCCAGAGGCCTGGTCAGCGCCCCATAGACCCCCACGCATAGCAGCCTATGGCCCTTCCGAGGATCTTCTAGGTAGGGCGACCCCAGCAGGTCTCTTGACACAGACCAACCCCTCTAGCTCAAACACTACACGACACAACACGATAGAATTATGGTTCGTTAGTGCCATTAAAACAACTAGCAGGGTCAAAGAATAGCAAATAGCAGCCCCAATATGCATACACAACCACTTAGTGCAAGGAAATTAGAGTGTAACAACCTCCGTGATCAAAGTTTATCAAGCTATTACCGTATTTCCCCGGATATACGCACCGCCAGCTAAAACGCACCACGGTGCGTATATCCGGAGGGGTGCCATATCGGATGTGCCAATGATACGCACCCCCCCATTTTCCAGATTCTAATCCCTATACGCACCCCCCTTTTCCCCGTCGGAATCTCGCACTGACTATGTTGACTGTACATTTCGCATCAAGTTTACGTGAGGAATCACTTCGTCACACAAAATCGACCCCTGACCTTCCGACTCATCGAAGGTATGGTCAGCAAAGCTCTGCTGCCATGTCAGATGAGAGAACGGATGGCCAGGATCGCCCACGCTAGCCTGCACGCTGGCAAACTGCAGCGAACGTGCTGCTTGGCTGACGCGTCAGTCGTCTAGGAAGCGATTTTGGCGGGACTTCTCTGGTTGTTCCCGTTTGGGAGCATTCCATTCGATTGCAAATTGTTCTAGCTACATGTTCATGTTCGTTTCAAAAGTTTCCTTAAGAACGTTTTTAACGCACCGTGCCATATCAAAAAAATCCAATTAAACGCACCCCCAAAATTTTGACTATAATCCCTATAAGCACCTAGGGGCGTATATCCGGGGGAATACGGTAGGTTATGTGTTCCTTGTATCACAGTTGCACCCAGGGAGAGCTTCTTGACCGGTGCATCAGCTCCAAGTTCGCGTCAAACAAGGCCTGCGAAATCAGCCGCTGCTCCTGAGCCATCCTCTCGCGTTCGGCCTGAAGCTGTAGCTCAGCCACCTGCATCCGCTGCTCCTTAGCGAGAAGCTGCAGGCAGGACAGGAGAGAAGTGACACTTAAAAGATAAATACACTGTGTAACAAGCTCTGAAAGCAAGAGGGCCATATTCGCTGAGGTTTAAGGCAAAAAAGAAAAGGATGCAACAGGGGCTGAGATGGGAGGAGAGTGCAAGAGGGGCTGGGGCTGGTGTGAGAAGGAGAGCTCAACTGAGGCAGCGGAAAAGGCAAACATAACGATACCCTCACCAGGGTCTCCAGAGCCTTAAGGCGGTATGAGAAAGGAGAATCGAAAGGTGGCAGCAATATGAAGAGCAAACAGGCAGAGGGCTCACCTGGGTCTCCAGAGCCAGAAGCTGCTTCTGGCCCTCCTGATCTCTGAGTCGACTCAAACGTCTATGTGAGAAAGGAGAGTTGAAAGGCGGCAGCAATACGAGGAGCAAATGGGCCAAGGGCTCACCTGGGTCTCCAGAGCCTGAAGTTGCTTCTGGCTCTCCTGCAGCTGCTCCCTCTCCCCCTGAATCCTCTGCTCCATCTCCTCCTGCCTCTGCTCCAGGCCTTCCACCTGCAGGGAAGAGACACAGGGAGAGCACACAAGAAAGCAGGGAGTCTTTAATCTGAGGCGCCTCAGAACTCTCCCCCTGAATCCTCTGCTCCATCTCCTCCTGCCTCTGCTCAAGACCTTCCACCTGTGAGCACGAGAAAAACGCAGGGACGATTGCAGAGAACACACCAAGGCAACAAGTGCTGGTTGAGGCGCCTGGAGACTGTCTCCATGAATCCTCTCTTCCATCTCCTCCTGCCTCTGCTCCAGGCCTTCCATCTGCAGGGAAACACGCGGAAGACACAGGGCAGAGCAGGCGATAAGTGAAATGTCGAGGCACTTAAAAACTCTCCCCTTGAGCCCTCTGCCCCATCTCCTCCTGCTGCTCAAGAGCTTCCACCTGCAAGGAAACACAAGAAGGGCACAGGGCAGAGCATACGGGAAGGCAACAAGTGCTGTTTCTAAGCGCCTGAAATCTCTCCCTTCGAGCCCTCTGCTCCATCTCCTCCTGCCTCTGCTCAAGACCTTCCACCGGCAGCAGTGAGAAAGATGCAGGGAAAACGCAGAGCACACAAACAGGCCATGAGAATAGGTGATTTTTGAGTCGACTCAAAAGTCACCTCGTTACAATGTCACAAGCAGGCCATGAGAATACAAGAGGATGTTTACAGCCCTTCACAAGGACTTGATTAGTGATGAATAAAGAAGGGCAAGAAACGCCATTGGTTCCCCAGGCTCTCACCTTCTGTCTCAGCGTCTCTCTGCCTGCACAGCAGCCTGTCTCTTCTGAGACGTCACACATAATTTGTCTCTTGCTCTCACCTTGTGCCTCAGCATATTTTTTCTCACCTTGTGCCTCAGCGTCCGATTCTCCTCCTGCACAGCAGCTTGGATCCTGGCAATCTCTCGCTCCATCCTCTCCTCCCTCCGCACCTCCCTTTCTACATACTCCTGCCGCACCCTTCTCTTCTCCGCCTCTACCGCCGCCACCACCTCCTCCTCCCGCCTCCTCATTTCCCTCTCCCTCTCCCTCACCTCCTCCCCCATCCTCCTCATCTCCTCACTCAGATTCCTCACTTCCTCTCCCCTCCTCTGTAGCTCATCCTCACACTCTTTTAGTACCTTCTCCCTCCCCTCCTCTACCTCCGCCACCCTCCCTTCCAACTCCCTCACTCTCTCCCCCAACCTCTCCTTCTCTCTCACATCCTCCTCACTCTGCTCCTCTAACTGGCTCCTCACCACCACCAGCTCATTCACTTGTTCCTTCAGTCCCATAGCACACTCTTTCTCCTCACTGATCTGTGCCAGTAGCCCCTGCACCTCCCCTTGCAACCTCCCCACCCGACCCTCCCTCTCCTCTACTTCCCCCCTCAGCCTCCATTCCAGCTCCTTCCACGCAGCTTCCTTCTCCCTCACCCCATCCTCCATCTGCCTCTGCACCGCCACCCACTCCTCCTCCTTCCTCTCCCCCTCCCGCCGCATCTCCTGCATCACTCCTTCCAGCACCTCCTTCTCTGCTTTCAGCTGCTGCAAGCCTGCCTGTAACCCAACCTCCCTGACTGTCATCTGCTGCAGCCCTGCCTCCAGCTCAACCTTCCGCACCTGCAGCTGCAGCAGGGAGGCCTCCATATCCAACCGCTCCACCTTCATCGCACTCACCTCCTCCTCCCCGGCCTTCTTCGCCTCTTCTAGTTCCTTCACTGCCCCTTCCAGCCTCCGCACAGTGCCCTCACGCTCCGCCAATGCATGCTCTAGCTGCATCACAGTTCCCTCACGCTCTGCCAATGCTTCCTCCTGCTGCCTCACACTGCCCTCACGCTCCGCCAGTGCATTTTCCAGCCGGCTCAAAGTGCCTTCGCGCTCCTTCACTGCCCCCTCGAGCCACCTCACAGTGCCTTCACGCTCCTCCAAAGCATGCTCTAGCTGCGTCACAGCGCCTTCGCGCTCCCTCAAGGCTTCCTTCAGCTGCAGCAGGGAGGCCACTAACTCCGACCGCTCCTCCTTCATCGCACTCACCTCCTCCTCCCCGACCTTCTTCGCCTCTTCTAGTTCCTTCACTGCCCCTTCCAGCCACCTCACTGCACCCTCGCGCTCCGCCAAGGCATCCTCCAGCCGGCTCACAGTGCCCTCTCGCTCCCTCAATGCGTCCTCTAGTCGCTCTACAGCGCTCTTACTCTCGTGCAACGAGTTCTCAAGCTCGCAGTTAGCACTCTCAAGCAACCCCTTCTCCCTCTCCAGGCCTCTCACCCCTTCCTCCAGAACCGCCTTCTCACCCTCCAGAACCGCCTTCTCACCCTCCAGAACCGCCTTCTCACCCTCCAGAACTGTCTTCTCTTCCTCCAAAGCCCTTCTCTCGCCCTCCAAACCACTCTTCTCCCCAGCCAGTTCGTTGTTGATTTCCTCCAACTCTCCCATTTTCCCTTGCAGAGACCCATTCTGCTTCACAAGAGCCGCTCTCTCAGCCTCCACTGCTGCCTTCAGTTTCACCAACTCCTCCCTCTCACCCAGCAGCACCCCCTTCTCTGCTTGCAGGGACCCATTCTGCTCCACAAGAGCCGCCCTCTCAGCTTCAAGCTCCCCTTGCCGCACCTTCAGTCCATCCCTCTCAGCTTCCACTGCCACCTTTTCTCTCACCAGCCCTTCCCTCTCACCCAGCAGCGCCTCCCTCTCTCCGTTCAGGCATCCCAACTGCTCCACCAGGCGAGCCCTCTCAGCTTCAACCTCCCCTAGGTTCACCGTCAGCTCCTCTCTTTCCTCTGCCAGAGCACCCACCCTTTCCTCCAACCTCGCCCTCTCCTGCTCCCCTGCCTCAATTTCCCCTTCCGCCCTCTCCATTCTTTCCTCCAACTCAGCCTTCTCATGCTGCAACACCTCCCTCTCATGACGCAATCCGCCCCTCTCAGTCTCCAACCCAGCCTTTTCAGCTAGCAAACTCTCCCTCTCCGCCTCCAACCCCTTCTTAGCCGCACTCAGAGCTTCTAATTCCGACTTCAGCTGCCCGATTTCACTCTCCATCTCAGCCTTACCAACCAGCAACTCCTCCCTCTCCGCTTCCAGCTCCCCCTTAACTGCGGCCAAAGCCGCCCCTGCCGACCTCAGCTGGCCGATTTCGCTCTCCATCTCGCCCATGCGCGCCTGCATTTTCTCCCTCTCCACTTCAAGTTGTGCGTTCTCTGACCGAGATTGATCCAGATCGCCCTGCACCTGCTCTCTTTCTGCTTCGACCTGCCCCATCTCTGACTGCACCTGTCCCAGTTCTGCCTTCAGTTGCGCCCTTTCTGCGTCGACCTGTTCCTTCTCCGACAGAGCTCGAGCCAGTTCGCCCTTCAGCTGCTCTCGCTCCGCCTCAACCTCTTCCTTTTCCAGCCGAGCCTGCACCAGATCTTTCTGCAGCTGCTCTTCGACCTCTTCCTTCTCTGCCAGAGCCTGTGCCAGTGCACCCTGCAGATGCTCCCTCTCCACTTCGAGTTGTCCCTTCTCTAGCCGAGTTTGAGCCAGTTCGCCCTTCAGCTGCTCCCTCTCTGCTTCAACCTCCCCCTTCTCTAGCTGAACCTGTGTCAGATCACCCTGCAGCTGCTCCTTCGCTTCTTCGACGCCTTCCTTTTCTGACAGAGCCTGTGCCAGTGCACCCTGCAGCTCCCCCCTCTCCCCCCTCAGCTCAGCACACTCAGCCTCAACCTCCACCTTCTCACAGCACACCTTCTCCTTCTCTCCCTCTAACCTCCCCACCAGCGCCCTCAGCTCTTCTCGCTCACCCCTCAACTCCGCACACTCAGCCTCGACCTCCACCTTCGCACAGCACACCTCCTCCTTCTCCCTCTCCAGCCTCCCCAGCACAGCCTTTAGCTGCGCATTCACCCCCACTAACCTCTCCCTCTCCCCCACTAACCTCTCCCGTTCCGCCCCCCACTCCTCCCTCTCCGCCTCTAACCCCCCCTTCTCCCCTTCCAACTGCGCCACAGCTGCTCTCAGCTGCGCGTTAGCAGACCTCAGCTGCCCCACACTCGCCTCTAGCTGAACATTGCCCCCCATCAGCTGCCCATTCGCCTGCTCAAGCTCCACATTCGCCTGCTGAAGCTCCAAATTGACATCCCTCAGCTTCCCCACCGTCTCTTCTAACCCCGCCTTCTGCCCCTCCAGTTGAACCACAGCTGCTCTCAGCTGCGCGTTATCCGACCCAAGCTGCCCCACACTCGCCTCTAGCTGCCCATTCGCCTGCCGCAAGCCCACATTCGCATCCCTCAGCTTCCCAACCGTCTCTTCCAACCCCGCCTTCTGCCCCTGCAGCCTCTCCACCCACCCCCTCATCTCCCATCCCTCCTCCTCCAGACCCCTCACCCTTTCCTCCAAACCCTCCTTTTCCTTCACCCACCTGTCACTCTCTCTGCCGAACTCCCTCCTCATTCCCTCCAGCTCTCTCTTCAACCCATCCCTCTCCCCCAGCACCGCATTCAACCGCTCGGTGACTGTATCCAGCTTCCCACGTGCCTCAGTCAAGTCCCTGACTACCCTCTGGTGCCTGGCCGCCCCTTCCTTCACCGCACCCTCCATCTCCTCCTTTAAATCCTTCTCTCTCTGCTCTGCTGCTTCGGCCCGCGCCAGCCACGCTTGCCCCTGCGACTCCGCCTCTTCCCTTGCTGCTTTTTCGGCTGACAAGGCAGCTGCTGCTGCCTCTTCCTGCTGCTGCTGCACCAGCAGCACATGCTGCTCCCTCTCCGTCCACTCCACCTCCTTGGACCCCCACTCGCGCTGCATGTCTGCTCTCTCTCCTTCCAAACAGGCAATGCTTCCCTCTAGCTCTCTCACTCTCTCCTCAACATCCTTCCTCTGCTCTTCCCAAGCCGTCTCCTTCTCAGCCCATGCCCTCTCCTTTACCGCAAGCTCCTGACCCCTCTCCGCCAGTTCATTCCTCACTGCCGCCAGCTCATTCCTCACTGCTGCCAGCTCATCGTTAGCAGCGTCCACGTCAGCCTTAGCTGCTGCCAGCTCCTTCTGCAGAGCTGCCATCTGTGCATCCATCCCTCCCCTCTTCCCCACCCACTGCTGCTCCTTTGCTGCTAGATCCCCCTTCACCGCATAAAGCTCCTGCTCCAGTGCGGCAAGGGCCTCCTCCAGAATAGTTTCCTCGCACGTCCAAGCCTGCTCCTTCTCCTGCCAGTGTTCAATCGCCTGCTCCTTCTCTGCCAGATCCCCCTTCATCACGCAAAGCTCTCGCTCCTTCTCTGCTAGATCCCCCTTCGCCACACAATGCTCCTGCTCCAGTGCTGCAAGCGCCACGCCCAGAATCGACTCCCTGCACGTCCAAGCCTGCTCCTCCTCCTGCAAGCATTCTATGGCATGCTTGATTTCCTTCTCCCTGCCTTCCCACTCCGTTCTCTCCTGCTGGAGGGTTGCAATGCCCTCTTGAAGCTCCCCTATCTGCTCGCCCAGCAACTTTTTCTCCTCCCTCCATTCACCTTCCTTCACGCTCCATCCCTCCTGCTCGGCCGCCATCTCCTCCTTCAGTAAATCAACGGCTGTGAGCAGCTCCTGCTTCTCATGCTCCATGGAATCAACGGCCCTCGTCAGCTTCTCCGCTTCCTGCCTCACGCCTTCCAATTCCTCCTCAACAGCGGCCTTCTCTGCCCTGGCACACTCAAGCTCTGTCTCCATCTCTCCCAGCCGCACCACCTGCTGCTGCGCCAGCACCTCCCACTCCTGCCCCTTGGCGGCCCACTGCTGCTGCTCCCCCGCATAAGCCCGCCTTACAACAGCCAGTTCTGCAGTCAGAGCCGTCGCCTGAGCACACACCTCCTCTCCCTTGGCAACCAGCTCCCTCTTCTCATCCGCCCACTGCTGTTCCTTCCCGGCCCACTGCTGCTGGTCCCCCGCATATGCCTGCTTCACAGCAGCCAGCTCTGCAGTCAGAGCCAAAGCCAGAGCAGACGCCTCCTCGCCCTTGGCAACCAGCTCGCTCCTCTCAGTCACCCACTGCTCCTCCTTCTGCCCCCACTCCTCTATCTGGGTTCTCTCCCGCTCCGCCCATCCCTGTTGCTCAGCTGCGCGTGCTGCCTTCAACCCAGCTATCTCCGCATCCAGGGTACCAATCCGTGCAGCCATCTGCGCGACCTTCTGTCCCCGCTCTTCAGATTCAGTACTCCAGCTGCTCTCCCTCTCCTCCCATGCCAGCTGCTCTGCCGTGCGTGCTTCCTTCAGCCCAGCAAGCTCGTTATCCAGGGACCCAATCCGTGCAGACATTTGCGCCTCACAAACCACCCACTGCTCCTCCTTCCGCTCCCACTCTTGCAGGACAGCCTGCGCTACCTGCTGCGCTGCCTGCTCCTCTGCTGTGCGTGCTGCCTTCAGCCCAGCGAGCTCCTCGTCCAAGGACTCAATCCTAGCAGCCATTCGCGTCTCGCAAGCTGTCCACTGCTCCTCCTTCCGCTCCCACTCTTGCTGGAGAGCTTGCGTTGCCTGCTGCGCTGCCTGCTGCTCCCTCTCTGCTTGCTTCCGTTCCTCCTCCTGCTCCTGCTGCACCAGCTGCAGCTCATGCGTCAGCCTCAGAGCCTCTTCCTGCAGGGAGACTACCACACCCTCCCGTCTCCTCCTCTCCTCCTCCTGCTCCTGCTGCTGCAGCTGAAGTTCCTGCGTGATCCTCAGGGCCTCTCCCTGTAGGGCCCCCACTAACCCTTCCAGTCTCCCCTTCTCCTGCTCCAATTCCTCCCTCTCGTGCTCTATTCTCTCCTTCTCCTGCTCCACCTCCTCCTTCGACTGCAGCAGCCCCAGCTTCTCCTGCTCTGCGTGAGACAGGCTCGTTTCAAGCCATACCAAATGCTCCCTCTGCTCCTTATGCTCCTTCCTCTCCTCCTCCCACTCCCGCTCCTTCGCCGCCCAAGTCAGCTGCTCTCTAATCCACGTCAGCTTCTCCTCCTCCCACTCCTTCTCCCTGCCCGCCCATGCCTCCTCCCTCTCCCCCTTCTCCTCCTCCCACTCCCTCCCACTCTCACTACGCTCAAAACGCCCCCCAGCCAGATCCAACCCCACTGAAACGAGCTGAACCGCTGCTTCCTGCGCCTCTCTGCCCCACGCCTCCTGCTGCTTCTCCCAGGCTCGTTCCAGCCTCTCATAACTCCTGATCTTGGCGTGCAACTCGCGTGTAGCTTCCTCCAGCTTCTGCTCCTTCCGGTCCAGCTCCATTTTGACTGCAGCGAGTTCTGCTTGTAGCGAGGACAGCCACTGCTTGGAGAGCTTCTCTGATTCCGCCATGCTCCTCTCCAAACGAGCCACCTCCGCCCTGCATCGAATCAACACAAGAAGCAGTCAGTTGACTGTCAGTCAGTCGCCAGTTGCCAATAATTCCGGTTTTTTAAGTGGATTGGAAACTACTGACCACTAACCTTTAGAACTTTAAATCACTGACCTGGCAGAGGAGAGGTCAACAGAGAGCACGGCTCTGCTCCTCTCAGCCTCCAGCTGCTCTCTTTCCAAAGAGTCAACCGCCCCTCTGCAAAGTGTGCGGTGCCTCAGAACAAAACAGCGCAATCACAGGTGGATGTAACGGGTACCTACGGTGACACCATCTCACACCTGGCCATTCTCTCACCTGGTGGACGAGAGGTCAGCAGAGAGGAGCGCCTTCTCCTTCTCCCCCTCCAGCCGAGCTGCCTCTGCTGCCATGAGCTGCGCCGCCCTCTGCTCCCTGTCCTGCAGCAGGGCTTCCGCCTGGTGCGGGAAGAGGAGGGCATAGGAGCGCAGACGGGGGCGCATGAAGCAGTGACAGGCCTCGGAACAATCGAATGGGGCATGCGATAGCACACCAGCATGTGCCAACCGAAGCAGCAGCAGCAGCATCCATCTAACCCTCCCCAACCCCTCACCTCTGCTTTCTGCTCTTCCTTTGCCTTGAGCAGCTGTCCTCTCAGCTCCACAGCCTCTGCTCCCGCCTTCCTTGCCTCCCCCTCCGCCCTCCCCAGATCCCTCCTCAGCCCAGCTACGACCTCCCTCAGCCGCGCACACTCCACCCGCCCCGCGTCCCTCTCTCTCAGCGCAGCCCGCAGCTGAGACTGCAGGCCTTTTATCACTCTCACCATCTCCGCGTTCTGCCCATTAACCACACTCCCCGCCCTCCCCACACTCGCCACACTCGCACCACCCCCCACCGGGCCCAAACTTCCTGGCCCTCCTAGACTTTCCTTTCCTGGCGCCAAGCTCATTCGCCCCCGAGGCCCCCCTGGCGTTCCTATCTGGTAACCAGTCTGTGGGCCCACGGAGCAAGGGGCTGGAGCAGGGGAGGCGGGGTGAGAGTCGGAGGAGGAGGTGGAGGAGGAGGAGGTGGGTAGGGGGGCTTTGGCTCCTTCAAGCACCTTTTGAGGTGCCTGAGAAGCAGGCTCATCATAAGCGGATCTGATGCCTTCAAACTCCACATAGGTTTCCTTCCAAGCTTGCAGGCTCTGCTTCACTTCATCCTCCTCCTGCTTCTCCTCCTCTTCCTCCTCCTCTTCCTCCTCTTCCTCTCTCTCCTCCCCCTCTCCGTCTGCTACTTGTCCCCCTTCTCCCTGAGCATTGACCACTGCCGACCCATCTTCAGTGGTTTGGCCGGACGTCTGAGGGGGGTTCGGCAGAGAAGATTACCACAGGAGGAAGAGGCAGCAAAGGAACACACCACTCAGACGAATGGAGCTAAAAGAAGTGGCATTATAGTCAGTGGCAGAAACTTCCACCTTCAGTAGGTGGTTTGATACCCCTACTAAGTTCCAACACTTAGCCAATACTCAGTGTGCTAAAGATTTTACCAAACGCACGGTCCCAAAGATCAGCCAGTGCACGAACCTTCACCGTAAAGCCCATGACTCGATGCTTCTGTGAACATGGAGGAATGAAGGACCTCTGTGTCTAAATCCTAGAAAGAAGCACAGCTACTCATTTGCATGCGGAGACACCCGCTATCATGCACTTGCAGCGATACGAACACAACTTTGTCGCTCTCACCAGATCAGCCACCAGCTCTTCAAGCCTAGCCTTCTCGGCCTCCAACACCTTGACTCTGGTCTTCTGCTTGTGCGAGGAGATTTCCTCAGAAGCCCTCTTGAGTCAGAAGCCCTCTTGACTCAGACCCTCAAACCCTCAAACCCTCAAACCCTCAAACCCTCAAACCCTCGGCTCAGAGCCTTGCTCTCACCAGATCAGCCACCAGCTGTTCGAGCCCAGCCTTCTCGGCCTCCAAAACCTTGACTCTGGTCCGCTGTTCGGTAGCCTCTCGCTGCATATCTTCGGCCTTGGCTCTCCACTGCTCCACCTCCGCCTTCAGATGCTGCCAGGAGGAGAAATAAGCAACAAGGGCCACAATTGGGACGGGCGGTGCACGGAAACGGTGGGCACAGGGAGCAATGAAGCGAGGAATGCCTTCGCCTCCGGCCTTGGCAGCGACAAGGCCATCAGCTCAGCAGCACAGCGACAAGGCCATCAGCTCAGCAGCACAGCGACAAGGCCATCCGCTCAGCAGCACAGCGACAAGGCCATCAGCTCAGCAGCACCGCGACAAGGCCATCAGCTCAGCAGGACAGCGACAAGGCAATCAGCTCAGCAGCACAGCGACAAGGCCATCAGCTCAGCAGCACAACCAGCCCACGCCTGCTTCAGAGAGGTGCTTTGGTCCGAACCATCTCCTACTTCGGGAGGAACTGCTTCAGCAGGATGCTAGGTTCTCCAAATACCGTTGAGTATTCGCCTTATACAGTTAAAGATTCTCACCTGCAGCTGCTTCTCTGGGTGTGGCAGGCGCCGCTGCTGGGTCTCCAGCCAAGCCAGCTGCTCCTTCAGGAGGAAATAGCCCAACCCTGCGTTAGAGATGTGCGTTGGACCATTCCAATCAAGGCCTCACCTGAAGCGGCTTCTCCAGGTGCGGCAGTCGCCGCTGCTAGGTCTCCAGTCAAGCCATCTCCTGCTTCGGTCGAGTATTCGCCTTATACAGTTAAAGACTCACCTGCAGCTGCTTCTCCAGGTGCGGCAGGCGCGCCGCTGGTGCACCTCCAGCCCAGCCATCTCCTGCTTCGGGAGGAGCTAACCCATGCCTGCTTCAGAGAGGTGCTTTGGTCCATTCCAATGAAGGTCTCACCTGCAGCTGCTTCTCCAGGTGCGGCAGGCGCCGCTGCTGGGTCTCTAGCCGAGCCATCTCCTACTTCGGGAGGAACTGCTTCAGCAGGATGCTAGGTTCTCCAAATACCGTTGAGTATTCGCCTTATACCGTTAAAGACTCACCTGCAGCTGCTTCTCCAGGTGCGGCAGGCGCCGCTGCTGGGTCTCCAGCCGAGCTATCGTCTCCTTCGCCTCGCCCAGCTCCCTCTCTGCCGCCTCCGACCTGAGACTCCGAGCAGCGCCCTGGGGGAAAAGGACGTGTTGGGAATACAGGGGGGTGGATTGCGGTGGTTGGTAATGCATGCATGCGAGTAGAGAGGACTCCAGCCGAGCCAACTGCTCCTTCGCCTCGCCCAGCTCCCTCTCTGCCGCCTCCGACCTGACATTCCGAGCAGAGGAATACAAGCCTGGGGTAGGTTGGTTGGGAATACAAGGGGTTGGATTGCGGTGGTTGGTGATGCATACGAGTAGAGGGGTCTGCAGCCGAGCCTCGCCTCGCCCAGCTCCCTCTCTGTTGCCCCCTACTTGCGACTCCGAGCAGCGCCCTGGGGGAAACGGACGTGTTGGGAATACAGGGGGGTGGATTGCGGTGGTTGGTGATGCATACGAGTAGAGAGGACTCCAGCCGAGCCAACTGCTCCTTCACCTCGCCTCGCCCAGCTCCCTCTTTGTTGACTCCTACATGTGACTCCGAGCAGTTGCCTGGAGGAGGGGTCGGGCGGGGGAGGGGGAGGGGAGGGGGGGAGGTGGTGGTTGGTGATGCGAGCAAGGAGAAGAGCCTGCACCGAGTCATCTTCTCCTTCGCCTCGCCCAGCTCCCTCTCTGCTGCCTCCTACTTGCGACTCCGAGCAGTGGCCTGGAGGAGGGGTTGGGCGGGGGAGGGGGGGGGAGGGGGGGGCGGGGGAGTGCAGAGGCGGAAAGCGATTTGGTGAATCTGCTCAATCAGTCTGCTCAATCAACGAGTGACTGGCGAGTCTCCAGGAGAAAAGTTGTACTTCCCTTCATCCAGGTGGCTCCCAATCAGAGGGCATCAACGCCGCTGGTGAACTAGGTGAGTTTTTGGTCGGCTCAGCCACGCTAGGAGAAAAGTCGCACTTCCTTCATGCAGGTAACTCCCAATCAGAGGGCATCAACGTGGCTAAAGATCTTGAGCACAAGACACCCATGGGAGAACTACAGACACGGGTGCCCACGGGGTAGGCACGGAACGTTTGGTATATCTGCAAGCCTTCATGTTGCCATCAGACCATAGCGAGCACTTAGACCCGTCATACTCTTGTGCCTACCCCAATCATACCTCCTCAAGCTTGCTCTGGTAGCCGTGTAGCTTCTCCGTCATGGCGTCTTCGCGCCATTTCGCCTGCTCCACCCCTCGTTTTAGCCCCGCCGCCTCCCACCTGATCTTTGACTCACCTCTAAATTTACCGATGCAGTCGAGCCCAGACCCACCCCTGCCCAAAATTCAGTCCTGCGGCTTCCCGCCTGATCCTTGACTCGATTGAATAAAATCACCCACTGAGTCGACCCTTAACGCACCTCTCGCAACCATACCTCCTCAAGCATCGTCTGGTAACCCTGTAACTTCTCCGTCATGGCGTCTTCGCGCCATTTCGCCTCTTCCAGCTCTCGCTTTAGCCCAGTCGCCTCTCGCTTGAGCTCGTGCACCTGCTCTTGCAATCGCTGCTCCCTCTGCCTCCATCCGCCGCCGTCCTTCCCCTCCGCCACTGCCAAGGCCGCCTGCGGGAGTCGATGAGAGGGAAGCAAAAAAGGGGGTGCAAGGAGGGGTCACTTCAACATGGCTCGCACGAAATATCTCATGGATGAGCGAAATGCATACAGCGAAATATTCGAAATCGGAGCAAGTCCTAGCGGAGGGCCAACAGCAGCGCGACAGTGTGCCATCTGATGACCAGGTGTCGTGTCAAGATCATTGCAAGCTTGTCGTTTGTATGAAACGAACCTCCAGTTGTTTCCGTCGGCTGACCTCCGCGTCCCTGGCAGCCATAGCCGCCTCCAGCTCCACCTCCTTCTCCTCGTACTCCTCCGATAACCGCTCATGCTCCGCCTGCAGGAATACAGAAAAAGAAACACCCACCCAAGAGAAGAAAAACGCAAAATCAGATTTTGAAGCCATTCGTCAATATACATTTCCAGACGAAATTAACGTTCGTAATTTCGACCGTCGCAGCCAAGAGTTTTGAGATAATTCCAGAAGGTAAGACGTTGAACGACCGCAAAATGGTGATGGCACCTCAAGGGCTTGTTTCTCCTCGAAAATCGCCTTGGCCGTTCGTTCCGCTATGTCCCTCGCTTCCATCATCGCTAGCATATCCTTCCTCTGCACCGCCGGCGACTGCCGAATCCTCGTCCCTCCTCCTCGGGTGTGCGATGGCGTTCCGTAGCTTCCGTAACCTCCATGGCTCCCGTGGCCTCCGTGAGAAGCGCTTCCATAAGGAGCAGCGCTGCCGTAAGGAGCAGCGCTTCCGGGATGGAATCTGTGATTCGTGGCGCTGCCAGGATGGAATTTGTGGTTCGATTGACTCGTGTCCCGAAGCGACGACGCGAAGGCGGAGGGTCGGAAATGGATGTCGCTGTTGGTCTCGCGTTTGCTTAGCGGAGTGTGAATTTCCGACACGGACAGGAGGAAGCCGTTATTGTTGAAGGTGGTGGTTTGATGCTCGGCCTTTTCAGTCTCGCAGTAGTTCTCATCAGTGGCGGATGAGGGTTCCACCATCGTTACTGCGTTACTTCGTAAAGTGTATGCAATCCGCCAGAGGTGGACTTCGTAGTCTGTTAATAAAGTGTAGCGTCTAAAAAATCATTACGCTTAAACCGACTATCCACCAGCTGTTGTCTACCTCGCCGCTGTCCTCAAACTGATCTAAACGGCCTCGGATGAATAACTGATGTGCTGGCGTTGCTACACACCCGTACAGAGTAAACCGCCAGAAAGTTCTACAAGAGCTCTGTGCAAGAAAGTTCTACAAGTTCTACAGTTGCTATCTCTGTGTGTGTGTGTTTCAGGAATTACCACATTTCTCTTCAGGCATCAGGAATCATGAAGAAGCAGGACTCAAGAGTTTCAGGATTCAGGACTCAGGATTCAGGACTCAGGATTCATGACTCAGGAAGCAGGAAGCAATTCTCGGGGAATGCAGGAGAACACCATCCAAGACTTGGAGGTTCGGAGGAACAAGGCAATCACCACTCAGGAATCAGGACACGGCAGTGAGTGAAACCATTCCGGTCTGGACGTGTGCATCGGGTACGTTTCTGGTCAAATCCAACCGTTTTAGATTCGTTATTGATCCTTCTGACACGTGAGGCAACTCACCCAACCGCAATGAAACGTACGCGCTGGACACACCCAGCGTGGTTCCTCGGAGGAATCAGGAATTCAGGAATTCAGGAATTCAGGAGGCAGAGAAACCAAGCAGGGCAGACGCGGTTCAGGTTCAGGCCAGACCAGCTGGGGCGAGGGAATCTCTGTTCAGATGGAGCTCCGAACCAGATTGGGTGATTCGAGCGTCAGGCGCCTTGGCCTGAAGCTGTCAAAACCTCAGGGGAATTTGAAAACTCCCGCCAATGTCTGGGGGTACAGAAGCTCGCGCCTCGAAACAACCAATGTGAGGTTGACGCTTTCCCAAGCGGTGTTCTTATCGAGGAGAATCACACTTCGGTTCGCTAGCAGTGGACAAACAGATTCTATTTTGGGCTATGCTTTGTACCTCAGATTCTACTTAGACCATCCCTCTCTGTTCTGATTCCAAGCATGAGACTTTTATCTAAAGTTTAGACGAACTTTTATAAAAAAAATATCCTCCATTATTCAGATAAAACTATACAGACTTTGAAAAAATACATACACGACTCATAACTACTAACTACCGTTTTTAATTACAAATATATTTTCTTTTTTGAACCAGATATACATCTATAGCGTCGCACACAAAAGGAAAGACAACTGTACCACATTTTCTCAAATCGCATGAAGCCTTGCTCTCTTCCCCCCTCGCTCGATCCCAGAACAGGAAAGGGGTTTGGCAGGGCTTACGCGTTTGTTTGGTGGGTCAACTCTGGGGGTCAAACCAGGCCCAAAAGCCTCCTTGTCAGGTACTAACGGGTATTGCCACAGCAGTTCGTTGGTGAGGAGGGGGAACTATTAGGTGTCGTGGTTCACTCCGACTAGGTCAGCTGGCTGAAAACGAGCAGATCCAAGCCGCGAGCCCAAGAGAGCCAGTCTGGTGGCCTCTATGCGCGCCTGAGAGCCCCTTGTATCCTCGTTATAGTCCTCGTCACTGTCTGACGGCAGAGTCGCTTCAACATACGGACTGACAAGTTTGCGAACGGATCCAAGCCGTGATCCCAAGAGAACGAGCCTGCTGGCCTCTATGCGTGCCTGAGAGGCCCGCTTATCCTCGTTATAGTCCTCGTCGTCACTGTCCGACGGCATAGGTTCAACATGCTGACTGACAATCCCATAATAAGCAAAGCTCCCATGATGCTCCTCGAAATCCTCATTTCTGGATCCAACGCGAGAATCGTACTCGATAGGAGCAGCCTCGCCAAGCGCGCCTTCAAATTCCATACGCGTCATTATAGGCACATCAAGTTTCGGCATGAACACTCGAACAATCTCCGCAGTAGCGATGGAAACAGCGGAGCTTCGCCGCATCCCCTCAGGTGACATCATCATACGCCGCGTGTTGAAAGGCCCTGGCGAGTCATTTTCATACACCGCGCACACGTCACCATAATAGTTGTGCAGATAACGAGTGTGATCGAAGCGCGAGCGGAACCGCGGGGACGCTGCTACAGACGCGAGGGGCGAGTTGGCGGCGGAAGCGGTGAGCGGGGAAGCGCCGCGTGGGGAAGCGCCGCGTGGGGAAGCGCCGCATGGGGAAGCGCCGAATGTGGAAGCGCCGCCGCGGGAAGCGCTGGCGGCGAGTGGGGAAGCGAGCGGGGAAGCGAGCGGGGAAGCGAGCGGGGAAGCGAGCGGGGAAGCGATTGGGTACAGCAGCACAGCGGATGACAGATCTCCGGAGCTAGTCCAAGCTCCGTGGCCCACGGAGCCGGTCGAGAAGGACTTGGGGAAAAGCGGCAGGCGCGCGGCGCTGCTGAGAGACAAAGCGTTCACCGCACGGCAGGAGACGCGAGCCATGACGTGCGGTGAACGCTTCGTCTCCGCACGGCTGTGACGATGAGTGTTACTGGCGTGATGAGGCTTCACAGCGAAAGGGGGGGGGGGGGGGGGGGAGGAGCGAGTGGGGTTCTGAACCTTGGTGGGGTTCTGAAACTTCTGGAACGACGGCGAATTGGTTCCAGACAGGTTGTGAGGGAGGGTGAGTTTGCGAAACGAAGGTGCCTGCTGGAATGTGGAGGGCACGTGCCGCTATATACACATCCTGGGAAGCGTGCAACCTCATCCAACCCCATCCTACGTTATCCAACAACCTCATCCATCGCGCGTCGAAGTAACTTGCGCCACTCAACTTCCGCGCAGTGCACAACTTCCTACGAAGTGCGGCGCTTCATAGGGTGAGTCCGACGCGGGAAAGAGGTGCAACTTCTTAGGAAAGCGGCTTCCTACTAGGTATCATAGTCGCTTTTCCTGGCCGACAATGATTCCATGTTGGCCTGTGGCTAAGTGGGCGGCGTGTCACACGTCATTTTTACTGATCATGACTCATCTCGGAACGGAACGTGTCACACACGCACTTCGACAGTGCACCACCACCAGCCTTAGACAGCTGTTTCGAATGGCACTGGATGGACTCCGTCGGACGGCGGATCTTCGATCCGTCTACTCTACTACTGCAGTCATGGCGCGCCGAGCCTGACCGAAACATCCACTTTTTGCACGTGGCGCTGCGGTTGGATGCGTCCATGCGAGATTATCTAGGCCTGACGTAGCAGTATCGCGCCACAGCTCGAATCTGGATGTCATTACCCAATTTAGAAATCAGCTTGGCCACGTGGCGAGGCGTCTCGCGCGAGGCCCTAAGAGACACCCTTGGTGCGGAAAAGGACATCTGATCCCGTCCAGTGGCGGGCGGAGAAGTTGGTCAACCTCCACTGCAATCGGAAGTGAGGGGATCCTCCTCTTGCCCACCGCCCTCCTCTCTGCGCTACAGGAAGCCTAATGCATGAAATAAAGGGGTACAACCTTGAATGCACAGGGGGCAGGCCGCAGGACCTTGAATGCACAAGGGGGACAACGTACAGTTTGGGGGGCCCCTATTACAGTAGACCTGTGAAGAAGGGGCACGATGTACAGTACCTATGTTACGGACAGCCGCGCCACCAAGAGCGCTCATCAAGTCAGATGACACAAGGTGGGTTTCAGCAGTCGCTCTCCCACCAGTCAAAGTACCTGCAGTGCAAACAACCTGATAACATAGTTGAGGGCGTATTCCGCGTCAGGTGTAACACGAAGTTGGGGCAGTTCGGATCTAATTTTTGTTTTTTTTAGAAGGGGGTGAAGGTACATTAAAATGCATAAATACCACCCACGGTCGTAACCGAGTTCCGATCTAACACATCCGCACTGTGATGACGAGCTGCTTAAATAAAAAAACTCGAGAACGGCACGGAATGGCCCTCCGTTGCTTTCCAACCTCAGGCCCGAGTGCCCACCTTCCAGCTGTACATGTTCGGCTCTTGTGTTGATCCTCAATATCAAGACTTCGAAAACTACTTTTAATCTCTCTGGTAATTAGGACATTATCTGAATTTTGTGGAGCTGCACCGAGTGCCTTTGTGAGAGAGCATTTATGTAGAAAAATCAGTAAAAAGCACTGTACAAAATTTACATGCCAACTTTCAACATCCATGCCCAATGCAGCTGCAACATTTCCATACTGAAAGAATGGCATTTTGCCTGGAGCCCATCAATCCGCATGCTCCGCTGTGTAGGACGGCCAGTCAGTTTTTTATCAGCTATACTTTATATTAATGGTCCCACCCCTCTAGGTTTTGTTGGTAGCAGCAGCGTTTTGGCGTCCTGCCCAAATTAGTGCAGGTCAGCTGGCTGAAGGTGAACAGATCCAAGCCGTGATCCCAAGAACACCAGCCTGATGGCCTCTATCCGCGCTTGAGAGGCCCTCTTATCCTCGATACAGTCTTCGTCATCGTCACTGTCTGACGGCATGTCTTCGAAATGCCGACTGACAAGTTCATTAAAGCACCAGGTACCATGCTGCTCCTCAAAACCGTCCTCTCGGAATTCAGCGCCAGAATTGTACTCCATTAAAGTAGCCTCATCAAGAATGTCTTGAAATTCACTGCTAGCTCGGCTTGACAGCTTCACCATAGGCACTTTCGGCATTAAAGCCCTAACAAACTCCCCAGTAGCGATGGAAACAGCAGCAGGGGTTCGCATCCTGTCTTGTGGAATAGCCGAGGGAGCCTCTGGTGCGTCGTGCTCATACTCAGACGCCATGTCACCACCACGGTATTCATGCAGATAACGGGCGTGATTGTAGCGCGAGGGGGACAACCGCGGGGAGGCCACTGTAGACGCGAAAGGCGAGTGACTACGAGCCGCTGAAGCGGCGAGCGGAGAAGCGAGCGGGGAAGCGAGCGGGGAAGCGACGGGGGACGCAGGCGAGAACAATACGGAAGCCGACACATCAGACGATGATGATGCGGCAGTTCCGTGAACCACGGAGCCGGTTGAGAAGGACTTGGGGAAGCGCGACCTTGCACTGCTGAGGGATGACGCTTTCGCAGCACAGGATAGGTGAGCCATGGCCCTTTGTCGTTGAAGCTCCTCAGAGGGCTGCTGAGGGTCTGGAACGAGGCTCGGGTTTCCCAGGCTCAGGCTCAGGGTTGCAAGAGGCTCTTGGAATCTCTACTACAAGCAGCTTTGCGGGTCCTCAGATTTTGCGAGAAGGAAAAGTCGTTATGTAGTGCAGAGCGAAGTCGTCGCTTACATAGAATGTACGCTGGCCTCGAGATTTTCTTGGGGACAAGCGGCGAACCCAACGCGACCGCGACTGATGACGCATGGGAATGCAGGGGATGACGTCATGGACTCCTACTTCAGTTGGCGTGCAGACCCACCCACCGAAATGCATCAGTCTGATTCTGACGCGAGAGTTATCCAATGTCTCGGGAAATAGGGAGGCTCCTACTACCGTAGATGTGATAAAGCAGTTGCAGACAGGCGAGCGGTGTTCTCGTCCCGCATCTGATTCCTGATTCCTGAACCCAGGGTGCTGCTGGTGGCCTGAGGCTCAAATTATCTGACATAAAAATCACCCGAGCTTTTTGGATGCTTGCGTGTACTGTACATTACAGCTTGCGCGACCGAGTCTGCCGTTCGTAGGGTGCTTTTACTAGGCCTACGGTCGGAAACAAAAAACGGTTTTCCTCTCGACTTTCTAGATGTGCGAAGTCACAAACCGAGAGGCCCAGTTGTATGAGCTATGCTGGTCGCGTTTCCGAAGCAGGACAGAATCAGCAGGATTCAGGGTAAAATCCTAACTGAGCAGCAGCAGCAGCAGCTGTTCCCAGATCTGCCACTTTTTCTGCTAGTCGCCATAACTCGCCTCAGGCCTCTCGACTCGAGGCACCCATAGTTCCTCCCAGTAAAAATCCCAGAGACCCTCTCTCTTCCAGAAACCCTCTCCCAGTTGCACAGTGTTCGGTCCTGATGTTGATGGTGCCTTGACCGGAACTCCCTGTAAGTCGACATTTGGTACCGTGGACATACAGTGCGTATAACTACATGAAATTTCGTCCACTTTCGCATTTATACAACACAAATAATCTTGCCTTATAGCAACGTTACTTCACTAAACAAAATATAGTCAACAATAAATTGGTAATGTTAAAAAATGATTGTACAAGAAACCTAGATTGAGCGTAAAGATGGCAAGTAATCTGACCCCACGTTGCCTTCTTTCGAGCCAGCACTAACGAGAACCGAGCCCCCCACGCACGTCCCTCCTAGCGTGCCCTTCGCAATACCTCCTGACCCTACTTGGCGTCGCGGGGTTCCGTTTCGCGACCCGAGAATCTCCAGGCGCCGACTACTCCAGCCGTCACTGGACTTCACGTTAGCTTCTTCGACGATGTTTCTGTCAAAGTTAACGATCCGTTGTCGACGAACGGAGCCGTGTCGTGAGCCCAGTACACGCACACGGGTGGCTTCAAGGGTGCTTGTATCGGTTGTGCCTTTATCGAGCGGCTCCAAGTAAATTTCCAGGGATCCATTCACAAAGCGAGGAGTCGGCTGGAAAAGCTGCGCGTGCGAACCGCAGCCTGCTGGTAACCTGGGCATCGCAGCGGTTACGTGTTGCAAGACCCGCTCTGTCGTCGTATGCTCCGTTGCGCGATGAGTCGAGCAGCTCATGGTTACGTAACGGTGACCGCGCAGCACGATGGTTACACAATGGTTACACGATGCTCCGAAGGGGAGATGCGATGCCGCGATTCTTCGCCGCACTATGACGCCGTTTAGTTTCGCTTGTTTCCGCAGGCACCGCGCAGAAGAATCAGGTAGACGAGGCAAATAGGGTGATTAATGTTGATTGAACGTGAGTTAGCTGAACAGATGCGGTGTGAGCGGTCTAAAAACACACTGTCGTTTAGCTTGGTGATCGAGGTCGAGGTTTGGCTGTGTGATCTAAGTTATGCCGACGAGATTTCTATCAAAACGAGCTCCGAGCTCAATCATTTGCTTGGACACAACAATTGTCCAACTGCTCGTGGGAGTGGGAGGGAGGAAGGCAATGCAGGCTGTAAAACACGCTGGCAGGTATCTTGGATTGGACATGTCAACTAAGTTGGATTTCTGGGAAGCTAGACTAGTACACGCCACAACCGCCAACAGAGGAAGGTGGATTAGGGCACTAGGTGTGCCTCCTGCAGGGTGGTTCAAGTCGAAATACCCATGTTTAACGCACTAGACCGTTTTGTAATTGATCCCTACCACGCGAGGTCTGGCTGGTGGGGGTGTGGAGGAAATAGAAGCACGATCACAACACAATCCAGAATCCAGATGAGCTGGGGGAGGATGTTGTTGATCACGTGCGCATGTGTGCTTCACGCCCCGTCGGTTGTTCGTGTGATGCGATGGTGTGTGAGTGTGACGTGTTCTCGTTGACATTGGTGTGCCAGGAGGCCCCAAGATATGTTGTGTCACTACCGATCTGACACGCAAAAGTACCGTTCTGAAAACGTGATCACCGTTCTGAATAGTTTTGTGATTTGCTCGTCACCACCAATGATGCCCCTCGACCAGCGCCGCGGCCCAGGCCCACCACCAAGCCGACCGACCACTGGGGCTGACGTTCGCGTTAGATCGACGGCTGTTCAAACCTCCGAACTTTCTCGTATGGCTTCGTTTCGTCTGTCCCTGGGCTGGGTTTGTGTACTGTGTTGTGCGTGAGAAGGCTACCAAAGCACTGGCTTGGTATGGATGGAACTGTGCATGCGTGCTCCGGGCCAGATGCACTCTGGTTTGGTATGTTTCGTTTTGCGAGTATCTTCGGTCTCATGCCGAACACAGAAGTCAAGTGCGGCTTGGTCTGGTGCCAGGTTCTCTTGGCGAATAGGTTTGGGTACGCACTTGTGATCGCCATCACAGCGCGATTCGCTGGTGCCATGTGCGAGCGAAGGCTCGAAGACAGCAAGGCTCCAAGTTCCAACCCAGCAACGCGGGTTTTCTTTGTCAGCATGATGAAATTTCTCGCGAAGACAAAGCGTCACCAATTGCTGTCATCGCACTACCTGCTGCTGTCGTGTGCACTGCTTCGTTACAGTGCGTAGTAAATGTGTACACCTCTAACATGCGTTGGGTCCACTTAGCCATTATAAAACGTAGGTTAAATGTATGAATTGGAAAAAAGTCAGTACAAGTGATCCCTGAGAATTGTACAGTCGGTCCAAATGGAATTTAAATAGGATCAACATTTATGTATACGGTAATTGCAAAAAAAAAGGATCGCCAGCAACTTCTAAGAGGCGTTTTTGTTTGTTGCTCAGAGCGACATAGTCTTCCGTAGGGGACCAGACTCATCATCCCCCTCGATTTCAGGTCTCCTCGTCGTCGTGACGCGCTTAGGTGTCCCACTGCGCGTTCCAAGGATCTCCTGCCGATGCACAGCCATTTCGCAGTCACCAGAGACTAAACTCTCATCGTCGTCAACAAATCTCGCCAGGCGGACTCTTCCCACGGAGCCGTGTCGGCAGCCAAGCACGCGCGTACGTATCTGCTCCACGTCAGCAGGCGAGTGCGCGCTGGAGCGACGCTCCAAATCTTCGATGTACACGTCAACAGCGCCATGCACGGTGAGAATGGCAGCTGACGTGGACGGAGTAGCGGTCATCCCGCATCTGACGATGGGCGAACGAGGCATGCTGGCGCGGACGAAGCCCAACGAAGCCGAAAACGACTGCTCCATGGTGCGATGAAGTCGAGGTGAACCGATGAATACCAAATGCTGAATTTAGGGTTCGTGTGAAATCCGCGTGCGTTCAACCGCTAATTCGATGTTCTCGCAGACTGGAGGAAGGCTGAAAACGCGCTGAATACGGTCGCAGGCTCGAAAGTGGGGAAATGTATGAAGCTGGAGTGTCAGAGTGAAGCAGGTAGTAGTGAGTGAATAAATTGCGAAGGGAGCGAACCCTAAAATAATTACAGTAGAACAGGTGCAGGCAGGAGAGCACTGTGGCCTGACAAAGTGTGCAAACAAACTCGAGGTGCTGCTGGCTGCTGCGCAGGGCAAAGCTGAGCAGAAGGCACGGACAGAGCGGAGCAATTGGCTTCACGCAGCGCAACTTCTGTTTCCAGGCGCGCAGAAGCTTGCGGGGCCGGTTACAGTACGTACCATGATTGACAGTGCAAAACAGGTGGCGACGGATCAGCGATAGATTGTACACTCCGTGGCGGAAAGGGTTTGCACAATCGTACGACTGATTTTCGAAGATCATGCCATGTGGGGGCACAATGCCTGCCTGATGTGCGTGTGTTATGCAGAGCAAAACTCAGGTGGGCGGGGGGCGGGGGGGTGGAGGGGAATCTGTTCTGTTCACTTCAGGGCCTATTTTCAAGGGCTGTTTTTCTGAATCTGAGTCAAATAAAAAGCATTTTCAACCTTGCCCCTCAAATTAAGGGTTGATTTTTTATGAACCCTAAGGCCTACGAAGATTGCAATCCTAGAGTTAAGGGTCTGTTATTTTTCCTTGAGTGTACTACTAGTGCTGGCAGGGCTACAGGGGGAACTCCTTAGGAGGAACAACTCCCTTAGAAGATTTTCGTTGTTCTCACTTCACAGCACGTACTCACACAGGAGACAAGTCCCTAAGTAAAATTTAGTTGTTCTCCCCTCACAGCAGGTACTCACACCGAATGACAAACGGACCTGAGATTCCCTTACAAGGTTCGTTCTTCTCCCCACAGTACGTTACTAACAACAGAGGAGAGACAACTCTAGTGGATTTTCATTTTTCTCCACTCACAGCCCCATGCACGTTACTCACACCCTTCTCGTAGTGCCCTTCCTCTCCTGGTAGATTCTATCGTGGCAGTGAAAATGGAACTCTGCGAACGAATCCTAATGATTAAGGGTTGCTTTTCGCTGGTCCCTGAGACTTAGGGAAACATTTTAAGGAGCCTGATATTTTTAAGGGTGACTAAAAACCAAAAGTAAGCCCTTTACTGCACCCCAGCAGCACTGACCAATGGGCGTAGAAGAGGGATCGCTTGGAAATACCGGTCCAAGGGTTCTTTAGGCGAACTGGTCCCTCCACCTCAGGGTTTCGGGTTTCGGGTTCGCTCGCCCGCCGAGGCTTTTAGGCACGGAGGAAAAACGGGGCTTCCTCCGGGCCCAGTATGAGCTGGCGCTGGCGTGGAGAGCCAGCTTTTCGGGGCGGCGGAGTGGGTCACGCAAGCTGGGGAAGGCGTCGGGCGTTGCCGCGCCCCCCCCCCCTCCCCCCCCGATCCCAACGCCAGGGGCGATCGATCCCAATACTATCGATTCTACGGCAAGAGACTGGGGTGTAGAAGAGGGATCGCTTGAAAATACCGGTCCAAGGGGTTCTTTAGGCGAACAGGTCCCTCCACCTCAGTTTCGTCAATGAGGTCCAAATGCGCCAAATCGCGAGTCGACGATATTTCTTTTCGGGACGCAAAATAAAAAAACACGACACCAATTTCTACGGAAAATTGGGCGTGTGCAAGAGCGATACGAACAAGCGCCAACTTGGCAACCACTCGCGGAGCGATCATTTTTCGTCCACCAGTCAGAAACAAATATTTTCAAACATCGCAAGTAAGCGAACAAATTCTCGGGCATCGTTTTTTTTTTTTTTTTTTTTTTTTTTTTTTTTTTTTGCTGGGACGTGGGCGTGATGGTTTGGGGATCATCCCGAAGTGGTGGATCGGTTCCAGGTGGTTCTGACACTCTCGCACTTAGAACACTTCGCATTAATCACTTGTGTAACTGAGTAACCGGCGGGTGTATAGAAGGGATCCCTTGCAAACGCACCTAATTTTCCACGCCCTTAGTTTGTCGGTGAACGCGGAATTTGAAGGTCGTGTGGTACAGTTGCTCAAGGCCCAATCTAATCTGATTTCTGCTGTGCTGGAGCTTGTTGGTGTAGCATTCTGAAACGTCCGTCCTGGATGGTCTTCGAACGATACGGTTACAGAGTTTCAGACAGGATGACATGCCATGCCACGTGAAGCCATTGTGGCAGCATTGAGCAAGCTACACTTCCAGTGGGTACAGTTCTTGCCAACAACTGGTGGGGATCTCCTTGTCTCAGCGCCACGTTGATGGCGTGGCGTTACCCTCAGATCATGGGAAATTATCAGACAGGGTCCTCGCTCTGCCAGGGGTCTTAGCAAAAAAGGTCCGTCTACCTCCGAACCTATAATACGCTCCGTATTATTCGAAGTACCCACCAGTAAACTCCATCAACGAAAAGGCAAAAACATAAAATCCATTTGGGACCGAATTCCGTTCGAGGTGGCATCAACCCTAAACACGCAGCTCTTTTGCAATTTTAGGGTTGATGCCACCCGGAGTCGCATGTGAGGGCCCTACGGGTTTTAGATTTGTATGCCCTAAAACACTGTTCGTATAGATGTCCCACCTCACAGGGTCACGATACGACGCGCCCCACAAACCTGAGCTGTGTCGCGAACCAGAGTCGTTGTACAGTACGACGTGTCACAGGTTCGGAGACAAGGTCTCAGGGCAGAAAGCTGCCGGACCTTTTTTGCTCACCCTTCTGGCGGGGCGAGGGTATCCTTTTTATAATTTCCCTCAAATCAACAAGTTCCACTTGATTTGGGCAACGTGTACAGCTTCTGAACCACGTCAGCCTCGTCAACAAGGAGAACAATGTTCCGCGCACATGGTGGGTGGGTGTGTGAGGTTGGGTGGGTCTGTCAACTCGATTGCGGATCAAACCACTCAAGGGAGTGTGTCGTATCGAATCAGACATCAAGCAGAAAACGAAGGAAGCTATGCATAGACGCTGGTCTATCCGATATTGTATTCTCCCTGAAGCTAATATGCTTTCTTACGGAGGGAAATCTTTGTCTTGTACATTATTATTGGTATGCGTTATGAACTACCCTAGTTCTTCACCACCTCTCTTCATGAGCTACTCATATCTACATGTGATTTCAACACTTCTTATCGTCTTTTTTGTTGTTCAACAGCCACACAAAAACATTTCGCACTTCAGTACGACATCCAATATCTTTGCTCGGGAGTGACCCTTCCATAAAATGTTGGAGATGAGTGAACTTAGCACATGGTATTATTGGAAACACGTGGGTGAAGGGCGAAGAATGTTATTTCCTTGAAACAAACCCTAAAACGATAATGAAAATACTCGGTTTCTATCATGTACATCATGAGATGATAAATGAGGGGCCCTTGTACTATAGTCCTCTCTTTGACGCAGTGGGGTTCCGTTGCGCGCTCCCAGGACCTGGAGTCGCCTCGCACCATGGAGATGGCCATCAGCAGCAGAATTCACGCCGACAGGCTCGCTTTTTCCGGATGACGTATCATTGGACGCGCACGACGTGTCCGTCACGTCAGTGTCAGTATCATGGTGGTCATCGTCTCGAGCGAAACATGTAACCCGAGTTCGCCGCGGGGAGCCACATCTGCGGCCAAGAACGCGCACGCGAGTTTCTTCAAGATTGCTGGCGCACGAAGCGCTAGATATGCTCTCGAAGCGCTCTACGTAGACGCTTAGCTCGCCTTGGACGATGATACCACTGATAATGGAGTCAGTCGTTTTAGAATTCGACGCGTCCGTCTGCTCCGTCACTGCTCGCGCAATCGCAGCTACAGCGGCGGCGGGAGCAATTGAATGACACGGCTTGGGTGCTCTCAGCGGCGTGGTTGAACGGAGAATATGGGCGGGCGAAGCACTCTGGGGAACCATGGCGAGACTCTCGCAAGGAATGATTCGGAATTAAAGAATGTGTAAGTGACGAGACGGGGAAATGATGCAATCTTACGGTTTTTATCAGACCAAGCTTTCGCTCTCGATGCTCGTCGTCGCACTCGCTTTCGTCGACATTTCGAGACCTAATCGTCAACAGCACTACTAGAGCCAGCTGAGTCTCGTTGCTCCAGCTGCCGTAAACATACACGTTCGTGTTTGCAAGCTACTGAATGCTACGGTATCTCTGTTGGTTCATCGCTGGGGGGGAGGGGATGCGAGGAGGAGGGGAGATTTTTTCACCAACCAAATCCGAATGCCGCGTCGGTGTCCTTGAATGAAACCCAAATGTGCGGTCCGAGGTGGCTCAATTCGCGCATCGGTCGATTTTACCATCTGTCGTGCTCGGCTGACAAAACCGTGTGCGCTGTTGATGGAATGTTGTGTGGAGTGTGCGGATAGCGTGCCACCTGGAGAAGGAGGGGGCACCTGCTGTGCTGGATTCAGGCTCTGCCTCCGTGTCTCCTTCCAGTGACGTCAGGGTGAGTAAGATTTTATTTGACACTACACCGCAGCGCACCCACCAGCGCAAGATGGAGCGCGGCAGGCAGCTGTCCTTCCACAGCACATGCGTTTCTCCTGGACAGATCCAGCGGGCACAGTAATTACTGTCATCTGTTAGGCCTCTTGGCCTAGTTCTGCTAGAGCATATAGGAGTTGACTAAAGGATAAGTGAGGGGTGGGAGCCCGTAGCACCACAGGCTAAAATGGCATAGGGGGGGCTTCAAGAGCGCCATTCTTGAAGATGGCTCTTTTGAAAAATAACGGGTTCCCAGTACGATTTTGCGAGGTGCGTTTTTGGGCAGCTGAACAATGATAGAAGCGTAGTGGCGCCGATTTGGCGCATGTGCGATGAGGCAGGAAACGCGTGCACGACTCATTTGACTTTTCGCCAACTTGGTGAAACGAAAAAAACCTACTGTACCTCGGAAGTATTCCGCGTACGTGTTTGGGCTTCAAATTACGAAGCTCCCTCGACCGCGACTCGCGACTAGGGTGAGGGTAACTGTGCAACTTTTGTGCCGCACAGCCACATAAGTTGCGCGAAATGCGACCCAGGTGAACCTCGGGTTACAAACCTATTGCACACCCATGGAGCTCTTGAAAAAACTGAGCTGTGTGAGCGGTCAGTCGCAACTTGATCCGCTGAGCATCTGACGCCAAATCAATCGTCGTGCACCAATAATGTAGCAAAGCTACTTCGCATTACAAACAATTTCGGGTCACATACCATTTCGGAAATAGAAAACGCACCAAAGGGTCTGCCCGTAAACGAAACATTTTTTCAAGAGCTCCGCAGGTGTGCAATTCTAGCCTGTGGTTTTAATCTTTTACATTTATGAACTGTTGACTTTTGCATGGCAAACTAAATATGCATTGAAAAAGGGACATGGAGAAATTGAAGCCTCTAACTTCACATATATTACAAATATGATCGTTTTCTACGTGTTGAGCAAATCAATTAGAACTTCACGTTGTCTTTCAAGAGCAGGATCACCTCTTGCTGCGTAGTCAGTGCAAAGGAAGTGCAACGGAAAGTAGCAAGAACATGATTGAACATGATTCAGGAAGGCAACAGAAAGGACATGATTAGTTGCACGCAGAATGTTCGTATGCTTAGGTAAACCAGTCAAGAACTTGATCCTTAAAACACACAACATGCTCAACATGCAGAAAGGAAGCACAACATGCTGTGGATAACAGCAAAAAGGATTAACGTGAGCATTGGGTTCATCAAAAACCACATAAGAAAATTGCAACTTAGTTTTGAGGTGCCTCGAAATTACCGTGAGCGTTGGGTTCTTCAAAACCCATATAAGAAAAGTGCAACTTACAACGAGGAAGAGCCAGAGACAGCCAACAAGGCCAGGGAAGAGTGGATACCACCACTTGAGGCGGTGGAACTTGGGAGCGTCCAGGAAAATCAGCGGGAGGCCAGCAGCTGCAAAAGGGGGTGAGGGGGGTTATAGTAAAAGAGTGAGGCAGCCTACACGGCCTGGGAAGAGCGGGTACCACCACTTGAGACGGTGGAACTTGGGTGCGTCCAGGAAAATCAGGGGGAGGCCAGCAGCTGGGATCGGGAATACAGGGGTGGGGGACCAAAAAAAAAAACAATGAGGCAACCTGCAGGTCGTTGGTATGCTACTGCTACTTGATGCAGTGGTGAGAGGTTGGGAGCGGCGAGGAAACTCAAAGGGAGTCCAGGAGCTGGGATCAAGGAGGGGGGGGGGGATAAGGGGCAATCGAGGAGCCAGGCAGCAGGCAAGGCACTGGATGGCTGGTTACCACCACCTGAAGCAGCAAAACTTGGGAGTGCCAAGGAGCATGGGTACTGATGCATGGTGATGTGGTTTGGGTGGATATGGGTTACTGAGGTGGCATATAGGCAGCATATAGCTCGCCAGGGGGGTGGACGGAGTTGGTCCACTGCATGAAGGCAATGGAGGCAGCAACAGCTGCAGCCTTTGCGATTCCAAATATACGATCTAGTAGCACAAGCTATTACTGAGGCGGCTAATAACGCACCAGGGGGTGGACGGAGTTGGTGAATTGCATGAAGGCAATGGAAGCAGCAACAGCTGTGGCCGGTTCCAAAGATACCAATGCGCAGCACAAACTACTACTGAGACAGCTTAGAACGCACCAGGAGGATGGACGGAGTTGGTAAATTGCATGAAGGCGATGGAAGCAGCAACAGCTGTGGCTTTTGCGAGCCAGGACGGCCCCAGCAGGCAGAAGAGGGCGACTCCTATGAGGGCCGTCCCTGCATGGGCGATGAGTATCGTCTTGCGCTGTAGTGGGAGGGACGCAAGGGGAGAGGGAAGAAGGGAGAAATGGTGAAGGCCCCAGAAGGCAGAAGAGGGCGACCCCAATGAGGGCAGTCCCTGCATGGGCGATGATTATCATCTTGCGCTGTAGTGGGAGGGAAGGGGGGGGAGAGGGAAGAAGGGAGAGAGGGTGAAAGGCCCCGGCAGGCAGAACAAGGCGACTCCATTGAGGGAAGTCCCTGCATGGGCGATGAGAATCGTCTTGCGCTGCAGGGGGGGGGAGGGACGGGGGTAAGGGAGAGGGCAACAGCTGTGGCCTTCGCGAGCCAGGATGGCCCCAGCAGGCAGAAGAGGACGAGTCCCACAGGAGCCGCTTCCACATGGGCGACGAGTGTCATCTTGTGCTGTGAGAGACACCCCCTTCTTTTTTCCTGTAAGAGGAAGGGGGAAGGTGTGTGGGTGGGGTGGACGTGAGCGATTCAGATGGTCTTGAAGTGGACGTGAGCAAAAGGGCTGGCCTCGAAGGGGGTAAATATTCATCCGATGCCAGGACATGCATCGGAGATGTTAGTTAAAGGGGGGTTAAAAATGTGGTGGGCGAAGGACCGAAACACACCACCCGAGAGACGCTGGCCGCCACCTGGGATTCACCTGAGGGGCAAATGATTCACCAGAGAGACGGCTGCCTGTGGCAAGGCAAAGTGGGACAGCAGAAACACCTGAAATTTCACCTGAGGGGCAAAAAAATAACCTGAGACACCGGTGCTTGTGGCAGGGCGAAGAGGAGGCAGCAGACGGCGCCGAAGGAGCCAAGCGAGACTGTAAGACCGTGTGACTGTAGCAGGTGGTCCGCTAACGCGAATCCAGCAAACGACACGAAGGCGCCTGGCATATTGGAGGGGGGGAGGGGGGCATGGGGGAGTGAGTTGGGGTAGGGTGAGTTGGGGTGCGGTGGAATGTAAAGGGTTGACATGGGCAAAGGACTCGAAGGCGCATGGCAATACAAGAAAAAAGCAGGGGTGGGATGAGGCGGGGGATGGGATGCGATGGGGTGGAATTGGATAGGATTCGTTTTGGGATCGGGCAGTGGGGGAATGAGATGGACTGGTTTAAAAAAATCAACAGTGAAAAGAACACTGCGAAGTCTCTTCATTGCCCCTGCCCAGCCGCAATCCCCGTTCGGCCCAGACACCACCCCACCCCGGCCGCACTCACCAACGGCGGGCCACACGAGGTCACTGATTGGCTGCTTCTTCTCCGCTTCTGGCGGCGCCGATTGCGCGATGGACGCGAGCTGAGAGAGCGCAGGCGGGAAGAAGGGAGAGGGGGGCCGGGAGGGGGGAGGGGGAGGGGGGGAGGAGGGGGGGGGGGGGGAGGGGGGGTGGGTGAGGGGGGGGAAGAGGTTGGGATGACAGGTGGACGGAGGAAGAGGGGGAAGCGGTTAAGGGGGTGTCAGGAGAAGTGGGACAGGTACTGCGAGAAAAGGCTGAGCGGGAACTAACAGACGCGGGAAACCGGGGAACGGGGACCGCAGGGACGGGGTAAACTCCAGAAGTATTCCTTGAAAGGGAAACGACCGACCATTACCACACCAACTCGGAAACATTGAGTCAACTCACACTTTACACGGCAAGTCACACGTGCCCACCTCAGAAAATTCGGGTGCTCCCGCAGCGTCTGCAGCGGCGGCGGCGGCGGCGGTAGTGGGACCTTGAGCGCGCACGCAAACCGCTCCGGACGCGACACGGAATTGGCGGCGAGAGCTCAACTTTGGCCGTGGGAGCTTAGCAGCTGAAACTTCGGCGAGTCCTTCGCGAATGCTGCTTCTACATCCGAGTCGAGCTACTAACGGGAGTGAATTCTGTCGAGAGTGTGATTGTAACGCTGCGACTGCTGCTGCCGCTGGTGCGAGTAGCGAGGGTTGGAAGTGGAGGCATGCCATGGCGGCGAGCCGCGCCAGAACACTAGTCCTCGTTTAATCTGCTAATCGAAGATGTATAATGTATTCCGTGCGGAGTCTATTTTCCAGGCGCCTAAAAAATAATGTATTCCCTGCCGTCCCGACTCCACTATTTGTAGCGGGTGTTTTGTGAATCGAAAAGCAGAAGAGAAAAGTCCAAGGGATTTGATGCTGCGGGATGCGGCGGAGACAGACGTTCAAGAGTCAAGACACCTGAAATAGGGAGACAAAATGGGTACTAGTGACGAGACGAGCTCAACTCGACTTTGCTTCAGCGTACACGCCGTCATTTATAAGGCCGACTCTCCTCAAGCTGACTCTGAGACTAATTCCATAGGGACATGCAATCTAAATCAACGGAAGCACCGCCCTCTAGGCCTTCAGTAAGAATTCAAGACAAGTTACCTAGCAATGCTGCCAAAACTGCAGCATATAGTGAAGGTATCCGTTGGGAGCCACAGAGACTGTCTCTTGGAAATGCCGAACACCACGCATGATGAAAGGGTGGATTGGAGAAGAAAGGATGGAAGAGAAGTGGAGTGAGAGGCAGAGTTGGAGCACAAGAAAGACGAATGGGAGTCGAGTGAGCAAGGAGGTTGCCCGAAAGAGCACAAATATGTGGTTGGAAATTGGAATGGAAAGGAAACTCGGGGCGTGAATCTGACCTCAAATCAAACCTGTGGAGGAGTTGCGGGGAGACGGGGGGGAGGGGGGGGGGGGCAGGGGGACCACCAGGGGGTGTGCAGAGGTGCGGGGAGAAGCCCGTCAGGGGAACTTGCAGCCAGCCAACCAAAAACAAATGGGCTGCCTCCCCCCCCCCCCCACCCCACCACCAAGCAGACAGCTTCCCCAACTCCTGAGGTTTCGGCGGAGCTATTGACCTCGGGAGTTGCGCGGCGAGTGGAGCAGTTGGCGGGACCCCGTGCTCCATGGGCCGCACATTCTTGGCCTTGGGGTTTCCTTTGAAGACGCGACGCCGCTTCGTTACGAACTGAGTCAGCAGATTTAACCAATCAGGCGGTAGCTGTGGCGGCTGCTGGAAGGGTCATTCAGCAGCCCAAGGCGAATGCGCGTTGCGAAGTTCTGCGAGGCCCTTAGAGCAAATGGAGCTGAATTTGTTACGAAACGCTTCACCAAAACAATCTGCACTGCACTCTGTGGTGAAGCCTCAATCTTACATTTAAGACTCCAAATCGTTGGAAATAAATGCACTTATACATGAAAGCATAAAAATCATGGAAGTCCAGACTACTCAACTTTCTTGTTCTCACACCTGCTCATGTAGTGTCATTAGGAAAAAAAAAAAAAGACACAGGACATAAAACCTTTTCGTGAGTAGCAGGTGATGGCAGGTGCATGCATACCAAATAAGAAAGGCATGAACAGTAATATCAACCACCCCAATAGCCTTGCACCTCCTATCTGCCCTGACGCATCAAAAGCTTTTGGTACACTTGTACAAGCTTCAGTAACGCAAGGGGGCAGTGTGCGCTCAGACCGTGCCGCTTATAATTCAAGAAAGAGGCCTGGAAAGATGCGACCCCCTCTTAAGACAAAACACCAGCAGTCATTTGCGTGGCATGCTGCAAAGAAGAGGAGAAAGAGAGAAAGTGAGTGACAAAAGCAAACTAAGACACTCACAAAGACAAGCAAAGACTCCCAAGCACGTGCACGCACACGTGGAGACATGCACACCCCCTTGCCCAACTGTCTTATGCAGCCTCGTCCCGCTTAATTGTAGAAACCGAATGGGCAGGCAAAGGATGCTAGAAGAAACCAGAAATAAAAAGGAAGAATCTAAGTTAAGAGCAATCATGTGCCCCTGCTGTGGTTGACCCTGTGCCACCTCAGGACACACTCACAAGCCAACACACCCAAACACAATACTCACGTGCCCCTGCCACGGTTGACCCTGTGCCACTTCCTCGCACTCGTATTGAACCTCGCCACTGCCGCTGCTGTCGCCAGTGCTCACACAGTCACACACTAACAGATTTTCACAATACTCACGTGCCCCTCCTGTGGTTGATTCTGCGCCATCTCCTAGCGCTCGCATTAAACCCCGCCACTGTGGCAGCTGCCACCAGTGGTAACCTAACAGTGGTAGGACATTCACACACCAACAGATGCCATAGCACTCACGTGCCCCTCCTGAGGTTGATTCTGTGCCATCTCCTAACGGTCACATTAAACGCCACCACTGTAGCTGCCACCAGCCCCTCAGGAAACACCCACAAGCCAACACACTCGATCATAATACTCACGTGCCGCTGCCAAGATTGATTCTGTGCCATCTTCTGGCGCTCCCACTCGCATGGAACACCCACCACTGTCGCTGCTGCCGCCAGCCGCAATGGTGCTTTGAGGTCCCTAATGCAGTGACCACCATAGGCCATGCACCATAGACCACCATACGCACGTGCCCCTCCCCTGGTTGATTCTGTGCCATCTCCTGGCGCTCGCATTGAACCCCACCGCTGGAGCAGCTGCCACCAGCTCCTCAGGAAACACCCACAAGCCAAAACACTCAAACCACACAATTCCTCACGTGCCCCTGCCGTGCCCCTGCCGTGGTCAAAAGTCACCTCCTTACTCACGTGCCCCTGCCGTGGTTGATTCTGTGCCACCGCCTCGCGCTCGCATTGAACCCCGCCACTGTCGCTGCTGCCACCAGCCGCAACGGCCCCGCTAGAAGCAGCTCCAGTAAGAGCTTGTTGAGCGACACACAGGGTGCCATGCCTATAACGAGTATGAGAAGGTAGTGGAGGGGATAGGGGGGGTTTGGGGGGGTTGGGGGGGGGGGGGTAGGAGCAATAAGCAGAGGCACCGCTAGAAACAGCTCCGCTAAGAGCTTATTGAGCGACACACGGGGCGCCATGCCTATAACGAGTATGAGAGGGGAGTGGAGGGGAATTGGAGGGGGAAGGTTGAGGGGGGAGGAGCTATAAGCAAAGGCCCCGCTAGAAGCAACTCCGCTAAGAGCTTGTTGAGCGACACACAGGGGCGCCATGCCTAAAACGAGTATGAGAGGGGAGTGGAGGGGAATTGGAGGGGGGAGGAGCTATAAGCAAAGGCCCCGCTAGAAGCAGCTCCGCTAAGAGCTTGTTGAGCGACACACAGGGGCGCCATCACCTAGTGTATGCAAAGGCAGTGGAGCGGAATTGCGGGGTGGGGGTGGGGGGGAGGAGCAATAAGCAGAGGGCCCGCTAGAAGCAGCTCCAGTAACAGCTTGTTGAGCGACTCACAGGGCGGCATGTCTATAACGAGGATGGGAAGTGGGCAAAGAGGGAGGAGATGCGAATGACTGAAAAGCTTGAGAAGATAGGTAGGCACGCAGGGAGTGCTTTTGAGGAGCCTCAAAAGCAGACTGAAAAGCTTGAGAATATAGGAAGCATGCAGGGAGTGCTTTTGAGGCGCCTCAAAAGCAGACTGAAAGGCTTGAGAAGATAGGAAGCACGCAGGGAATGCTTTTGAGGCGCCTCAAAAGCAGACTGAAAGGCTTGAGAAGATAGGAAGCACGCAGGGAGCAGGGAGTGGTGACGGGAGAGCAGATAGAAAACCATGTCAGGATTTGGAGGGATCTGGAGGGATTTGGAGGGATTTGGAGGGATCAAGAAGACGCATAGGTTTCTTAATCTCTACAAATCCAGCTCAGGATGTGTAGAAGGGAAAAAGGATGTGTTTCAGGAAAAAGGGAAGAAAAATTAGGGAGGGAGGGAGTGGAAAAGGGAGGCAGGAGAGTGGGGAAGACAAGACAGGATTCACCGGGGGTGGAAATGCTGATCACCAGTTATCAAGCTTTTAAGCCTGTTTCAGGAAAACAGGAAGAGAAATTACGGAGGGAGGGAGTGAAGGAGGGTGGCAGAGAAGGGGGGAAGACAGAATTCACCGGCTGTGTCATTGCTGATCAGCGGGTTTTGAGCTTGTAGATCGAATATGAGGCGTCTCAAAACCCGTCGGGCTTTAAGCCGATCGTCGCGTTTTACACTTGTCACCCAAGTACGGCGCGATGTTTGAGGCGCCTCAAAAGGCGCGATGTTTGAGGCGCCTCAAAAGGCGCGATGTTTGGCATTAAAAAAAGCTCACCAGCAGTGGCGATGCTGAGCATCCAGCCGTCGAATCCTACTGGAGCGAGGAAATCTCCCCGTTCAACGGCTGAGATCGCAGCTCGCGCTACCGCCATGGGAGGGAAGGGCTTGTTGGTCCCTGTGATGGCCTTGGTGACCTCGGGCTTCGTCTCATTCTCTGGTGGAGGGAGGATGGGATGGGAGATGAAATGGCGAGGCGTGATGGTTGATACTGCACCTTTCATCAGCCCCATGGGAGGGGATGGCTTGCTGGTCCCTGTGATGGCCTTCGTGACCTTGGGCTTGGTCTCGTTCTCTGAAGGGTAATCACATATAGAAAATGGCAGGTAGGAAAAAAAGGGTGAAGAAAGAAGGAAAGACTTGTTCATCCGAAAGGGTTTGATCGTTTCCTGTGACTTCCGATGTAAAAACAGCGAATGTGTAATGAGTCTGCTTTTGAGTCGACTCAAAAGCAGGGTGAAGAAAGAGCGAAGGGCTTGTTCATAAGACAGGGCTCGTTCATCCGACAGGGCTCGTTCGTTTCCTGTTACGGCCTTTCTAATCTCGGGTTGTGTCTTGCTGTCTGAGTCATTGGGTAGAATCGGTGGGTAGGGAATACCCACTTTTGAGTTGCCTCAAAAGCTGACTTTTGAGTCGACTTGTCGCGCGAATTGTCATAACGAATGTGTTTCGACAATTCGCGGGACAACTCGAGAGGGTTACGCGGAAAGAGTTGGGGATAGAAAGTGGTGTACAGGCGATGTCGGTAAAAAGAGGTTGTACAGTGATGGGTGTCCAAATCGAGGATGGGGAGCAGAGGAGCGATTCGCCAGTTGGCAGGAGGGGCATGCAGTTGGGAACAGCTAAGCGGTGCAAGAAAGGTGAAGGGGGAAGGCATGCAATGCGGCGAGGGGCAGTGTCGATGGCAAAGCGGCAGGGAGCCATCACGGCGGAAGAAAACCCGAAACGGTTTGTGGCGGGAAGCATGGGAGGGAGGGGCAAGCGCTCCTGAGTGAATCCGGCTGGAGTTAGCCACAAAACTGCGTGTGCGTAGTTGTGTAGCTACTTCTGTTTGTTCTCTCGTGATCATAGGAAAGCGTGTATGCCCTGTGAGTACTGGATTCATTCACGAGCATAAGCTAGAACTATGTAGAGAGGCCAGACAAGGTGGGTATTGAGTTAAGAAGAGTTGCTCTGGGGATCTTCTTAGGAGCAGGAAAAGGCAGTGACAATCACGTATCAGAGGAAAAAGGGGAAGGTGCTGAAGAAGCCAGGCTAGAAGAATATGAGGGGATGCGGGGAGAACCATGCTGAGCGACAGACTAAAAAATGTTTCCTGTGACTGTCTTTCTACTCTCGGGTTGTGTCTTGTTGTCTGAGTCATTGGGTAGTATGGGCGGGTAGGGAATACCCACCTTGGTGCAGCTCCAAATGAGGAGCGTCTGCCAGTCCCCTCAGACAGCAACTTGACAACCGTACCTTGGGCGGCAACTTGACAACCGTACCTTGGGCGGCAACTTGACAACAGTGCTCTCATATACTGCTCAGGGCAATCGTACCTTGGTGCAATTGAGGCGTGTCGGTGTCAGGAGGAAAGAGCATGACCACCCGCGTGCCCACGTGCACCAGCTCCATCTGCAGCGCCTCTGCTAACCCCCTGAGCGCGAACTTGGCAGCTGAATAAGCAGTGTAGCCGTAGATGCCCACCTGGAGGGGAGAGGGGGGGGAAGGGATTATGCTGTATTATGTATAGCAGTAGAGCACAGAACATCACCCTGAAGAGCCTCTGCCAATCCCCTGAGGGCGATTTTGGCGGCTGAGTAAGCCGTGTAGCCGTAGATGCCCACCTGAAAGGGACAGGGGGGAAAAGGACTATGCTGTATTGCAGTAGAGCACAGAATTTCAACCTGAAGAGCCTCTGCCAGCCCCCTCAGGGCGATCTTGGCGGCCGAGTAAGCCGTGTAGCCGTAGCTGCCCACCCGAGGGGGAACGGAGGGATGGGTAATGCCTTGAAACTCTAGACTAGGCAATAGAGCATCACCCTCATCGCTGTCTGCCAGCCCCCTCAGGGCGATCTTGGCAGCAGAATACGCGGTGTAGCTGTAGATGCCCACCTGAAGGGGAGAGGGGGACGGGAAGAAGCCTTCAAACACAGAACAGTACCTCCCATACCCACAGTCCGCCCCTCCTTGCCTTGCCGGCTCTCTCAACAGCTGGCAGAGCTGCTCAGCCTTCTCTTACCCTCGTCTCTGCCAACCCCCTCAGGGCGAACTGGGCGGCAGAATTTCCCGCACTGCTGTAAATACCCACGTGAAGGGGAGAGGGGGACGGGAAGATGCCTTCAAACACAGGACAGTACCTCGCATACCCACAGTCCGCACCTCCTTGCCTTGCCGGCTCTCTTGATCGCTGGCTGGCACGGCGGCTACTAGCACCACTGGCGCCACCAGCACACCCCTAAGCACCAATACAGTTCGCCCCTCCTTGCCAGCTCTCTTGATCGCTGGCTTGGCGGCTACTAGCACCGCTGGAGCCAGCCGCACACCCCAAGCCCCCCCCCCCCTTCCTTCCCGTCGCCTTCCCTTCCCACTCCCTTCGCCCCCAATCTCACCTGGCCTGCTTGGGACGAGACCAATACAATCCGCCCTCCTTGCCAGCTCTCTTGACTGCCGGCACGGCGGCTACTAGCACCGCTGGAGCCACCAGCACACCCCTAAGCACCAATACAGTCCGCCCCTCCTTGCTGGCTCTCTTGAATGCTGTCAAAGCTGCTCCGCCCTCTCTTACCCTCGACTCTACACCCCCCCCCCCACCCCCTTCCCCCCCTCCCCTCCCCTTCCCCTTCCCCCCCCTCTTCCCCACCTCTCACCTGCCCTGCTTGGGATGAGACCAGTGCGATCCGCCCCTCCTTCCCCGCCCTCTTGACTGCTGGGGAGAGCCGCTCGGATGGTGTAGACCGGGCCGAGGTCCAGGAGTTGACACCAGCACAATCCCAGCCCTTCAGTGCCCTTCATATCCCCCCCCTCTCACCTGCCCTGCTTGGGACGAGACTAGTACAATCCGCCCCTCCTTCCCTGCCCTCTTGATTGCTGGCACGGCGGCTACTAGCAAAACTACAGCCACCAGCATACCCCAAGCCCCCCCCTCCCCTCCCCCCCCTCTCACCTGCCCTGCTTGGGAGGAGACCAATACAATCCGCCCCTCCTGGCCGGCTCTCTTGATTGCAGGGAGAGCCGCTCGGATTGTGTAGACTGAGGCCCAGTAGTTGACGCTCATGAGCTCATGTAGGGGGAGGGGGGGAGGAGAGAGGGGGGGGAGGAGAGAGGGAGGGGAGGAGAGGGGGAGGGGAGGAGAGAGGGAGGGGAGGAGAGGGGGAGGGGAGGAGAGAGGGAGGGGAGGAGAGGGGAGGGGAGGAGAGGGGGAGGGGAGGAGAGGGGGAGGGGAGGAGAGGGGAGGGGAGGAGAGGGGAGGAGAGGGAGGGGAGGAGAGAGGGAGGGGAGGAGAGAGGGAGGGGAGGAGAGAGGGAGGGGAGGAGAGAGGGAGGGGAGGAGAGAGGGAGGGGAGGAGAGAGGGAGGGGAGGAGAGAGGGAGGGGAGGAGAGGGGGAGGGGAGGAGAGAGGGAGGGGAGGAGAGGGGGAGGGGAGGAGAGAGGGAGGGAAGGAGAGGGGGAGGGGAGGAGAGGGGGAGGGGAGGAGAGAGGGAGGGGAGGAGGGTGTATTCTGAGGCCCAGTAGTTGACGCTCATGAGCTGACGGGAGGGGGGAGGTGGGAGAGGGGAGGGGAGGGAGGGAAGAGGACAAGGAGGGAGAAGAAACACAAGGGGAAGGCGAGCTTCTGGGATGCTGTGGACCGGGGCCCAGTAGTTGACGTTCATGCTGCGCTGTTATAGGGGGAGAGGGGGGGGCGAGGGAGGGGGGGGGATAAGCACAAGGGAACGGCACAATCGGAAGGCGGGCTGCTCGGATGGTGTGGACAGAGGCCCAGCAGTTGACGCCCATGAGCTGCCGGGGAGCGGGGACAGGTTCTCCATTGAGTTGGATTTCAAACGGTGTGATTTTTTAGCCAACTCAAAAGTCAAAAGTCGCCTTCGAGTCTACTCAAAAATCATCAGAGAGAGGGGGGGCTGGGTGTAATGAGTCGATTTTTGAGTCATTATCATCATAGAGAGGGGGGGCTGGTCCTCCATTGAATTGGGTTTAAAAACGCCAAGTGTGGTGCAGTGAAGATCCAAGATTTTGCAGGGTGTTTTTGAGAATTCTCAAAAACACCCTGCAAAATAAAACGGCGTGCGGTGCAGTGAAGATCCAATTCGAAATCAGCACCATTCCAAACCGGGGCTGTGCTCTGTTCAGCACCGTTTTAAAACGGTGCAGACTTTGAATTGCCTGCGGACCCAATTCGAAATCAGCACCGTTTCAAAACGGCGCTGTTCTCTCCTCTGCTCCAGGCAGCAGATCAGCACATCGCAACAAACACACATTCTGACACTCGCCTGCTGCTGCTGGTTACAATCACTCTCCTGCCTTTCGTTATAGGCACTCGCCTGCTGCTGCTGGTTACAATCACTCTCCTGCTTTTCGTTATAGGCACTCGCCTGCTGCTGGTGGTTACAATCACTCTCCTGCTTTTCGTTATAGGCACTCGCCTGCTGCTGGTGGTTACAATCACTCTCCTGCCTTTCGTTATAGGCACTCGCCTGCTGCTGGTGGTTACAATCACTCTCCTGCCTTTCGTTATAGGCACTCGCCTGCTGCTGGTGGTTACAATCACTCTCCTGCCTTTCGTTATAGGCACTCGCCTGCTGCTGGTGGTTACAATCACTCTCCTGCCTTTCGTTATAGGCACTCGCCTGCTGCTGCTGGTTACAATCACTCTCCTGCTTTTCGTTATAGGCACTCGCCTGCTGCTGGTGGTTACAATCAACGAATGAAGTGCGAATTTAGACGCGGGAGTCGCGGCGACGAAATTGTGACCTCCTCGACCGGTGCTTTCGCTGCGGTAAGCTACTAACGAGAGGGACTGCTGTCGAGGATGTGATTGTAACGGTGCGACTGCTGCTGTAACTGGTGTGAGTCGCGGGGGTTGGAGATGGAGGCATGCCATCGCGGCGTACGCGGCGAGAAACTAGTCCTGCCTTTTTAAGAATTCTCAAAAACAGAAACTAGTCCTGACTGTTTACAAATGATCAAAAATACCCTGCAGAGACCAGCCCTGTTTTATGCTGCTCCTGCAACCGTTTATGCTGGGCTGGGCTGTTTTGTCCCGACTGCACACTACCAGCAGGTTTATTCTGAGCCGACCAGAAACACGGAGCAAAGTTTACGCAATACGACGTTCCGCGTCGGACGGAGGCAGACGCTCAAGATACGTGAAGATACGCGAACAAGGGGGAAAGGAAAGGATAGTAAGTGACGCGGTGAGAACGCCTTTGATTTGTGGCGTCTAATACGGCTTCGACGCAGACGAGGGAAGGAGTGACGGGGCGTTGTTGAGCTTAGCTTGTTCACATCATAGATACATCTACACGGCGGCCAACCCTCGAAGAGCTGACTCCTCCCGATAGGCGCACGTAAGACAGGGAAAGATAGCCTTGTAGCAAGAGGTCAACCCTCTAACAGATTGTATAGCCAAGTCGTTGAGCCAATCGTCGAAAACCTGAGAGAGTGTCCCTTGGAAGTGCCGAAAACCACGTGGAGTGAGAGAGTCAAGTGCAAGAAAGAGGACGAACGAACGAAGACGAGTGAGGAGGAAGGTCGCTGGAGAAGCCAAACCTTGTCGGATTCCCCCTTGAAACAACACCCAAGAGCCTAGAGTCTAGACCGAATGTGTGGTTGGTTGGAACTTGGGTTGGTTTGGGAGGAATGGAAGCTCGAGGCGTGAATCTGACCTCAAACCTTGGGAATTGGCTTGGGGGGAGGGGAGACAGACGACCAGGTGGCACTGTACTGTACAAGCGAGTGCCGTGTGGGGAATTCCCAGCCAGTCGAAAACGTTTTGGCTGCCCCTGAAGCGAACAAGCCTGCATAACTCGGCCAATAAACGACCTTTCCCAACTCCCGAGGTTATGACGGAGTTTCCGCCTTGGGGAATTGCGCGGCAAGCAGAGCAGCTGGGGGGACGTTTGCTCCCTGAGCCACACATACTTGGCCTTGAGTTTCCTCCTAGAGACGCGGCGCCGCTTTGTTACGAACTGAGTCAGCATATTTGACCAATCAGCTGCAGCTACTTTGTGCTTGTGGCGGCCGCTGGAAGGGTCATTCAGCAGGCAAAAAAACTCAAGGCGCATGGGTGTTGTTGGTGATTGTGCTCACGTTTCGCGAATTGAGAGCTCAACGAACAAATGCAGCTGGGTGAATTGTTACAAAACGCTCCACGAAACTAATCCAAATGTTCTGACGGAGCCTAAATGTTAGGTTGCCTAATCCACACCATTGGAAATTATCAGCACTTACAGTTGATAAAGCATTAGAAAACCCTTTGAAGTCCAGATTACTCCGCTTTCTTCTGGTCACACCTGCTCATGAGATGTCATTGGAAAAAAGAATTATACAAAGGAAAATGGTTTTTCTTTCGTGAGTAGCAAGTTCTGGCGGGTACACAGTTTTAAATTAGCATGAATCACATTATCATAAGCACCCCAATAGCCTTGCACCTCCATTGTCTGCCCTGCAGCGTCAACATCTTTTGGTATACTTGTACATAAGCTTCGGTGAGAGCTGTGTACCCTCAGACTGGGGTCCTTTGATTACAAGAAAGGGGGCTGTAAAAATGTGTCCCCCCCCTTGAAAGGATACAGCAGCAGTCATTTGCGTGGCATGCTGCAAAGAGAAAGAGAATGCGAGAGAGTGAGTGACAAACTCAAGCTATAACACTCACACAGACATGCCATGAAAATCGCAAGGACATGCTAAGACTCGCAAACACATGTACGCACCCCCAGAGACAAGCACACACCTGCAACGACATGCACACATGCCCCCCTTGTACAGCTAGTAGCCTCCCACTGACTGACGTCAGTCAAATCGGCAGGTAAAGGACGCCTTTTGAATTGAAACCAGAATTGAACTCCCCCCCCCCCCTCCCTCCCTCCCTGCTCACTCCGCTTCCCATCCTCGTTATAGGCATGGCGCCCTGTGTGTCGCTAACGGGGGGAGGGAGGGGGGGGGGGGAGTTCAATTCTGGTTTCAATTCAAAAGGCGTCCTTTACCTGCCGATTTGACTGACGTCAGTCAGTGGGAGGCTACTAGCTGTACAAGGGGGGCATGTGTGCATGTCGTTGCAGGTGTGTGCTTGTCTCTGGGGGTGCGTACATGTGTTTGCGAGTCTTAGCATGTCCTTGCGATTTTCATGGCATGTCTGTGTGAGTGTTATAGCTTGAGTTTGTCACTCACTCTCTCGCATTCTCTTTCTCTTTGCAGCATGCCACGCAAATGACTGCTGCTGTATCCTTTCAAGGGGGGGGACACATTTTTACAGCCCCCTTTCTTGTAATCAAAGGACCCCAGTCTGAGGGTACACAGCTCTCACCGAAGCTTATGTACAAGTATACCAAAAGATGTTGACGCTGCAGGGCAGACAATGGAGGTGCAAGGCTATTGGGGTGCTTATGATAATGTGATTCATGCTAATTTAAAACTGTGTACCCGCCAGAACTTGCTACTCACGAAAGAAAAACCATTTTCCTTTGTATAATTCTTTTTTCCAATGACATCTCATGAGCAGGTGTGACCAGAAGAAAGCGGAGTAATCTGGACTTCAAAGGGTTTTCTAATGCTTTATCAACTGTAAGTGCTGATAATTTCCAATGGTGTGGATTAGGCAACCTAACATTTAGGCTCCGTCAGAACATTTGGATTAGTTTCGTGGAGCGTTTTGTAACAATTCACCCAGCTGCATTTGTTCGTTGAGCTCTCAATTCGCGAAACGTGAGCACAATCACCAACAACACCCATGCGCCTTGAGTTTTTTTGCCTGCTGAATGACCCTTCCAGCGGCCGCCACAAGCACAAAGTAGCTGCAGCTGATTGGTCAAATATGCTGACTCAGTTCGTAACAAAGCGGCGCCGCGTCTCTAGGAGGAAACTCAAGGCCAAGTATGTGTGGCTCAGGGAGCAAACGTCCCCCCAGCTGCTCTGCTTGCCGCGCAATTCCCCAAGGCGGAAACTCCGTCATAACCTCGGGAGTTGGGAAAGGTCGTTTATTGGCCGAGTTATGCAGGCTTGTTCGCTTCAGGGGCAGCCAAAACGTTTTCGACTGGCTGGGAATTCCCCACACGGCACTCGCTTGTACAGTACAGTGCCACCTGGTCGTCTGTCTCCCCTCCCCCCAAGCCAATTCCCAAGGTTTGAGGTCAGATTCACGCCTCGAGCTTCCATTCCTCCCAAACCAACCCAAGTTCCAACCAACCACACATTCGGTCTAGACTCTAGGCTCTTGGGTGTTGTTTCAAGGGGGAATCCGACAAGGTTTGGCTTCTCCAGCGACCTTCCTCCTCACTCGTCTTCGTTCGTTCGTCCTCTTTCTTGCACTTGACTCTCTCACTCCACGTGGTTTTCGGCACTTCCAAGGGACACTCTCTCAGGTTTTCGACGATTGGCTCAACGACTTGGCTATACAATCTGTTAGAGGGTTGACCTCTTGCTACAAGGCTATCTTTCCCTGTCTTACGTGCGCCTATCGGGAGGAGTCAGCTCTTCGAGGGTTGGCCGCCGTGTAGATGTATCTATGATGTGAACAAGCTAAGCTCAACAACGCCCCGTCACTCCTTCCCTCGTCTGCGTCGAAGCCGTATTAGACGCCTCAAATCAAAGGCGTTCTCACCGCGTCACTTACTATCCTTTCCTTTCCCCCTTGTTCGCGTATCTTCACGTATCTTGAGCGTCTGCCTCCGTCCGACGCGGAACGTCGTATTGCGTAAACTTTGCTCCGTGTTTCTGGTCGGCTCAGAATAAACCTGCTGGTAGTGTGCAGTCGGGACAAAACAGCCCAGCCCAGCATAAACGGTTGCAGGAGCAGCATAAAACAGGGCTGGTCTCTGCAGGGTATTTTTGATCATTTGTAAACAGTCAGGACTAGTTTCTGTTTTTGAGAATTCTTAAAAAGGCAGGACTAGTTTCTCGCCGCGTACGCCGCGATGGCATGCCTCCATCTCCAACCCCCGCGACTCACACCAGTTACAGCAGCAGTCGCACCGTTACAATCACATCCTCGACAGCAGTCCCTCTCGTTAGTAGCTTACCGCAGCGAAAGCACCGGTCGAGGAGGTCACAATTTCGTCGCCGCGACTCCCGCGTCTAAATTCGCACTTCATTCGTTGAGTTGGATTTCAAACGGTGTGATTTTTTAGCCAACTCAAAAGTCAAAAGTCGCCTTCGAGTCTACTCAAAAATCATCAGAGAGAGGGGGGGCTGGGTGTTATGAGTCGATTTTTGAGTCATTATCATCATAGAGAGGGGGGCTGGTCCTCCATTGAATTGGGTTTAAAAACGCCAAGTGTGGTGCAGTGAAGATCCAAGATTTTGCAGGGTGTTTTTGAGAATTCTCAAAAACACCCTGCAAAATCAAACGGCGTGCGGTGCAGTGAAGATCCAATTCGAAATCAGCACCATTCCAAACCGGGGCTGTGCTCTGTTCAGCACCGTTTCAAAACGGTGCAGATTTTGAATTGCCTGCGGACCCAATTCGAAATCAGCACCGTTTCAAAACGGCGCTGCGCTCTCCTCTGCTCCAGGCAGCAGATCAGCACATCGCAACAAACACACATTCTGACACTCGCCTGCTGCTGCTGGTTACAATCACTCTCCTGCCTTTCAATATAGGCACTCGCCTGCTGCTGGTGGTTACAATCACTCTCCTGCTTTTCGTTATCGGCACTCGCCTGCTGCTGCTGGTTACAATCACTCTCCTGCTTTTCGTTATAGGCACTCGCATCGCGGATTCGAAGGGATGCGGGGTGCCCATCCCTTGGCTCAGCACAGGGGCAGAGCACCTGCTGTTGCCAGCTGGTTCCCGACTGCATCACGAATGGAAAGGAACGAGGGGTGCTCTGCCCCTGGCGTAATGAGTCGACTCAAAAATCGACTCATTAGCACCTGCTGTTGCCAGCTGGTTCCCAACTGCATCACGAATCCAAAGGGATGAGGAGAGGGGTGCTCTGCCCCTGGCTGGCAGCAAACCCCGAAGCCCCCCAGTCACTCACACTCGGGCTGCTCCTTATATAAGCACGCTCCTTATATAAGCACGCTCTCACCTGCTGCTGCCCCTCCACTGTATCGGGTTTGCAGGAGAGTGGTGTTTGCTGCTCCTGTTGGCACACCTCCTCACCCCTTCATACCACTCTCCCATTCATTCACACTCCCCTGCATTCCGTCGAACCACTCAGCAGCTTCTGGTTCTCCAGTGCATCGAGTTTGCAGGGGAGTGGTGTTCGCTGCTCCTGTTGGCACACCTCCACACCTCCGCACCCCTGCACACCACTCTCCGATTCATTCCCACTCCCCTGCATTCCCTAGAACCACTCACCTCACCTGCTGCTGGTTCTCCACTGTATCCAATTCCAAGGGGCGTGGAGTGCCCTACTCCTGGCAGCAGATCCCCACATCCCTGCATTCCTTCACAATACCCTGCCTTGAGTAATGAGTCGATTTTTGAGTCGACTAAAAAATCGACTCGTTACACACGGAGTGCCCTACCCCTGGCAGCAGATCCCCACACCCCTGCATTCCTTTACAATACCCTGCCTTTCGCTATAAGCAATCCCCTGCCACTGATTGTAACCAATCACTCGCCAGCTGCTGGTTCTCCAGAGTATCCACTTTTAAGGGCCGTGGAGTGCCCTACCCCTGGCAGCAGATCCCATCCACACATTCCTGTTTTCCTTCGCAATACCCTGCTCTTCGCTACAAGCACTTGCCTGCCCCTCATTCTAACCAGCCACTCACCCGCGGCTGAACCTAACCAACCACTCACCCGCGGCTGAACCTAACCAACCACTCACCCGCGGCTGAACCTAACCAACCACTCACCCGCGGCTGAACCTAACCAATCACTCACCCGCAGCCGAACCTAACCAATCACTCACCCGCAGCTGAACCTAACCAATCACTCACCCGCAGCTGAACCTAACCAATCACTCACCCGCAGCTGAACCTAACCAATCACTCACCCGCAGCTGAACCTAACCAATCACTCACCCGCTGTTGCTTTTCCACTGTGTCAAATTCGAGCGGGTGTGGCGAGCTCTGCCCTTGGCAGCAGACCACCACGCCCCCCTGTAGTATTCCTTCACATTACCCTGCCTTTCGCTATAAGCACTCGCCTGCTACTGATTACAACCACTCACTCACCTGCTGTTGGTTCTCCACTGTATCGAAGTCGAAGGTGTGCAGGCGGGGTGCTCTGCCCCTGGCAGAAAATGACCCCATCCCCGCTTATAAGCGCATCGTTCACAGTCCCCTGGCTTTCGTTTTAAGCACTCTCACCTGCTGTTGGTTTTCCACTGTGTCGAATTCGAACGGGTGCGGAGTGCTCTGCCCTTGGCAGCAGATCACCGCATCCAGCCGTCCAAACGCGGCCACCGCCTGATCAACGGCTCTCCTCGCATCGTCTGGATTCGCTGCATCGGCCGCTACAGACAGGAGGAAATCAGCAGAGGGAGCGTCTGGCGGTAGTAGGGCCTCCAACTGGGAGGGGAACGAGGAGGAGCACGAGCCAGAAAGGGAGGAAGGAAAGGCCATGGGGAATGAATGATAAATCAATCAACGCATCGGCTGCTACTGACAGCAGGAAGTCAGCAGAGGGAGCGTCTGGCGGCAGTAGGGCCTCCAACTGGGATAGGAACGAGGATGAGGATGAGCCATATGCATGGGAAGAGGCTATGCATGGGAAGAGGCTATGTTGGAAAAAAAGCGTTTCTCGGTTTGAATCTACACCTAAAACGCAGCGTACGTATTTTTGGTGCGTTTAATCGCAATACGCAACAGAAAAATGTGCGCATTTTCCAAAATAGGGAAGAGGGGAGGAAAGGCCACGGGGAATGATGGATCAACGCATCAGCCGCCACCGACAGGAGGAAATCAGCAGAGGGGGCGTCTGGGGGCAGCAGGGCGTTCAACTGGGAAGGTGCACGAGTGAGTACGATGGGGGGAGGAGACAAACGGGTGGGCGGAGAAGAGGAAATCGGCAGAGGGGGTGTCTGGGGGTAGTAGAGGGCGTCCAGCTGGGAAGGCGCACGAGTAAAAAGAGTAGGGGAGAGTAGAGATATGGGTGGGCAGACAGGAGGAAATCAGCAGAGGGAGCGTCTGGGGAAGTAGGGCTTCCAGCGGAGAAGGGGCAGGATTGAGTAGGATAGGGGGGACGGAAAGAATCAAGCACACAAGATTCGAGGGGATTAAGCACACAAGATTCGAGGGGATTAAGCACACAAGATTCGAGGGGATCCAGCACACAAGATTCGAGGGATTAAGCACACAAGATTCGAGGGGATTAAGCACACAAGATTCGAGGGGATTAAGCACACAAGATTCGAGGCGATTAAGCACACAAGATTCGAGGGGATTAAGCACACAAGATTCGAGGGGATTAAGCACACAAGATTCGAGGGGATTAAGCACACAAGATTCGAGGGGATTAAGCACACAAGATTCGAGGGGATTAAGCACACAAGATTCGAGGGGATTAAGCACACAAGATTTGAAACGTCTCAAATCAGGCGAGGAAGTATCAGGGAGTAGTCTCTGATACTACTAGGGCTTGTAGCTGGGAAGGCATGTGAATATGACTGGGGAAAGGGCACGAGATGGGGGGGGGGGGTGGGGGAGAAGGGGAGGTTTGTGGCGGGGGTATGAGTGCGCATGATGTCAGGGAAGGGGAGAGGCGAAATGGGGGAATGTGGTAATGTGGGACGAAGGGGGAACGAAGGGGCCACGTAGAAAGTCACCTAGTCGACTCCAAAGTCACCGCGTAGAAAGGGGACGACTGAACCGAAGGGGAGGACGGAGAGACGGATGGAAGAAGGAGATTTTGTAGAATTCTCACAAAGGGGAAGATTGAACCGACTAGGAGAAGGGCGCACGTAGAAAGGGGAAGACTGAACCGACCGGGAGGTCGGAGAGAGGGATGGAAGAAGGAGGGGAGAGGGAGGAGGGGGGGGCCGGGGGTGGTTGGGGGCGGTGGGAGGTTTGGGAACAGAGGAGATTTCTAGGAAACAAGCATGCTGCCAAGCCAACCTGCTTGTGTGCTGACGCCAGTCGCTCCTTGTTGCGTGCAATGGCCACCCGTGCTCCCTGCTTCACTGCCAATTCTGCCATGCACTCCCCCTGGTGCATGCATGCATTCATACATACCTACCCCTCACTGAATGCATCCATACATACCTACCCCTCACTGAATGCATCCATACATACCTACCCCTCACTGAATGCATTCATACATACCTACCCCTCACTGATGCATTCATACAACTACTACTCATGCATCCCTCACTGAATGCATCCATACATACCTACCCCTCACTGCATGCATTCATACATACCTACCCCTCACTGCATGCATTCATACATACCTACCCCTCACTGCATGCATTCATACATACCTACCCCTCACTGAATGCATTTCATACATACCTACCCCTCACTGCATGCATTCATACATACCTACCCCCCATCATTCATCTACCCCCTCACTGCATGCATTCATACATACCTACCCCTCACTGCATGCATTCATACATACCTACCCCTCACTGCATGCATTCATACATACCTACCCCTCACTGAATGCATTCATACATACCTACCCCTCACTGCATGCATCCATACATACCTACCCCTCACTGAATGCATCCATACATACCTACCCCTCACTGCATGCATTCATACATACCTACCCCTCACTGCATGCATTCATACATACCTACCCCTCACTGAATGCATCCATACATACCTACCCCTCACTGCATGCATTCATACATACCTACCCCTCACTGCATGCATCCATACATACCTACCCCTCACTGAAGAAAATACCTGCTTGTGTGCTGACGCCAGTCGCTCCTTGTTGCGTGCAACAATCGCCACTCTCGCCCCCTGCTTCACAGCCAACTCTGCCATGCAGAGCCCGATGCCGCTAGACCCGCCCACTACCAGCACCGCCTTTCCCTATAGTTATTTGAGGGGGGGAGGGGGAGTGGGGGGAGGAGGGTTACAGGAGGACCCGATTCCTGCCATGCACAGCCCGACGCCGCTAGACCCGCCTTCTATGAGCACCGCTTTGCGCTGCAGAGGAGGGGAGGGTTGCAGGATGGTGGGTAGGGTGAGGACTCCCATTCTGCCATGCACAGCCCGATGCCGCTAGCCCGCCCACTATGTGCGTCGCTTTCCCCTTGCTTGACTGCCTATCCCGCCGTGCAGAACCCAATGGCCACCCTCGCCCCCTCCTTCGCTGCCAATTCTGCCATGCACAGCCCGATGCCGCTAGACCCGCCCACTACCAGCACGGCCTTGCGCTGTAAGTAGACGATGGAAGGGGGTTGTGGGCAGGGGGGTAGAGGGAGGGAGGGGCGAGGGGGGGGAAGAGGGGTAGGGGGGTAACGTGAGAACTTCACTTCTCCCACGCACAGGCTGATGCCGCTGGAGCTATCAGCTCGGCTTTGCCCCGCAGGGGAGGTGAGGGTTGGAGGATGGTGGGTAGGGTGGGTGGGTGGGTAGGGTGGGTAGGGTGGGTAGGGTGGAAGGGTGGGTAGGGTGGATAGGGTGGGTAGGGTGGGTAGGGTGGGTAGGGTGGGTAGGGTGGGTAGGGTGGGTAGGGTGGGTAGGATGGGTAGGGTGGGTAGGGTGGGTAGGGTGGGTAGGGTGGGTGGGTGGTACAGGGACAGGACAGGAGGACCCTCGTTTCTGCCATGCACAGCCCGATGCCGCTAAACCCGCCCACTATCAGCACGGCCTTTCCCTGCAAGTAGACGACGGAAGGGCGGGAGGGAGGGGGGAGGGGGAGGACGCGGGGGGAGGGGGATGGAGGGGACGGGGTAACAGGAAAACGTCACTTATGCCGTGTACAGCCCGATGCCGCTAGACCCGCCCACTACCAGCACGGCTTTGCCCTGCAGGGGAGGAGAGGGTTGGAGGATGGTGAATAGGGTGGGGACCCTCGCTTCTCCCCTGCACAGCCCCATGCCACTAGAGCCTCCCAGTACGATTGCACGGCTTTGCCCTGCAGTGGGGAAGGTGGGGGGGGGAGTGGGAGGAGGAGGGTTACAGGAGGACCCTGCCTTCTGCCATGTACAGCCCCTCCCCATGCCGCTAGAGCCGCCCACTATCAGCACCGCTTTGCCCTGCAGTGGGGAAGGTGGGGTGGGGGAGGAAGGGAGAAGGAAAGGGAGGTCATTTAGGCACCCGCATTGCCCCATGCACAGCCTGTTGCCGCTAGAGCCGCCCAGAATCAGCACGGCCTTGCCCTGTGGTTGGGTGGGGGAAAGGGGAGAGGGGGGATGGGGAGGAGGGGGGGAAGGAGGTGGTAGTGCGGAGGCTTTGCCACGAGCACGGCAGTGTGTGATACTAATTCAGTTTTGAGGCGTCTCGAACCTACATTATTATCACACGAAAGAGTCAATATTCAGACACGGACGGGGTCGACATTCAGACGCGAAAGAGTTGATATTTGGACACGAAAGGGTCAATATTTGGACACGAAAGGGTCAATATTCAGACACGAAAGGGTCAATATTCAGACACGAAAGGGTCAATATTCAGATACGAAAGGGTCAATATTCAGACACGAAAGGGTCAATATTCAGATACGAAAAGGCCAATATTCCGAATTTCCTGTCTCTCACCTTCAGAGAGATTCGCTTTGGCCGGAAAGCCCACGCGACGATCTCAAACGAAGCCACTATCACGGGGATAGCGACCAAAGCGGCCCACGCCCATGGTCCCGCCATTCCAAAAAACCCTTTAAAATCGCGCGTCGAAATCAGGACGTGCGGCAATCGCTGAATCTGCAACCCTTTCGACGGTCGGGATTCGAACCAGTCGAGCCGATATGGCAATAAATTGGCTATGACGGCCGTTTTACGGACTAGCAATTGTAACAATGGTGATTACGTAATCTGGTAAAATTAGTGGTTGCGGACTACCAGCCACTACTGCAGATTCATTACGGCCGCGGTGCGACGAACAGCAGGTCTTCAGCAGCCGCCTTGAAAAATCTGACCGACTGCAGCCAGGCAAATTTCTGCCTCCTGCTGATGCTGCAGTAATGCGACAGGCCACGTAACTCCCAGGGATCCTCTGACACTGCCGGCCTTAGATGCTTCGTTGTAAGAAAACCGCGGTAACAGCAATCTGCACAAACTGATTAAACTAAGGCCAAGTCTGAAAAGCAGCAGTTCATTCCACGCAATGCTTTCTACATACAACTAGAATGCAAGATAACCATCCCCATTAATGAGCCAAATGCGCACCATATTGGTGCAATTTGGACTCCAAAATTAGCGCTTCCATCCACATGGAAAGTGAATGCGCTAAAAACAATGCGCTTCACAAAGACGCAGCTTGGAACGACGGCTTGGAACGAAGGCTCCCGTCGCTCTTCTTGGAGTGAAGGGCATACCAAGCTTGTTAGCGCAGAGAGTAACCTTTCCAGAAAAGGCTTGGAAGGATGGCTTCTGTGGCTCTTCCTTCTTTGGCTCCTCCTTTTTCCTTGGCGCCTGCATGCAGGGGAAATGCCAACAGACTGATGAGATAAAAGGAATGTAGGGTACCGTATAAAGTGCGACCTACACCGCCGACTAGATATTACCACATGCCACACACATCTATCGCTCCATATGCCATGACGCATCACCACGTATCGCAACATACATCACTCACAGCACCTTCCACCATACATCAGCATCACACAACACATTACACCACACAGCACCACACTCCACCACGTACCCTGGGACCCGCTCCGGGTGCTCCATCACTCGATCCAAACACCAGACGCCCTTCCTTCCTCCCCACCACTCGCAGCATCACCAGCAGTGCACAACACAGCAGATCAAGGCTTACCCGGGGACCCGCTCGGGGTGCTCCATCACTCGATCCAAACACCAGCCGCCCCTCCTTCCTCCCACCACCTGCAGTACCAGCACCAGAAGCACTTCCTCCCCCTGCTCCAGTTGCGCCTTCCCTAGATGCACCTCCCCCTGCTGACGCCCGTGACGGTGCGGCTGCTGCTGCTGACGTGGCAGGGAGGACGGGGAAGCGGCGGGCCGGCCGTCCAATCGCCTGCCCGTGCCAACGAATGGTGTGAAGGTAGGTTCCTCAGGTTGGGGGGTGGCGTCTGGGCGTGGTGATGTGGGCAGGGATGGGGAAAGGGAGACACATGATGTGAGTGTAGGTTCTTCGTCTGGTAATTATTTAAGTTGCGAGAAAACGTGGGAGAGTGTGGAGAGGGCCAAAAGGGTGGGGGGGGGGGGGAGGGGAGGGGGGGAGGGGAAGGCGGGGTGAACAAATTGCTTTTCCCAGATAGTTCAACTATCTTTCCGATCTTATTCCAATGAAGCCAGGTTACGCAGGCACTCCGGGTGAAGAGGCTATATCTGGGCCTGGAGCCTGGAGGTGTGAGGGGCAGGGAAAACAGCTGTTGATTCGACTTGTGAGTCGACTCAAAAGCACACTTCGGATCCACACACACCTGCTTTCCTGTCGTACCCCGTGCCCTTCTTCCCTCCGGCATCAGAAGCAGCAGCAGCAGCAGCAGCAGCAGCAGGTGCTTTAGGAGCCGTGGGGATGCGCTCTGGTTCTACACAGTCAAAAGTCCACCTCACAATCCGTGTTGATGATGAATATAGCCGCAGCATGCTGTGTGGTCGACCACATCACAGCATGTTGTTTGAGTCGACTCAAAAGTCATCTCGACTCAAAAGTTTTGAGTCGACTCAAAAGCCAACTCGATTCAAAAGCACCACTGGCAGCAGAAGCACCACTGGCAGCAGCACGACCAGCAGCAGCAGGTGCTGCTTTAGTTGCCGCTGGGATGCGCTCTGGCTCTACATAGTCCAGGGGAGGCGCGAAGTCCACTTCACAGTCCGCTCATGAGTACCCCCCTTCTCTTGAGGCGCCTCAAAAGCAGTCCGCTCATGAGTACCCCCCTTCTCCCCACACACCTGCTTTCCCGTCTGGCCCAGGGCCCTTCTCCCCACACACCTGCTTTCCCGTCTTGCCCGGGGCCCTTCTCCCCACACACCTGCTTTCCCGTCTGGCCCAGGGCCCTTCTCCCCACACACCTGCTTTTCCCGTCTTGCCCGGGGCCCTTCTTCCCTCCAACCTCAGAGGCGGAAGCACCACCGGACGCAGCAGCAGCAGCAGCAGGTGCTCTAGGAGCCGCGGGGATCCGCTCTGGCTCGACATAGTCCAGGGGAGGTGCGAAGTCCACCTCACAGTCCGTCTCGATAATGGATATAGCGGCAGCCGGCCGCGCGTCAACCACATCTATAAAGTACTTCTTGTTGTTGTAGGCCACCATGATGCTCTCTCCCTTGGTGAGGCAGGAGAAGCTACGCAGGGTCATCTCCAGACTGTTTAGGACAGGGGAAGATAGGGAAATGGGAAATGGGGCACGGGGAATGGGGAATGGGCGATTTTTTAGTCGACTCAAAAATCATGTGAGGGTTGGGAATGACTGACCACGTCAACCATGTCTATGAAGTACTTGTTGTTTTAGGCCACCATGATGCTCTCGCCCTTGGTGAGGCAGGAGAAACCACGGAGAGTCATCTCGAGACAGTTTGGGGAAGAAGGGAAGTCAGAAAACAGGGAAATTGGGAGATTGGGAAATTGGGAAATAGGGAAATTGGGAAATTGGGAAATAGGGAAATAGGGAAATTGGGAGATTGGGAAATAGGGAAATAGGGAAAGTGGGAAATTGGGAAATAGGGAACGGGGAGCAGGAATCTGTGAGAGGTGGGGTACGATAAGCTGACCATGATGCGCGCGTCAACCACGTCTATGAAGTACTTGTTGTTGTTGTAGGCCACCATGATGCTCTCGCCCTTGGTGAGGCAGGAGAAGCTGCGCAGAGTCATCTCGAGCCTGTGTGGCGAAATGGGGAAAGGAAGCATCGGGGAGCATAGGGGGATGCTTGTTATGCTCCTGGTTGTTGCTGGTCTCGGCCTCCAGGTAAACCAGCACCCCAGCCAACCTCTCCGCAATCCTCCAATCGGTCTGGTCCATGGTGTGCCAATCCCACGCTCGCCGAGCATCCCCCCAGTCCACGTTCCCCGGCAGCTCATTTCTGACATAGTGGTTGCCCTCAGGGCGCGCTGGATCTGCCTCCTCTCTCTCCGCGTGTCGCGCTGGTACGCAAAAATCGTGGCCCTGCTCTCCTGGAGCCTCAAAAATAGCATGTACAGCTGCGTTGGCGTCTCTTTCTGAGGCGCCTCAAAAATAGCATGTACAGCTGCGTTGGCGTCTCGTCGCGGCCGGACCGACCGACACAATACGCCTCCTCCGCAGTACCGGGACCAGCAACAACCAGGAGCATCAGGAACATCTGTAAGAGAGATGCATCGTGAGTGCTCTTGGAGAGCGTGGTGCACTGACCTCCTCAATACGTCATATCCCCTACAGCCACACTCACACGGCCTTGGGGTTGGAGATATCCAGAAAGTCATTGGTGTGAGGCTGCAGCTTCACACAGGCGCCCTTGAGGAGGGTGGCCTTCTAGTGGTCTTCTTGTAGCACCATTTACAATCACACCCCGTACATTCACACTCACACAGCCTTGGGATTGGAGATGTCCAGAAAGTCTTTGGTATGTGGCTGCAGCTTCACACAGGTGCTCTTGGGGAGTGTGGGCGCACTGACCTCAATACGTCACATCCCCTACAGCCACACTCACACGGCTTTCGGGTTGGAGATTTCTAGAAAGTCCTTGGTGTGAGGCTGCAGCTTCACATAGGTGCCCTTGGGGAGGGTGGCCTTCTAGTGGTCTCCTTGTAGCGCCATTTACAATCACACCCCATACATTCACACTCACACGGCCTTGGGGTTGGAAATATCCAGAAAGTCTTTTGTGTGAGGCTGCAGCTTCACGTAGGTGCCCTTGGGGAGTGTGGCGTTGCGAAACCGCACGATATCTCCCTCCTGTAGCAGCAGGTTCTGCATCATCTGGAATGAATGATTGGGGAGTGGTTGGGGGAGGGGAAAAGGGGAGGGGAAAAGGGGGAGGGAAAAGGGGGAGGGGAAAAAGGGGAGGGAAAAGGGGAGGGGAAAAGGGGGAGGGGAAAGGGGGAGGGGCTAATGAGGAAAACGTGGGGAGTGCGAATCGTACAATATCCCCCTCCTGTGACTTTTGAGTCGACTCAAAAGTCACAATATCCCCCTCCTGTAGCGGCGGGTTCTGCATCATCTGGACTGGAATGAATGACTGGGGAGTGACAGGGGGACAGGGGTGGGGAACGGGGGGGAGTGAAGGGGAGAGAGTGGCGGGTGTGAAACCGCACTAATATCTCCCTCCTGTAGCAGCAGGTTCTGCATCATCTGGAAACAAAGTGCAGGAGACGAAGGGAGAAGGGCATGAGGATATCACCCCGCGTTTTTGTTTGCCAAACCCGACCCCGAAGCGGCAAACCCGACCCAAAACGGCAAACCTGACCCAAAACGGCAAAACCTGACCCATAGGGGCAAAACGTACCCAATACGGCAAAACTTCAATACGGCAAAACTTACCCAAAGCGGCAAAACTTACCCAATACTTCATGTACACGTAACCTTCTTCTGCAATGAATTCCCACAGTGGGACGCCACAGTGGGACGTGCGGTTGAGCGAACACAAAAAGACTTCACCAGTATGTCAACCTTACCAGCTGCCCTTCACCTACCCAGTACGGCATGTACACGTATCCCTCTTCTGCAAGGAACCCCAGGACGCCAGTGTGTTAAAAGCACAGCACAGCCTTGCGTGAGGAGTCTATTTTTGACGTGCCTCAAAAATGGAAGCCAAGGACGCCAGTGTGTTGAAAGCACAGCACAGCCTTGCCAACATGTAACCTGGGGCTAGCACACTCTGAGGCTGGCACACTCTGAGGCTGGCACACTCTGAGGCTGGCACACTCTGAGGCTGGCACACTCTGAGGCTCCGACGGAGAGAGAAACGTACCCAGTACAGCAAGACCTACCCAGTACGGCATGTACACGTATCCCTCTTCTGCGATGAACTCCAAGACGCCGCAGTGGGACGTGCGGTTGGCTGCAGTGTTGTGCACCTCGAACAGCATCGGGTAGTCGATGTGGAGGGAGGCTAAGGGAATCGGGAAGGTATGGCCAAGAGAACAGAGCGGTGCAGATGGGTTAGGGGCACAGCACAGGTGCAATGAACTCCAGGATGCCGCAGTGGGACGTGCGGTTGGCGGCTGTATTGTGCACCTCGCTCGAACAGCATCGGGTTTGGGAAGGGGGGGGTCATGGTGACTTTTGAGTCGACTCAAAAGTCAAATTGGGACAGCTTCTATGTGAAGAGAAGCTGGAGGAACCGGGAAGGGGGGGGTCATGGGAATGGTGCCAACGGGATTGAATGGGTAAGAGAAGACGCAGTGCAAGGATTTCAAGGCACCACCATCGGACGTGCGATTGGCTGCTGCATGGTGCATGAAAAGAAAAAAGGCATTGGGTATTCTTGTGGAGAGTGGCATGAGGAATTGGAAAAGGTGGTGATGGGGTCTAGCTTCGAGGCCCCTCAAACGTGGACTTCTGTCACGAGAAATGGGGTTATGGGGGTGGTCTCAATGGCAGGCAATTTTTGGCATCGAGCAGCACAGCTTTGTCTTCACACGGATATTTTGAAGTTTTCCTCTACTGTTCAGGTCGCTTAAGCGGTTCTTTGAGCACTGCATGCAGCCCTTCTACTGTCAACAAAAAAAAAGGTTATGCTATGCGAATGGTCTCAATGGCATCCGATGGATAACTTGGCACGTTAAAAAGAAGAACATCAAATAGTGGAAAGTGAAAACGCCAGAGGCGAAGCAGGTCAGGAGGTGCTGTGCTGCGGCTGAAAGCGAAGACATGGAATCTGAAGGTTGCGAGAACGTACATTGCGCACGATGAATCATTAGGAGTATAGAGAATGCTTACCAAACTCTTTAGTCTGTCGAGAGAAGCACGGTTTATAAAGGGTACAGTGAACTTACCTAGCCTGTCGAGGGCAGAAGGCGGCATGATGACTGATAGGAGGCACCATGCATCCATGGCATCCATGGCGGGGTTTTGATGTAGGGAAGGGCGGGGGTCGGGTGGGGTGGGGAAAATGGGGGTGTGGGTTAGGGTATGGGCGGGAAGAGGAGCAAAAGAGAAGAGGGTTATGCGGCGGTGGCATGACGATTTATAGCAGCACCATGGCAGGTGGGTATGTGGTTGAAGACGATGTGACGGTAGGAGGAGAGGAGGATGCGAGCGACATGACACGTGACTGACACAACGGCTTTTGAGGCGCCTCAAATGACGGTAGGAGGAGGATGCGATTTTTGAGGCGCCTCAAAAATCGACACAACGGCTTTCGAGGTGCCTCAAAAGTGACGGTAGGAGGAGAGGAGGATGCGAGCGACATGACACGTGACTGACACAACGGTGATGTAGCTGTTATTGGAACTTCAAAATATATACAGACATCTAGTATATATGTACATATACATAAATACATATAGCAGCAACGGTGATTGTCCGGCGACTCCGGGTCGCATGGAATAGGGTAGCTGCGGGAAACGTGCTTCTAACAAACCCACACGGACCCACACACCCCCACACACCCTTCCCACACACACGTACAGACCCACAAACCTTTATCGCCATTCTCCAGATGAGCGTGGCAACAGCACGCAGAAAATTGGGGTAGCTACGGGAGCCGAGCATCGAACACACCCACACACTCCCACCCCACACGCGCCCCCCCCCCTCCCCCCACACACACACTATGCACACACACACGTACAGACCCACGCACCTTTATCACCATTCTCCAAATGAGCCTGACAACCGCACGCAGAAGATTGGGGTGAGGGGGAACGGAGAGGGGGAGCGGGAGGGTGGGGGAAGAGGGGGAAGGGGGAGGGGGGGGTTGGGGACCGGGTGAGAAAAAGAGAAACGGAGAAAAAGGACGAAGGGAGGGGGAGGGAGGGGAGGGGGAGGGGGTTAGGAAGATCGGGATGAGAAATTGAGAAATGTTAGATGAGCTGTGGGTACGCCTTGTCTGTGCGAGATCGGGGTATGCCTTGTCCGTGCGAGATCGGGGTATGCCTTGTTTGTTTGTCAAGGCAGGACGGACGGGATGGGGTACCCATAAGAGCTATGAATTGCACGCACCCTTTACCATACTATAAAGGAGATGGGGTCCACGTGGAAGCTCCCAATCGCAGCTTAAAACGAACACTACTTCACGAAAAATAAGTTGTTGATTGCACCTTATCTATGAACGAGACGGGGCACACGTGGAAGCTCTGCTCGAAGGAGCCTAGGGGCTGGCCCACACCTTTTGCGTCACTACGCCTTTTGACTCACTACGCCTTTAGAGTCACGATGCCTTTCGAGTCACTACGCCTTTTGAGTCACCCCTATAGCCACCTTGCCCATGGAACGCACTGCACCTTATCGATGAAGGAGACGGGATAGACGTGGAAGCTCTGCTCAAAGGAGCCTAGGGGCTGGCCCATGCCCCCAAACGGTGGGAAATACTGCCACGGAGGGGAGAGGGAGGGGAAGGGGGGGCGGGGGGAGGGGGGTTTGGATTGGATATGTCAGAAACCAATCCCAAGGAGGGAAGTAGGGACAACGATGCATATCTCTGAAGAGCATATGGGGGCTAGCCCATGCCCCCAAACGGCGGGAAGTGCTTCAAGGAAGGGTGGGGAAAGAGGGGTGCGAGTGAGGGGGGAGGCAGGAGGGGGAAGGGAGGGGGGGGGAAGGGGGGCGGGGGAGTACTATTTTAGGAAGTAGAAGATGGCCATTCTGCTATGAAGGATAGCATAAAAATTGAGATTCTGCAGAGTGTTTTTGAGAATTCTCAAAAACACTTCGTAAAAAGTGAGATTCCAGAGAAAGCTGGCGACGACGATTGCCAAAAAATGCAAACGTCAGTCAGTCAGTCAGTCAGTCAGGTCAGGTGGTTGGTTAATGAGCTGACTTCACCTTCACAGCTTTCCAGAATTCTAAGAAAACACCCACCACATCAAAACTGCTATTATGAAGGAAAAGCGAGGTGGATTTTCCAGCTTCCAGTGAAAGCTGGAGATGAAATGAAAATGGTCAGGTGGCTCCTGAGGTGTCTATGGAGTAATCGGGCGTTCAAAGATTCTCGAAAACCGACCACACCAGAGGTCCAGAGCTGCTAAGAAGGGAAGGTGAGTTTTTAGTGAGTGTCAGCGAGACAACGGACATGCGCCTCTTGACATGGCTCAGGTGTGCGTCCCCAGAGGGAGAGATTTTTTTCAGGTGCCTCGAAAGTCCATCGAGGTGATGCTCAGGTAGTTTCTCAGGTGGTTTCTCAGGTGATCCCAGGTGCATCACATCGAGGTGATGCTCAGGTGGTTTCTCAGGTGCCGCAGGGATCTCGATTCACATGGAGACGGGAACCAACCTGGATCCAGAGAATTGCAAAAGACAGCTAGGTCCAACCAACCTCACAAACCAAACCACTGATAGGTTATGGCATCTGAAAATAGGCAGGCAGGGCGCAACTCCAAATGCATTCAGGCTTTTAAGAAATTTAATTAAACTGATACAACATAGGCAGACAGGACGCACCACACCACCTCCACATGCAATCACGACTGGCACGACGGCAAGGTTGGACCGTTGTAGCGGGTGGGCGAGATTGGAAATCGCAGCCCTACTAGGACGAAAGGGCCTCTTAACTGCGTATATCAATCATGTGCCTTACCTAAGTCGGTTTTCTATGTCATTCACAAACCAGGGGAGTAATCCCTATCATGCGAAGCAAGCATTGACGCCAGTGGTTTGCTTTTGAGTCGACTCAAAGACTCCTGTGAAAAGGTCCGTAGGTGACTTTTGAGTCGACTAAAAAACCATTGACGCCGGTGGTTTGCTTCTGAATCGACTCAAAAGCGTTTTCTACGTCACACACAAACCAGGGGAGAAACCCCTATCAAGGGAAGCAAGCATCGACGCCGGTGGTTTTCCCAAGGAGACGCGAATCCGACAAGGTAAGGCTATGGTGACGTCTCTCACACAGCAAGGGGGAAGCCTGCTTGGTTGTTGCAAATTGACCTTACCATGACGGCTGGGAGGGAGGGAGGGTAACCTGCTTGGTTACAGGATCGCCTTACCATGACGGCTGGGAGGGAGGGAGGGTAACCTGCTTGGTTACAGGATCGCCTTACCATGACGGCTGGGAGGGAGGGAGGGTAACCTGCTTGGTTACAGGATCGCCTTACCATGACGGCTGGGAGGGAGGGAGGGTAACCTACTTGGTTACAGGATCGCCTTACCATGACGGCTGGGAGGGAGGGAGGGTAACCTGCTTGGTTACAGGATCGCCTTACCATGACGGCTGGGAGGGAGGGAGGGTAACCTGCTTGGTTACAGGATCGCCTTACCATGATGACGAAGTGGTGCTGATGATTTGCTCTAGAAGTCGCAAATCTGGTAAGCATAGTTTCGAGGCTCTAGAAGACGCAAAACTAGGCACGTAAGGCTGTAAATAGGCCGCTCACACAGCAACAGGGTAACCTGCTAGGTTACAAAGTCCCCTTACCTGACGGTGTGATTTGAGTCGACTCAAAATACACCTGAGTCGACTCAAAATAAACCTGCTAGGTTACAAAGTCCCCTTACCTGACGGTGTGATTTGATCCAGAAGTCCGTGAGACGAGTCGAAATGAAACACGAAATCTCGGAAGGTCACCCAAGAGCAACGGTTGCCAGGATAGACGCTGTCGATTTCATCCAGGAGTCCCTGAGACGCGTTGAATCACGAGTTGACGCCAGTGATTCGCAATGATTACTTCTCTTACACTCAGCACGACGGTAACCTGCTCGGGTTACAAAATCGCCTTACCATGGTGACGGATTGACGCTGTTTATCCGGTCCGGAGGTCCGTGAGACGTAATTTGTCCTCCACGCGGACTAGACTCGAGCTTGCTTAAAAGCGCACGCGATCAGCTATACGGCGACGCGGACGATCGAGGACGATCGAGGACGATCGAGGGCTCTAGCGTGCAGAAACCTAGTCGTTACGACTCTGACAGAATCGTTACGCCTCTGACAGAATCGTTACGCTCGGCTCGCGATCAGCTACACGGCGACGAGGACGACCGAGGCCTCTAGTGTGAAGAAACTTGGTCACCGTGGTAACCTTCACCTGCTGCTAGACTAACGCCGGCCTGAGCTTGTGAGGAGCGGAGGGAAATGAACAGACTCCATGAATGTGACAGAGCAGGGTGCGGTACGTTACGGTACGGTAACTTACGGTACGGTAGTGATGCTGCTGGGTGTGCTAGGCGATGGGATTTCCCTCGAAGGCGGAAACAGATGATTCGTTTCAATACATACAAACCGCATGGTATTCTATGCAGGAGTGCATCTACGTCCACAAACTCGTGCTTTATTGATACATATGATATGGCATATATGAGGAAGCACACACTTCGTATATTTTATTAAATTACAAGAAGCAAGATGGAAAGGGAAATGGAACATTGACATGCGATACTAAGCATCTCAAAACGTCAACATGCGATCAGTAGAGTACCCCATCCCCTCCAGCAGAGGCGTCATCGCCCTAATCATAGGCGGAGGGCCACACATCAGCGCCAGGCTGTCCTCCCCGCCACACGGCAGCCTCTCATTGGCCATCTCAGCAGTCACAAACCCGACCCCATACTTCCACCCTTCAGGCACAGGTTCCCCCACAGTGTACCAAACATGGAACCGATCAGGGTACTGTTCAGCCCACCGGTCCATTTCGTCTTGTAGCAGCACGTCAGCTACAGTCCTGTTCCCAAACAGCACCCACATCTCCGTCTTATCCTCAGGATCGGCTAGAATCGCTTTTGCCACCTGATAAATGGGGGTAATCCCCGTGCCGCCCGCCAGCATCCCCAGTTTCTTCGCCTGCTTCTCCTCCCCACTTACCGAGAACTTTCCTCTCCCAAGGTACTCAATATGCCCCAAGGGCCCCTTGATCTCGATAGTATCACCGATCGAAAGTGACTCTAGGTGCTGTGACATAACGCCGCCGTCCGGAAACTGCGGCACAACGCCCTTGAAATAAATCTTAACCACCAGGTCGAAATACCCGACCCCATCCTCATCCGAGGTGGTCGGCGTGTACGCCCGCATCACCAGCTTGCCGTCCACTTTGGCGCAAACAAACAAGTGCTTGCCGACTGGGAGGCCAAGGATGTGGTTGGGCGAGGGGAGGGCGAAGCGGAAGCGGCGGACATCGGGGGAGAGGGCGAGCTTTGAGAGGAGGGGCACGGGGATTCGCTTCTTTGGGTCGAGGGTGGTGGGATGGAGAGGGGTGGGAGAGGCAGCGAGAGGGGCCGGAACAGGCGTTGCAGAAGCAGCAGCAGCAGCAGCAGCAGCAGCAGCAGCATGGGGAGCAGGGGCAGGAGCAGGAGCAGGAGGGGCAGCAGTGGCAGCAGCAGTATCTGCAGCAGCCCCCATAACCGTTCCCTCCTCCTCACCCTCCTCTGCCACATCCCCAATATAATACTCCTCCAGCATCTTCTTAGCCTTCTCTGAGTGTATCGCGTCAAACTCCTCCGTTACGTCCGTGCCAGCATTGATGGTGATGCTCTCACTCCCCCCGGGTGATCCTTGAGAAACTTGGTGCAGTCATACACCCGCCCATGCACCACGATCCACGGTGAGGATTCGTCTGCGTGCTGCTCGATCTCAGCCATCAATATCTTCCGACCGGACGAGCCAGACGGCACTGCCGAACCAGCCGCCGAACCTGCTGCTGCCGAAGCGGAAGGAGAGGAAGACGGTTTCAGCGAAGGAAGCTTCTGGGAGGCAGCAGACAGGTCTGCTGACTTGAGCACTGCAGCAGACGACCCCCATGCGCCACACCCCCTCCTGCTGCTGCTCCTGCAGCGACTGCGGTGGCTCCGACTGCTCCACCTGGGCTTTCCCCTGGGCTGTCGTACATCCATCCTCCCTGAAGGTTGCCGGGGCGAGTGGGGTGAACGAACTGGAGGCCGATGGAGCCGGCTGCTGTGACTGTGGGGGTGACTCGGACTCGGAACCAGCAGTTGTTCATCATGCCCTGGTGGGGGGAAGGGGGAAGGTTCAAAAGGAAAGAGACTGTAAGCCAGTGGTTCCCCTGCTGTGACTGGGGGCTGCGCGCTCTCGGAACCAGCAGTTGATCATTATGCCCTGTTGGGGGGAAATGATTGGAACGGTGGCAGGCAGGGGCAGAGCGAAGCAGGGGCAGAGCGAGGCTCGGACCAGCAACAGTTTTTGGGACGTTTCAGAAACTGACGAGCATGGCAAATCCACACTAGCGTGGCTGCGCAACCAATTCCACGTCACCAAGATACGCCACGTCAGCAGCACAACTCACCATAACATTCCACGTCAGCTTATCCGGCTGTGTGTTGGTGGCCTCGTCCCACGCCCGCACGGCCACTTCCTTCACCCCTACAAGATCCACCACAGGCACTGCTGTCGCCCACAGGCTCCACGTCCAGTGCTTGCCGTGGCTGGTGGAAGCAGCGGGAGGGAGGGAGGGAGGGAGGGAAGCAAGGGGAGAGAGGTAGAGGAGGGAGAAGAGAGGAGGGAGAAGAGAGGAGGGAGAAGAGGAGGGAGAAGAGAGGAGGGAGAAGAGAGGAGGGAGAAGAGAGGAGGGAGAAGAGAGGAGGGAGAAGAGAGGAGGGAGAAGAGAGGAGGGAGAAGAGAGGAGGGAGAAGAGAGGAGGGAGAAGAGAGGAGGGAGAAGAGAGGAGGGAGAAGAGAGGAGGGAGAAGAGAGGAGGGAGAATGGAGGATTAATTCACTGAATAGGGGGGAAGAGAGGGACGTGGGTGAAGGGGAAGAGAGGAGGATAACAAGAGGAGAGCGAGAGAAGTAGGGGAAGAGGGGGGGCGAGGGTATCGCACTCAGCAGGGGTATGGCACTGTAATGAATCTACTTTTGAGTCGACTAAAAACTAGACTCATTACACACAGCAGGGGTATGGCACTCAGCACTCACCGCGTGGGCGGGCTGGGGTGGGTGATGTCACACAGCCGCCACGTGTTCCCTCCGTCCAATGTGATCTCGACACGTGTCACTTTCCTGCCGCCCCCCGAGTATGCATACCCCTTCAAGGTCAGCTGCTGCATCCCCGCGCCGCCCTCCAACGCCACCACATCCCCGTGGTCCGGACTAACTATGGCAGAGTTAATCGCCAGCTCGTTGCAAATATACTCCTTTTTGCGCCACCACCCGTCCCTAGCAGCCGTTTCCGCGTCCACGTGTGAAGGCAGCACACGGTTATCGTGAAAATGGTAGTAGTTTTGGGACTCTCCTCGGGTAACCTCCACTTTTTTCAGCCACTTGACCATCCGCCCGCCGATAAATCCAGGGATAATTACCCTGATGGGGAACCCGTGGTCGGGCGAAAGAACCTGCCCGTTTTGCTCGTAGGCTAGCAAAACTTCATTCGCGGGGTCCATTACCCTCGATAACTCCATACTAGTTCCGTAAGTACTCCCTCCTCCTCCAGGCAGCGTTTCCGCTCCTTCGAAGCACACGAATTTCCCAGCGTTCTTCCCTTTTAGCTGAACGCCGCACTTTATAAGTACGTCTCTTAGCAAAACGCCCTTCCACACTGTCGTCGCCGCGCCTCCCGCTCCCCAGCTGAACCCGATCGTCTGCTTAACCGCGTTCTGCTCCTTACGCCTGTTTCCCACGCACACTAGCAGCACCGGAAGCCTCCTGGAAGGCATCGCGAGCAGATCCGCCATTGACAGGCTGGCCGGCTTGCTGACTAGACCGGAGATCTCGATGCGCCACGTGGACGAATCCAGGCGCGGCACGTAGCCGTGGTTCCGAACGTAGTGAAGAGGCACGGGAGTGATGAACCCCGAAGCTGGGTCCGAACGCGAGGCGGAAATCGAGCCTGACGCCGAGCCTGCATCCGAAGCAGAGCCCGAGCCTAAACCGGAGGTCAGGAGGCGGGAGAGCGGCGGCTCGCAGTTGAAAGGGTGCTTGCCGGTAAGACGCACGAGAGAGGGATGGCGGGGGATCCACCTGCGGGGAGGGGAAAAGGGGGGGAGGGGGGGGGGAAGAGAGGGGTGGGGAAAGAGGGGAGCTGAGAAGGAAGGGAAAGCGAGAGTGGGGACGGAGCGCAAGAGCGGCGGCTCTATTGAAAGTGAGCGGCGGCTCGCAGTTGAAAGGGTGTTCTCCAGTGAGACGCACGAGAGAGGGATGGCGGGGAATCCACCCGGAAAAAGGGGGAAGGGGGGGGGGGGGGGGGGGGGTGGAAGGGAGGGGTGGAGGGGGGGAGGGGTTGGGGAGTAAACGAAGGGGAAGCGAGCGTGAGGAAACGAGGAGGAGAAAATGTGAAGGAGATTAGGGGAGGGGAGGATTGCAGGGAGGAGGGGAATGCTCGGTCTACTACCGGGGAAAGCGGGACGAGAACGTGAGCCTCCTGAGCATGCGCGTTAGTGGCCACTCAAAACACGGAGCTCGTCTAATACCAAGAAAGTGCCAAGGGGTTGTCTGTCCTAAGCGCGCCGAGCCCGGGGAAAAAAGGCGGGAAATAGGCGAGCTTTGACGTCTAGCTAGGCGAAAACATATGGGGGCTTCAAACACGCGACGAAGTTCAGAGGCGACGGGCGAAACAGATACTAGGGATACAAAAATTGCGCGAGATCAGCCCTCTGTTACGCGTGCCAGAAATAAAAAGGAGAAATAACAGGGAGTTGGCAAAACATGATTACTCAATAAATAAACCACGAACTCCACAGAACAGGAATGAAACAACGTGATACTCAACAGAAGTGGAATGAATTATTTTACGTGCATGCGGTTACCGTACCGCATGCGAAGCAGCACTAGTTTTCATTTTCAATGAAGATTCGAGCACCATGCTCTGACGGACGTACTTGTCTGGCGTGTTCGCGTCGCGGGCATCAATAGAATCAGATTCATCCGCCACTAACGGATACTCGTACTCCTCTTCCTCCTCCTCATAATCCTCCTCCTCCGCCCCCTCCGCTCCCTCCGCTTCCTCTTCCCCCTCGCCGGTCGCCTTGATCCCGTTCTCGCTGACTCCATTCGCAGCAGCAGTAGCACCCGCAGTACTAGCAGAACCGTTCGCCTGCGCTCCGTGCTTCGCGAAATCGCTGCCGTTGCTGGTAACCGCAGCAGGTGAAACGATGCTGTCTGCTGCTGCGACTTCCACAGACGTCTTTTTCAGGTCCCCAGAGGCATTCTCAGAGTTCCCGACACCGTTGGCCATGGTAACCCCATTCGCGAAATCCCCGTCGATTTCGCAAGCCTCCCCTCCTTTCGTCATCACGCCATTCGCCGAAACGCCGTTTGGCACAGAGCCGGCGACGGCCGCAACGGCGACGCCACAAGATTCCTGATGGGCGACCATTGCGACAACAGCAGCGAATAGAGCGAAACCTGAACGGAACTTAAACGAAACCCACGAAACAGTTTCGCGAGCGTGATTAAAAGGAAGATTGTTTCTCGCAGACTCTCAGCCTGGAAAAGCGTCCCTGCTACGCGACTCGCAAGGGCCAGACGGAGAAACTAAGCTGAGCCGCTGAGCAAACTAGCCAAGTCGAATCCACTCTTATGTAGTTGTAAGATAGCAGGGAGAAACTCTCTCAAGCACAACGACCCTCGAGCGACGCGGATCGCGGAGAGACACACACCAGCGACCAGCGCTCAGGGGTTACCGAAGAGCGCGCGGTGCAGCTGGACTACTGTAGTAGAACTGTAGAGCTCATCGACGCCTGCTCGGCCCGGTGGCACAGGGGTGCGAGAGCGAGGGGAGGGAGGAAGGCGGAAGGCGCGGAAGGCGCGGAAGGCGCGGGAAGGCGCGGGAAGGCGCGGGAAGGCGCGGGAGGCGGAAGGAGGGGGGCAAGAGGTGACGAGACGAGAGGTGAGGGAGGTGACATGACGCGAGGCGCGGAAATCGGAATGATTTCGAGAAGGAGCCGACCACCGACCGACCAGCCTGACCCAGAAGCGCTTTCTGATTGGTCGGCTGGTAGCGGGGCAGTGGGGTCGAGGAGGCTAAGGGCAGCGACGAACGGCTGGAGACGAGACGACTTTCTAAGAACAGGCTGGCAGCGTTTGCACCCGACCCGAACCTACGTTGCCTTAGTAAGTTAGCGTGGTTGGCTGTTACTGGTGGCTACGACGTTTTGACGGCCTTTCGCGAGGGTCGGGTGTTAGGTAAGGGTGCCACGATGGATTCTAAAACTCGCCGAGAAAATCGAAGGGCTCCTTCAAGGGAGATCGAAGCAAGTTGCTTACCTCGATTCGAGGAGTGCCAGGGAGATCGAACGGCTGGCTCGGAGCTAGTCGTGGCTGTTCGCGGGAGTTGCGAGCCCATGAAAAGCGGATGGAGACAGCGATGGGAAGAGGATGAAGCGGATGAACCACCAGTTTGGTAAGCTTGGCTCTTGCGGGTCCTCGGACGCTGCCTCCTACAGTGTCAAAACCACTGGTTGGCAATCAGGGCTGGATAGGTGGATTGGATCAGCTACGTGTGAGAGGCAAGAGGAGAAAAGTATTTGTGGTGTGTAATAGGCTAGGTGGTGTAGGGCATCCGAGCAATGCGATAGGCAGAAGGTTCAGACGACACAGGTCGCCGCTAACACCGATTTGCTGCAGCCATGGCTTTTGGTTGGGCCTTGGCTTTCAGCCATGGTTTTTGGTCCCAAAGAGATACGAAAAGGCACGAGGAGGGGGATAGGAGAAAGGAGGCGATCTTTGGGCTGATGTTACCCTGAGGACAGCCAAGCCCCATAAGTTTAATCCTTGATACTAAGGACACCCTGAATAGTTTCCTTAAGAGTTTCACACTCAAACTTCTAAGGGCTAGGGGATGACACGCGGAAATATACAGGACCCAGGGCAAGTGGAGAAACTGGGTCCGGTTTCGCATTCCACTTAAAAACTTCAGGGCAATCCTTAGATGGAGCCATCCACACTTCAGAAGACTTGCCCTGCCCATCAACAATTTCGGTGACTACTGTACCCAAAAACAAAGTGTGTGAGTGTGGTGCAAAGGGCTTAGTGTTGTTGAGCATTCGCGCGTGTCCTTCACACCGCTGACCGTTGGCATGTCTGGGGAGCGCTCTCAACAGCCAATCCGCGAGCTCATAGGGGGACAAAAGCTCGAGTGTCGCTCACTGATTCGCTGAACGAGAAGCGGGTCAGGTCATGCAAATGCAAACAGGAAAGCAGTGGTTGAAGCAAACGTGGGAGGATGGAGTGCACACGATTCACTAGGAACCTGTCTCACTTAAAGAAACAAATCTTCATAACAAATAATGCTCGTATACACGATGGTTCATATTTCCTCAGCTTTTACAATGCACTTTCTCACCCGTGTCGACCTCTTCACTATCCTCCTCTTCACTACTATCATCCTCGTCAGAATCACTTTCATCCTCGTCAGAATCACCTACATCTTCAGAATCTTCATCTTTGGCTAAGCAGGAAACTCTAATGGTGGGGAATTCTAAAATCGTGCGTCCCGCAAGCTGTGTGCGAAGAGTTTGGCTAGTTTCCAGCTCACACAACTGCCATGTTCCATGCAAGGGGAAAAAAAGGGGGAAGGGGGGAAGAGGGGAGAGGGGGGAGGGGAAGGGGAGAGAAGAGTTTGGCTGGTTTCCAGCTCACACAGCTGCCATGTTCCATGCAAGGGGAAGGGAAGGAGTTAGGGAGGAGCGAGGGGGGACAGGGGGACACAACAAAGTGCACATTGGTCAGCCAGAGAAGAACATCAGTTGTCAAAGATGAAACCAAGCGAAACAACAAGCAAGACAAGACATACATCACATTGAACATGGCGTATGCCCTTCAGCATACAGCATGATACATGAACGCATTATAAAGAGCACATAGAAAAGCTGAGAAAATACCTCTCCCAACGCGACTGCTGGCTGGAGGAAGCGAAGGGGCCAAAAATGCAGCTGCTGTTGGCGGTGCTATTATTGCACGTTAAAAGAACAAAGGCAGAACCATACCTGTGAAGGCGGCACCTCCAGCTGCAGCCTCAGCCGCTGCAGCACCTCTCCCAACGGGACTGCTGGCTGGAGGCAGCGAAGAGGCCAACGATGCAGCTGCTGTTGGCAGTGCTGCTATTGCACGTTTAAAGAACAAAGGCAGAACCATACCTGGGAAGGGGGCACCTCTAGCTGCAGCCTCAGCCGCTGCAGCACCTCTCCCAACGGGACTGCTGGCGCTACAGCCGGTGACGCAGATGCAGATTTTGTTGGCAGTGCTGCTGCTGCTGTTGCTGCGGTTGCTGCTGCTGCTGCTGCGGTTGCTGCTGCTGCTTTTGAAGCTGCTGCTGCAGCGGGGGCCTTGAGTGCTTGCCTCAGGGCTGCTTCTGCTGCTGCCACCAGCGCCTCATCTTCTGAAACTCTGAGAGCAAGATAAGGCGGACCACGGAGTCGTTTAAGTCGCGCGACCACGGAGGCGGGTTAGCAAGAGGACGAACAGACCACGGAGGGAGGCGTTTTGAGAGTGAGAGGGGAGTCTAGTTTTGAGGCGCCTCAAAACCAGACCACGGAGGGAGGCGTTTTGAGAGTGAGGGGAGTGTGTACACGGGAAATCAAGGCAAAAAACCAAGGGGAAAAACGCCTCCCTCCGTGAGGTTTTTCCGAGAGGTTTTTTTGGGGAGTGTCTGAACGGGAAATCAAGGCAAAAAAAAAACCAAGGGGAAATATCCGCACGGACGGATCAAACTTCCAACATGCTGTGCAGGAAGAGCAAACGCATTCAACTCACTTTGATTGTCAAGAATTAGAATCTTAGTTGCTACAAACGCGTTTGGCGTTTGAACGCTAGCGTTCAAACGCTAGCGTTTGAACGCTAAACGCTTGTCATAGTGTATGTGAACGCTAGGCAAACGCTTGCCCGGGCAGGGCTAAAAATTTTGCCCGGGCAGGGGTAAAAATTTCCTGTGGGGGGGTGGGAAAATGGGGGTTCTGCAAGCAACCATTTCGTCCAAGAAAAATAAATCCGTCATGAACATTTATGGGCGCTCGCCCAGAAAAATAAATCCGTCATACTAGAACGCGGAAGTATTTATAGACCTCATGGTTCAGCAACATGCGGACGCTGTAACAGCAACATCCGCATCGCTCTCAGGGGTTCATATGGGAGAGCGCCCTTAAATTAAGGTATTGCGTGGGGTGTGAAAGTTGCTACGGCTATGGCGCGCGGCAATTAGAAAGCACATCTGACGCGGGAAGGAGATTGGGAGTCTGCGTGAAACTACGAGATGTGAGGAGGGGGGGTTGGAAGCTCTAGTTGACGATGTGTGGAGTGCGGTTGGGGGGGGGGAGTTGGTTGGGAGGTGAATATTGACGAGATGGTTGGGAGTTGGGACTTGGCGAATGTCGCGCTGAATTCGCCAAGTCTCAATTTCGCCCTAATCTTTTTCGATTTTTTTTCCAGGGGGCAGCCCGAAAAAAAAACCCAGCGAGCGTTTGCGTTTTAGGGTTCGTTTGGCGTTTGCGTTCAAACGCAAGCGTTTGAACGCTAAACGCGCGTCTGCCAGAGCGTTTGTAGCAACTAAGATTAGAATTAGAAACTGAACTGACCGATGAGGAAAAGCAGCGTGCCTTGTGTATTTGCCGACCCACATGGTGACTATGGTGGGGGGGAGAATGACTCACATGGTATCTATGGTTGAGGGGGGAATGACTCACATGGTATCTATGGTTGGGGGGAGAATGACTCACATGGTATCTATGGTTGGGAGGAGAATGACTCACATGGTATCTATGGTTGGGGGGAGAATGACTCACATGGTATCTATGGTTGGGGGGAGAATGACTCACATGGTATCTATGGTTGGGGGAGGATCACGGTGGAGGTAAAGGCTGCAGCCTTTGATGACTGTGGGAGCGATAGGCCCTGAAAACTTGCTGTGTCGCCTGGGGTATCGCCCTTGCGGCTGCTGCTTGTTGTGTTGCTGGTGCCTTGGGTGTTGATGCTACTATTGGCATCGATGCAAATCGACCGGATTGCGAACTGCCATCGCACATGCCACATGATACACCGTTTCCTGTGATGTGCACATGCATGCACACACACACACACACACACACACACACACACCCCCTCAGCACACACGCACACACGCACACACGCACACACCCACACACGCACACACGCACACACGCACACACGCGCGCGCGCACACACACACACACACACACACACACACACACACGCACACACACCAGTGCGTGCGCACTCACGGAAACACACACACATCCCGCCCCCCGATTCCTTCTTCCGCCCTCCCACACAAACGTGCTCAAACACATGCACCCGCAAAAACAAGAGGGCAGAAACGAGCCTGATCAGTATCAGTAGCAGCAGCAGTCAACCACTTGTCGCACCACCATGGCTGTCAGTCAGTACGTAAGCAGGTGCGGTGAGCTTGTCTCACATCTCACTAGCGTGACTGTGGCAGGTTTGAGGGTGCTTAAGAGACCCAAGATTTGAGGCACCTCAAAACTAGACTCCTATCACGCGGTTTTGAGCTGAGTGGAGAAATACGCTTGGGCAGCCTAGCGTATTGCGTACATACGCTAGCGTATAATACGAATACGCTGTACGCTAGCTAAGTACGCAATACGCTAGCGTATTTCTTGGCGGGCAGCCCGGCAAGAAATACGCAAAAAAAGATGCGACAAATTTGCGACATGACGAAACCCCACAGGGATTTCGCCATGTCGCAAACCGAAATTTGGCTTTTCAAATCGTCAACCCAACCCCTTCGCCCCTCCCAACCGCACAGCATCCCACCCAATCTGCGACTTCCAAACAACACCCAAAGAAATCTCCTTCCTCTCCCTCTCTACTCTACTCCAGCAGGGTTCAGCGCAATTCACTCCTACGACGAAATCAGGGTACAAGTAAACTGGCGCGCTAACTTCAGTCATTTCTTATTCCAAGTTAGCGCGACTACCTAGCTGGTTTTTTAGCGACTGCTGCTATGTCGACCCCTCCACCTAGTCCTGGTTCCCACGGAACTGACGCGGGAACCTCCTGTGCTGCGTCTTCCTCTGACGAGCTCCTGGAGAACTCCACCCACGCTATCTTTAAGCATTTCAAGTTTAAGCATAAGGAGCACGGCAAGCAGCAAAAGTATTGGTGCAAGTACTGCCCCGTATCCTTTACCGGGACGGCCTACCGCTGCGCACAGCACATCACTAGTTGGGATGGTATGCGTAGGCGCGAGGTTCGGAAATGCGAGGAGGTAGGGAAGGAGGAGCAGGCTGCCGTCCGCGCGTTCCAAACCGCCAAAGTGCTCGCGAGGGAGGAGGCGCATAGGGCGGAGGAGTCGGCCCTCGACGCCGTTAGTGGTCGGGGAAAGCGGAAGATCACCGATTACCTGTCCGATGACGCCCAAGCGGCCAAGGCGGCGGCGGACGAGGCTACTTGCCTCCTCTTTGCCGGCCTCCGCCTTCCCGAGCGCCATGCCGACCACCCGCTTTGGCGCAACGCCGTCCGGTCCATCGCGCGCGCGGGGACCAGCTATGTGCCTCCAAAGCGCGACTACGTGGGTGGTGCCGGCTTGCAGCTATGCCGCAAGCGGATTGACGAGGGATTGACGGGCGTCATGTCGAGCTGGAAGCGCCACGGCGTGACGATTGCCAGCGACATGATGACCGACAAGTGTGGCAGGCCGCAGGCGAATGTGATGCTGGTCAATGACACCGGCGCAGTGTTCGTCGAGAGTATTGACTGCAAGATGGAGAAAAAGACAGGGGGATACATCGCCCGGCTGCTCCGGCCCATCCTGCAAAAGGTTGGGGTCGAGAACATCGTGGCATTCTGCACCGATGGCGGCAGCAACTACCACAGCGCCTGCCGGCTCCTCATTGCAGAGAATCCGCGCATCGAGCATGTGCCGTGTGCGACGCACGTGCTCGACCTCCTTATGGAGGATGTGGGACGGCAGGCTTGGGCCAAGGAGGTAGTGGGGCGGGCGAGCGAGCTCATCAACTACACCCGCAGCCACCATTGGACCCGACAGTATCTCAGGGGTGTGGACGGAGGGAAGGGGCTGCAGATGCTGAGGCCGGCGGGGACCAGGTTTGGGACGCAGCACATTGCTGTGTCCCGCCTGGTGGAGTTGCGGTCAACGCTGGTGACCATGGTGCTCTGCGATGCATGGAAGGCGGAGTGGGCGGTGGGCCCAAAGAAGGCAGCTGCAGAGACATTCCACGACAAGATCATGGATAAGGACTGGTGGCCAGCGGCTGAGCTCTTCAAGAGGCTGCTCCTGCTCCCGTTCAAGGCCATGAGGGCGACGGATTCGGCAACGAAAGGGATGATGGGCCGCATCTATGAGCTGATGCTTGAGCTCACTGTGAATGTGGCAGAACTGCTGAAGGAGGAGGGGGATGGGGTGCTGAGTGCGGGAGACAAGAAGGGCGTCAATGAGATTGTGAAGCGGCGTTGGGATGAGAGTATGGCTTGCCCACTGCACATGGTCGGGCGGATTCTTAACACGGTCAACCAGGAGGAGCGGATTTTTGGGCCGGACATGGAGTGCACCGATGTGTTCAAGGCTTTCATTGCCCGCCACTATGGCGGGGTGATGATTCCCCAGAGGGATGGCCTGCCCAAGCGTGCCACACTCCTCCTGCAGGAAGGGTTGGCCGCCTTTCTGAAGTTGAGGGGCAGCTTCGGCACGGCTGAGGCCATCAGTGACCGGAAGTTGGTGAAGGAAGGAAGTTATTCCATGGAGGCGTGGTGGGAGTGGCACGGCACTGACCACCCCTTGCTCATGGCCCTTGCTTGCCGTGTGCTAACTCAGCCGGTGTCTGCATCCAGCTGCGAGCGCAACTGGGCGGTGTGGGATACTGTCCACACCGCCCGACGCAACCGGCTGGGTTCAGAAAAGTGCAAGGATCTGGTTTACGTTGCGCACAACTGGAAGGTTGTGCACAACTGGCACATGGCCGACGAGGGGGCGGGGGTGGTGTCCGGTAACATCCCGGACGCCCCCGTCCCTGCGGGGTACAGGGTGGATCGGGAGGAGGAGGATGAGGAGGGCGAAGATGAGGAGCTGCTGGACGAGTACCTGTAGAGCAGAGCAGGAGAGGATTAGGCGGGCGGTTTGGGGGAGGCTTACCTGAGATGGGTGGTTGGCTGGTTGTTGGAGTTTGGAACCCTTGACATGCCCTTGGTGGCTTGAACTATTTATTTATTACCATGCTAAATGATGCCACATTCGGTGGGGGGAATTCGGTGCTCTGCACCCCCCCTCTTCCCTCCCCAAACAGGTTTTTTTTACCCCTGCCCGAGTTGTTTTTATACCTGCCCGCCAGAGCGTATTTCCTAGCGTATCCAATCCCATAATGAAGCGTACGGCGTATATACGCTAGCGTATAATACGCTTGCGTATAATACGCTGTACGCGTATTTCTCCACTTAGGTTTTGAGGCGCCTCAAAACGTGACTGTGGCAGGTTTGAGGGTGCTTAAGATACCCAAGAAGGCAGCAAGAGACACCGGTGGAGGGAGGGAGGAGAAGGGATGGGGAGAGGGCGTGAGGAAGAGCAGGTGAAAAAGGCGGTTTTTACAGGTGAATACGTTTTTTACAGGTAAATACGTTTTTTACAGATAAAGACGGATTTCACTGGTGAGCACCTTTTTTCAATACAGGAGAACAGGGGCTTCCTGTGTTGACCAAAATTCGTTCTTCTGTAAAAGAACGTCTTCTGTGTGTGTGTGTGTGTGTGTGTGTGTGTGTGTGTGTGTGTGTGTGTGTGTGTGTGTGTGTGTGTGTGTGTGTGTGTGTGTGTGTGTGTGTGTGTGTGCGTGCGTGCGTGCGTGCATGCATGTGTGTGAGGACCAGAACCGTACCTGTGCTGGAGGATCATCTTGTTGGCCTTGCGTTTGGCTTGGACATGCCTGGTGGCACGCAGCCAAGCCACAATACTTTTGGGAAGCCCAGGGAGCACTGACATGGGGACTAGATCCTGCTGCTACTGGTGCTGCAAGAACGTATTGTTTGCCTTGCGCTTGCACATGCCTGGGGGCATTTGGCCGGGTTGACTGTGGGGAGGATTGGAAAGGTGGGGTCTGTGTGTGTCGGAGGGGACTAGCACAGTACCTGTGTTGGAAGTAAGTTGGGCTTGCACTTGGACATGTATGGGCGTACCTGTACCTGTACAGGTCCAGTTACTGGAAGTAACTGTGTGTTGGAAGTAAGTTTTGTTGGCCTTGCACTTGGACATGTATGGGCGCACTCGGCCACATCAACTGTGGAGTGGGTTGGGGGAGTGGGGTTTGTCCGTGCGAGGGAACCAGAACCGTACCTGTGTTGAAAGTACGTTTTGTTGGCTTTTGAGTCGACTCAAAAGCTGTGTTGAATTGAAAGTACGTTTGTTGGCCTTGCGCTTGGACATGTATGGGGGCATCAGCAGCATTGCGGGCTCAAATTGTGCACTGGGGAAGTGCATTTTGGGTGTGTGGGAACCAGAACAGTACCTGTGTTGGAAGTACGTTTTGTTGGCCTTGCGCTTGGACATGCCTGGGGGCATCAGCAGCAGCTGCACGCCCCTCTGTCGTGCCGTCTCCTGCATGCGGTGCCAGTGCTTGCCCACCTGATACGGTAAAAGGGTTAAGGAAGAGTTGGGGCGTATGGGGCGTGGAGCAAGGGTGAAGGGAACAAAGACAGCACCTGCACGCCCTCTGTCGCGCCGTTCCTGCATGCGGTGCTAGTGCTTGCCCATCTGACAGGGGAGAAGGGGAAAAGGGTTAAGGAGGTGTTGGCGTATGGGGAGTGGAGCAAGAGTGAAGGGAACAAGGACAGCACCTGCACGCCCCTCTGTCGTGCCGTCTCGCGCATTCAATGCCAGTGCTTCCCCACTCTTGGGAAAACAAGCACTGGCATCACTGGCAGTGGTTGCACGTGAAGGTGACAAAAAAAAAAGGGGGGGGGGGAAGAGGGGGGGGGAAGCGGCACCCTCGTAAGAGCAAAGTAGCGCAGAGGCAGAGCGGCTTGGCAGCATCGGCAGCAGCTGCACCCTCCTCTGAGGTGAATTTTGAGTAGTGCTGCACCCTCCTCAAAAGTGTCGTGCGTTAAGACTTTTGAGTCGACTCAAAAGTCACCTAGTAGCTCTCAGTGGCAGATCATCAGCTTGGCGGCATCAACAGCAGCTGCACCCTCCTCTGTCTGGGCGTCTGCTGCATGCAGGGCCAGTGCTGGCTGACCTGATGCAGGAAAGAGAAGGTATATGGGGAGTGGAGCAAGTGTGAGGGGGACAAGGGCAGCAGCTGCACCCTCCTCTGTCTGGCCGCCTGCTGCACGCAGGGCCAGTGCTGGCTGATCTGATGCAGGAAAAGAGAAGGTATATGGGGAGTGGAGCAAGTGTGAGGGGGACAAGGGCAACGCGGTCTCACAGTTCGGGATTTCGCGCTTCTGGAAAATGTTGACCCGACAGCTCGCTTCGTTTTTTTGCCAGGCATAAACCAGCCCCGCAAATTTGCATACCCGATATACGTCGACATCATTTTGGCTTAAAAAAAAAGACCGGAAACAAACGATCGTACTTTTAAAACGATACCAAAAAGGACATTTCAACAGTTTTTAACCGTCTTAAACAGTCAAAAACTTCGGTACCGTACAGAATGGGAAAAAATGGAAAAAAATGTCATTTTTTGCGCCTTGCTGCACATTCACTCATTCTGCACACTCACTCATTCTGCACACTCACTCATTCCGCACACTCACTCATTCCGCACACCCACTCATTCCGCACACTCACTCATTCCGCACACTCACTCATTCCGCACACTCACTCATTCCGCACACTCACTCATTCTGCACACTCACTCATTCCGCACACTCACTCATTCCGCACACTCACTCATTCCGCACACTCACTCATTCCGCACACTCACTCATTCCGCACACTCACTCATTCTGCACTCACTCATTCTGCACACTCACTCATTCCGCACACTCACTCATTCTGCACACTCACTCATTCCGCACACTCACTCATTCTGCACACTCACTCATTCTGCACACTCACTCATTCTGCACACTCACTCATTCCGCACACTCACTCATTCTGCACACTCACTCATTCTGCACACCCACTCATTCTGCACACTCACTCATTCCGCACACTCACTCATTCTGCACACTCACTCATTCTGCACACTCACTCATTCCGCACACTCACTCATTCCGCACACTCACTCATTCTGCACACTCACTCATTCCGCACACTCACTCATTCTGCACTCACTCATTCCGCACACTCACTCATTCTGCACACTCACTCATTCTGCACACTCACTCATTCCGTACACTCACTCATTCCGCACACTCACTCATTCCGCACACTCACTCATTCTGCACACTCACTCATTCTGCACACTCACTCATTCTGCACACTCACTCATTCCGCACACTCACTTATTCTGCACACTCACTCATTCCGTACACTCACTCATTCCGCACACTCACTCATTCCGAACACTCACTCATTCTGCACACTCACTCATTCTGCACACTCCCTCATTCTGCACACTCACTCATTCTGCACACTCACTCATTCTGCACACTCACTCATTCTGCACACTCACTCATTCTGCACACTCACTTATTCCGCACACTCACTCATTCCGTACACTCACTCATTCCGCACACTCACTCATTCCGCACACTCACTCATTCTGCACACTCACTCATTCTGCACACTCACTCATTCTGCACACTCACTCATTCTGCACACTCACTCATTCCGCACACTCACTTATTCTGCACACTCACTCATTCCGTACACTCACTCATTCCGCACACTCACTCATTCCGAACACTCACTCATTCTGCACACTCACTCATTCTGCACACTCCCTCATTCTGCACACTCACTCATTCTGCACACTCACTCATTCTGCACACTCACTCATTCTGCACACTCACTCATTCTGCACACTCACTTATTCCGCACACTCACTCATTCCGTACACTCACTCATTCCGCACACTCACTCATTCCGCACACTCACTCATTCTGCACACTCACTCATTCTGCACACTCAGCTTCAACCGTTTCTGACTTGCCTATATTTTTTCTTTAAGCTTTTTTTAAAACATTCTGAATCCACTCGTTCTCCCCCGACAAAGTTAACTGACCTTTTACAAGCGAAGGAACCTTCCTTCCTTCTTCCTTGCAGCAGCACGCCTAAACCTGAAACCCCTAAACCCCGAACCCCCGAACCCTGGGCACACCTGTGCCTCATATCGGACCCCTAGCGTCATCCGCGTGCGCTTCGCCACGTCATACTGCACCAACGCATCTTCCAGGAAACGCAGGTCTGGCGGGTAGGGGGAGGGGGAGGGGAAGAAGGGAAGCAGGCGGAGGAGGGAGGGGAGGAGGATGAGGGGGGGGTAGGGGAGGAAGATGGGGGGGGGTAGGGTAGGGGAGGAGGATGGGGGGGGGGGGGTAGGGGAGGAGGATGAGGGGGGGGAGGGGAGGAGGATGAGGGGGGGGGAGGGGAGGAAGATGGGGGGGGGTAGGGTAGGGGAGGAGGATGGGGGGGGGGGGGGGGTAGGGGAGGAGGATGAGGGGGGGTAGGGGAGGAGGATGGGGGGAAGGGGCCCAGGAGCATGGAAGAAGGAATCTCAGGGGCGGCAGGGGAGGGTTGCAGAGGTTAGATTGGCAGGGGACCAATGGGATCCGGATTCGAGAAGCACACGGGTTTAAGGGGTCCTGGGTTGAACCCCTTTGTGTGCTGGGCGGCAGGGGAGGGGGGCAGAGAGTAGATGGACAGGGGACCAATGGGGTCAGGATTCGAGAACCACAAGGGTTTAAGGGGTTCTGGGTCGAACCCCTTTGGGTGCAGGGCGGCAGGAGATTTATGGCTATCGCAGCTGAAGCAGCAGATGGTTTAGGCTGTCGATACTAGGAGGTCGCATGGAGGCTTCATGCCATTAAACCACTGGGTTGAGATTAACGGCTATCGCAGCTGAAGCAGCAGATGGTTTAGGCTATCGATACTAGGAGGTCGCATGGAGGTCTGATGCCTATCAACAGAAGAACAAGGCGTGTCATCGGGGGTTTACTCGGGGAGGTCGCACCCCTAGGAGGAGGTCGCATGGAGGTCTGATGCCTATCATCAGAATCACAAGGCTTGTCAACAGGGGTTTACTCGGGGAGGTCGCACCCTAGGAGGAGGTCGTATGGAGGTCTGATGCCTATCATCAGAATCACAAGGCTTGTCAACAGGGGTTTACTCGGGGAGGTCGCACCCTAGGAGGAGGTCGTATGGAGGTCTGATGCCTATCGTCAGAAGAACAAGGCTTGTAATGGGGGGTTTACTTGGGATTTCGCGGGGTTTGGGGGGTTTGGGGGTATCACCAAAACTTTTGAGGCGACTTTTGAGGCGCCTCAAAAGGTTTACTCGGGATTTCGCGGGGTTTGGGGGGTTTGGGGGTATCACCAAAACTTTTGAGGCGACTTTTGAGGCGCCTCAAAAGGTTTACTTGGGATTTCGCGGGGTTTGGGGGGTTTGGGGGTATCACCAAAACTTTTGAGGCGACTTTTGAGGCGACTTTTGAGGCGACTTTTGAGGCGCCTCAAAAGGTTTACTTGGGATTTCGCGGGGTTTGGGGGTATCACCAAAACTCGCAACAAGACAATCTCGCTACACGGCACGGTCGAAACCTGCAATCATTACTAATGATGAGACAATGGTCAAACCTGACACTAGCTGGTTATCGTCGAACTTCGCTATAGGAACAAACTCTGCCCGGTTCCGCTTCCCCGTGCACCCGCTCGCCGCTTTGTGCGCCTTAACGCAGGGCACGCTACACGTGGCAGCAGCGCAGCCAGGACACCTGTACTTAGCGGGCTCCTGCTGACACTGAGAGCACAGCGTGCGTCCAGATCGGGAAGTATTTTCAGGCATCCCTAAAGACACAGCGTGCGAAGGTTCCGCAGATGCGAAGCCTGCGGCTCCAGCTAGCTCCGCCATAGCGAGCCCCCTGAGGCACGATTCCGCGGGTGTTCGCGGAGCGTTATGCGCTCGAGGCTCCGCCATCGGCGGAAGCAGTACTGTTCGCGGGTGGAGAAAAGTTCAGTCGCAAGTTGCAGGACACCTCGTAAGGACAGGACACCTCCTAAGGACAGGTCAAATGACACCTCCTTAGGAAACAGGTTGACTATCAGAGGTGGCGGTCTGGTCTGGAGTCTTGTGACACTGAGGGCAAAGGCCTGCAATCAGCATGAACCAGAAACTGAAGTCGAAACTGAGAGGGCGTGTTCTTACGGCGCGTTCCAGCTAGATTGTAGGTTCGGAAACTTGTTGGACTCCTCTAGACGAATACGAAACACCTGATTCATCCGCTATAGTAATGACACGCCCAACGAACTCGGTATCTGGATACGAACTTCGAGAGAGCGCATGTCCCGTTTCAATTCACTGTGCCCCATTCGTGTCGGGTGAGGGTGTTGTCCTGGAGGTCGTCATGGCAGGGTTCAATTTGATGGCTTTCATGAGCTACATTGAACCAGACCCAACCGACTTTCATCCTTTCTTACAACGAGCCTAACCAGTTCCAACACCAACAGGTAGGCACCCGAACCACCAGTCAACCTCATTCAGCACGTTTTTTCCTAGGCCGCCGCGAAGCTCCTTCCAGCTCGCCTCGCAGCACGGCACTGGCGAATTTCGCCTGGTTGCTGTGAGCCGCAAAATTTTCAAGCCACCTCATCTGACGAATGAAAGAGTTCGCAGAGCTTTTCGTCTAGTAACCATAACAGGGACAATTTTTCGGCAACAGCCCCAGCCTCCACACAAGTCAAACCAGAAGAACCCCGAGGTATGGTTTCCGGCAACGTTTCGCCAACCAGAGGTGCACCTAGGCTGACCGCACCGAAACGGTCACCCCGCCAAGCTTGCCCAAACCTGAACCGAACGAACATTCTCACCCCTCCGAACCTTGGCCAAACCTTCCGTCGCCCACGTACCGCTTGTCTCACAACCATCCGAACCTAGGCTCTTTAACAACTCCTCTTTGCGGTTGAAATGTGGTGGTGATTCACCAATGTTGTGAAATTTTCCTGCCAAATCCTATTATCTGTCTTCGGAGTCAGAAAGTCTCCAAATTCTTACCTACTAGAACTCCTCCTTGGGTGGTCAGTGGTCACCTCAAGAGAGACACACGGGTACAGTAGCATCTGATAGTCATTCCTCCCAGCTAAATCAGCTCCGGTCTTAGCCTGCCAGTTACTGACCCTTTCTTGCTCTGCAGCCATGGCGGAACCACAAGTCGTCGTCGACGGTGCTGATGGAGCTTCCGTGAATCCGCAGGTCGCAGCTGTAAAGGCCTCCCTAGCCAAAGTCTCCGAGTCCTTCCAAGCAGCGATCGCTCAGCAGCGTCCTTGGTCTGAAGTAGCAGACCGGTCTCAGATCGCGAAGCCCGAGGGTTTCAACGATGCTCTCAGCAGGATCCGAAAGAACATCGTGTATTTCAAGGCTAACTACCTCGCGATTATTCTCGGCATGGTCGCTCTCAGCATCCTGTGGAACCCCATCTCCATCTTCTGGCTCGGATTCCTCGGTGCAGCCTGGGTCTATCTCTTCATGATCCACTCACAGCCGCTGGTGATTGGTGGACGAACCTTGAGCGAAACCGAGAAACTTCTGGGCATGATCGCGATTTCTGTCCTGGTGATCTTCGGTCTGACCTCCGTCGGCTCCGTTCTGATGTCGGGAATAACTCTGGGACTCGTCGCCATCGCCGTCCACGCAGCCTTGAGAGTGCCTGATGACTTGTTCGTGGATCAAGGCCCTGCCCCTGGCACCTACATGTCGTTCCTGGGCGGAATCAACAACCCACAATCTGTGGCTGTTGGAGTCTAGGCCATTTGACACTCACTCCTGGACTTGAGTACCGTAATCTCGTCATTGCGTATGAACAAGTAAATCCAATCAAACGTGGAAGTAAATTCAACTGTATTCCGGATTTATTCAGATCATATGTACCATGTACGTAGTCCTGATTTGAGCACCTTGAAGCAATTATCAAGCAGCGAGCCTCCTCATGGAGCCTGTCTTGCTTGTTAGTCATTGTGTGTGCAAGTTTCAACCACAACTCAAGACGTGGTTGGTCGGCACAGCGAAAATGAGACTGATGTTCAAGAGATTTGGGAGCATTGCCTTTTCCACCAGAGTACACCTGACAAGCATTCAGCCTCTGATACTGCTTACTAATCAAACTGTCATTTGAAGCAGAGGAGTCCTGTAATTCGTTTGCAAGTTACACAGCGCCAGCTAACAGCAGCCAGGCTAGAGTCTCTCCCCTGCTGAACTATTCCATGATAGTGCGTGAGCGGCACCCAGCTAACAGCAGCCAGGCTAACAGCAGCTAACAGCAATGCTCCCGTAGTCTTGCTGGGTGCCGCTCACGCACTATCATGGAATAGTTCAGTAGACCTCTACTGAACTATTCCATGATAGTGCGTGAGCGGCACCCAGCAAGACTACGGGTGCATTGCTAGTTACAAGAGCACTCTGGCTTCATGATTCTGTGGTCCAGCATCTGTTATGGTTATATATTATGGCAAGATGTGACCTCTAAATGAAATCTGTAATGTAACGAATGAAAGCACAAGAACACTACGAGGGTAGGGACCCTGTGTATTTTCTCTACATCTTCTAATGGGGTCTACCCTGTTGGCTAGTATATCGCAGAACTACACCAATGGCTAAAATTCAAGCCCTACAGCATGCGCACGAACTGTTGATGCTCCGGGTGGCGTTTGTAGCGCTTGTACAGGAAGAAGGCACCATAGGCCAAGAAGCACACCACAATCAGCAGCACCAGCACCAGCGCCACAATCGCACCCGTGTTGGCCCCGCTGCTGCCGCCACCACCACTGCTGCTGCTGCTGCTGCTGCTGCTGGCACTCTCTACATTCTTCGCTGCCTGCAGTACAGATAGACAGCAGAAACACAGGTAGGGAAAACATTGAGTGGCATTCACACATGTAGGTCCTGCTGCCGCCACCACCACCATTGCTGCTGCTGGCACTCTCTACCTTCTTCGCTGCCTGCAGTACAGATAGTCAGCAGGAACAATTACGCAGGGACAGCAATCAGTGGCAGACATATGTGCTGCAAATACCACTGTCCTGTTGCTCGTCCCACCACTGCTGGAGCTACTGCTGCTGGCACTCAGCATTCTTGGCTGCTAGCAGGACAGATGTCAGGCGCAGAATGGCAGGAAAAACATCCGCAGCAGTGCAAAAGGTACCAGCTTCGGCATTAGCAGAAACACGATGCAGGTGGGTGCCGGTGCACTGGAAAAGTGGATGCATAGGAAAAAAGTGCTCAATGCTGCTGCCAAACACAAACACCTGAATATCATCATACGTCGATAGCTTTGTACGTCACTTTCCTATCCTACCTGAATGTCATTGTACGTTGCTGCACCAATCTCAAACATCTTAGGGATAGTGGCTTGGGGGCCTCCTAGCCTCTTGTCTACATGCATACCGCCTTCCTCGATTCAAGTGCACACCTAAATGTCGTTGTACGTGGCTTTATGTATCCTGCCTGAATGTCTTTGTAGGTGCACAACGCTTCATCTTACCTGAATGTCATTGTACGTCGCTGCACCAATCTCAGACATCTTAGGGATGATGGCTTGGGGAGCCTCCCTCTGGTGCGTCAGGTTGTCCCTCCAACCCGCCGGCAGAGGTCCGGGCCGAAGCATGTACTCCAGGTTCGGGTTGATCCCCTCCTTTTTGTTCAGAACCCACTTGCTCTTTTCCTGCAGGACCAGAGAGAGTGAGGGAGGGACATCGTGAGGGGAAAATAGAGAGGCAGAGAAAGAGAGTGCAAGAAGCTGAAGGTAATTTGAGTCATCCAAGGACGAGAGAGAGAGAGAGAGAGAGAGAGAGAGAGAGAGAGAGAGAGAGAGAGAGAGAGAGAGAGAGAGAGAGAGAGAGAGAGAGAGAGAGAGAGAGATTGTGAAACAATGAGGTAGGAGGTAAAGAAGAGAGGCAGAGAGAGAAAGAGTGTGTGCAAGTGGTTGCGTACTTGAGAAGCAAACTCCCAGCATGGCATATCCCAGGTCGAATCGCAGCAGGGCACATCCCACATACACATGTGCACACCCAGACACGCACCTTCCAGGTCTGGTCGATGAGGTTGTAGAACCCGCATTCCGGCGTCTGAGCGTGCAAGTGCCTCTACCCGGTCACGTTGTGGAACGACATTGTGCCCGACGCCCGAATGGGCGCCTCATATCAAGAAGTAACGACCGGAGAGGAAAACACTCGCACCTTCCAGGTCTGGTCGATGAGGTTGTAGAAGCCGTACTCGGGCGTCTGAGCCTCCGAGTCCCTCTCCCCGGTGACGTTGTTGAACGACATTGTGCCCGACGCGCCGTCGAACCGCAGGCAGCCAGAGGGCTTGTCCTTGAAGCAGTCAACGATGGCTGCTGTCGTCACATCGTCCTCTGCAAGGGGGGAGAGAGGGATCGTGGGGGGGAAGGAGAGGAATTGGAGGAAGATGAGGATCATTGCGTCCGATGCGTCATCGCAGGAAGCACAGGACTCCCAAAAGTACCTTGTGTAGCAATACGCCTCAATTTTACGTTTCAAATTCTACGTCTCGGTTGTACAGCACGAGCACTCACTGTTGACAGTGATGATGTGGTTGAACGCCTCGTAAAACGCCCAGATGGCATCCACCAGGTTGGTCACATACGCGCGAGCTTCCGTGTACTGATGCGAGCACGCCGACAGGGCAAGGCACACAGGATAGCAGGAAACACGGGAAGGAAAACGGGAGGGAGGAAGTGCAAACATGCGAGGTGAGCAGGACGAAGGACGAGGGTAGGAAGAGCCGAATTTCGGTTGTGAGGTAAGAGAAAGCATGTGTATGCACATTTGAAAATGTATTCTTGAGGCGCTTCAAAAATAGACTCCTCATGCATGTGCATGCACATTTGAAAATGTGCACATGGGAATGAGAACAATTTGCTGGAGACGAACGATGACCATCTGATTCCAGCACTAATAACCCTGCACTAGCATTTTAGAGAGGGGAACTAACCCTGGGCGACACGTCGAGGCTGAGGAGGCCTGGGTACGTCTCGTGCGACTTCTCCTTCCAGAAGTCCATGAATCGCACGAAGGGGGAAGTCCGCGGGTGGTAGTTGCCCTCTGAATTGGGGAGAAATAAGGGTAAGAAAATGCATTGTTTATTTAGTGTTTTTCTCGGGTTACGATTAAGCTCTGAACTGGAGCTTTGGAATGGGTATTCCCTCACTGAAAGCCCCGACGGAGTGACGAAACTCACTACATAGCGGGTATGGAATCACTAGCGGGAATGACACTCACTGTAAGGCGCGACGCCTATCTCGCCCTGCAGCGCGTGCGTCAGGTGGTTGAGCTCGTCGCCGTCCGTCACGAGATCGAAGGCCACAGCACCGTCGGATCCGAGGTACCACCAGGGGAATTTCGTGTAGTTCTGTTTAAAGGGTAGACATGAAACATAGGGTAAAAAAAAACATATGAAATATGAAATTCACGAGTGACTGGATTCACCAGAAATAAAACCCTCATTTTTGGCGTCATTTTTGGCGTGTATTTGTGGGCATCGGCAGAATGACCGATGCTGTCATCGATCAAGCATTGGTCTGAGACCGATGCCGAAGAAGGGTTACACGATTCGTTGACCAGACGAATTCTCACGGAAAAACATTGTTAGTTAACCGAGATTAGTAACTCTTTCGTCGCTGTGCGAGGCGGCGCGGATGTACATCTGGTGATCGAGCTGGAATCGACGCACACGTGAATTAAAATGACGCGCCCTGATCAGAGGAACAGTACATTTTTCACAGAAGACCATGTAATAAAAAAGGCAAGAACATGTCACGGTGCATGTTCGCTCACCAGGTTATACGCGGCCTTCCAGAGGTTCTCCGCGACGTTCGGCAGCGTGACAAAGACGTTGATGATGCCCTCGCCGTTCTTCACGCCGTCGAAGTACGGCTCGTAGTCCGCGGGGTTGTCGGTTCCGGGATACGCAATCTCGATCTGCGTGGCAGCATCTCCCAGCGCTCTCTGCAAGCACGACCGGAACGAAACGGGTGGAAGAACGAAAGAGTGAGCAGGATACCATCTGAGTGTCGAAGGCTCGTAGTCCAAGACTGGGTGTTGTCGCTTTTGGGATACGCAATCTCGATCTGCGTGGCAGCATCTCCAAGGGCTCTCGGCGAAAGAGATGATGAGGACCAGGTGGGAGGGATGGAAGGCGAAAGAGTGATCAGGATGGGAGCTGAGGGTCGAAAAGTAATGCTCGTGGTCCACGGGGTTATGGCCCCGGGGGTACGCGATCTCGATATGCGTCGCCGCGTCGCCCAGTGCTCACTGAAATTGGCCAGGTATGCAAAATACGATGTAAGGCTTAACCTGTTAGGGGTTCCGCTTCCTAGGGTACTCGAAATCGATTAGGTGGAAAGGAACGGGAAACATGAGAGGCGGATCTCGCAGGGCTAGCTTGAGGAGGACCCATGGCGTACCTTGAGGTCGCCGGAGAGCGCCCTCCCGTAGAGCTCGGCTGAGTGGAAGAGGTTGACATGCTTGAAGTTGAAGTACTTGATCTGCTCGGGAACAGTGTAGCAGGCGCAACAAGCAACCGGAAGGAAAACGAGGATAAGAGAGCGTTATAACGGGAAAATACTTGATCTGCAGAAGAGAATGGAAAATAGAGCAACATGAATGCTTTCAGTTAAAACGCCACCAGAGACTTCTGTAATTATAACGAGGTCGCTGCTAACATTCCATCGGGTTCATCGCGCGCGCCTGGTGCTGGTCCGCGTACACCGGGGGGGGGAGTGTGGGGTGGGAGCCAGAAGTGTCTGTGACTATAACGAGGTGACAAAATTCTCGAGATTATAACGACCAGTCCCTGCTCACTTACCACTGAGAGCATCGCGCGGGCCTGGTGCTGGTCCGCGTACACCGTGCGGAAAAAAGTGGGGAACGCCACGTCATCAGCGAACGCGTTAGCAGTCGCCGCGAACGACACGTACGGCATCCCCGCCTTCTTAAAGACCGTGTTCGCTCCCGCGACCGCCTCGGAGCACGCCGGTCCCACCACGCCCATCACGCCACCGTCCACCAATTCCTGAGAGGAATAAACAACGAATGAGTTGCGGGAAAGAAGCATTAGCAACGCAGCCGCTGCGAGCGCCACGAACGGCATCCCGGCATTCTTGAACACCGTGTTCGCTCCGGCAACCGCCTCTCGGGGTGCCGTTTGAGTCGACTCAAAAGTCATTCTTGAACACCGTGTTCGCTCCGGCAACCGCCTCTCGGGGTGCCGTTTGAGTCGACTCAAAAGTCATTCTTGAGCACCGAGTTCGCTCCGGCAACCGCCTCTCGGGGTGCCGTTTGAGTCGACTCAAAAGTCATTCTTGAGCACCGAGTTCGCTCCGGCAACCGCCTCGGCCGTGCTGTTGCGCCACGATTCTTGGCGAAGGACTCGACGATTATTGGCTGCATCCTAAACGTTATACCTGACGAAGGGCGCGGTACTCCAAGTTAAGTTTTGAGGCGCCTCAAAACTGGGCGTGGTACTTCAAGTTTGAGTTGGACGGACCTGAGCGGCGGCAGCGGCGGCTGTGCTGTTGCACCGCGAGTTCTTGACAAATGGCTCGACGGTAAACGCGCTCTCGTAGTCGGGAGCCAGCACCTCCATGGCCACGCGAACGGCGGAGATCCTGCGCGTTCAAAACAGAAAGTGAAAATACGGTTGAAATTCATCACAGAAAACTACGGTCTGTCGAAGTTTAAAAAGATTAACGTCCGCGTGGAATCTAACGTGGTTCTGGCTGAGACGCAACCAGATTCAAATCGACACATGCATACAATACCCTCATTCAATGCATAATTCATTCGAGTTCGTACGATTCGTTGGCTAGTCTTTGAGGATTTTGAGTCGTCTTAAAAATACACCAAAACATTTCATCATTCGAGTCCTCACCATTCGTCGGCCAGTCTTTGTGGAACGGCGCTGTCGCCCTCAGGATACGGCAGCAGAAACCCGAGCTTGACGACTTTCTGCGCGTGGCAAACGGATCCTAGAAGCAGAAGTAGGCCGAACAGGGTCACGCACGAGTACCGAGAAAACGGCGTCATGGCTTTGACGAGTTGTGGTCTAGTTCGCATCGATTGAGTACGAAGTTCGAGGAACAAGGGAAGGAGAGGCTAACCAGAGGAAGAATTGGAGAAGAAAGACTTTCAGTCCGACACGGCAACTGCACAGCGAGATGCTGTGTGTGAGGGTATACTAGAAGGCAGGAATCATGCCCTTCGGACAACTGATGAATGCTTCGATGAGAGCAGTCCGGAGAATTTGACCCTCGCGATTCAAGACGAGCCTCGACCGTGTGCAGCCAGCCACCTGAATTCTCGCTGAGACCTGGACCATGGATTTTCAAGCGGTGGTGTGAGTTGGGGTAGGATGAACCTGGCCGGCATGGGATACAATGGGATGGGATACGGCGAAATTGTCCCACGTTCTGCCTGTCATCTATCATCATCTTCGCCTCTGCCCAGGGCGCAGGCAGCACGCAGAAGTTCCCTCGCCGCTCAAGGCGGGTAGCAGCTGGAATCGCGCTTGAGCCGAGAGTGCAGCCATGGGCGCCCCAGACCGAAGCAGGAGGCCGTGAAGAGCGGGATAAGCTGGTGAATGGCGAACCGCGCAGCCTGTCAGGTCAGGTTTGGGTGTGACAAGGTGAGCCTCGGCAGTGGTTTGGGCAAGTTCTTGACACTCGTTTGGGTAGGTATTGTTGTTGCTGGGCTGGTTTTCCGCCCGCAGCTTTGTTGCCTTGTCGGTCAATCCAATAAAAACTTGGAGGTTCGGATATTCGTTTCCGCGAATGACAGGGAGGGAATGTCGTTCGGTGTCGGCGTCGAGGGCAGAAAATACGGAACATGCCTTGGCATCAGGTACGAGATGGCAAACAGCCGGGCATTCAAGGTTGATGCGCGGTTCGATTTCTGTGAAGTGCAGTGACCCCTGATTGAGTAGCAGACTGGTGTTCAGCTGACGAGAAATTCGGACAGGGGGAGGGAGGTGTTGCAGAACGCGAACCTGGTGGCGGGCGCCTCGTCGAGTATGACATGGCAGTTTGGCGGATCCATTACTGAGTCCTTTGAATGCTACACAAAGCACAAAAGGAATTCAGATGAATAGGTGTGGTAGACATTGCCTGATTACAATGCTGTAGAGTAGAATATATGCAGTGCTGCATTTTCAGGTGAAAATAAAAATCCAAGGGATATCAGGGCTCCACTGAGGAATAAAATCGTACTAACTATAACAGGATATATATTATTTTGGAAATTGTAAACCAAACAACACGTAGGGAAACGATCTGTGTAGAAACATATATGAAGTTTTATCAGCATAATATTTATCAAGCATACTGACCATAATCTTTGTAAAACATTGTGTTAGAATATAAATACAAAATAGTGAAAATATGAGCACTCCAACTTTTTCCACTGTAGATAGCATCCGTAGAATGACGTCAGCAATTAGCGCTCGTCTATATGGTTACGTCAGCAAGCCCTTTCAGTCACGCGAACAGTCGCGCTCTTTTCGGTAGCAGTTAGAGCGCATAGCGCAAATAGCTCAAACAGGTACATCACCGAATAGGTACTTCTAGCTTCTATAAAAGTAGCTTGTACAACTTCATTTATCAACTTGTTCTTCGGTAAATTCTTGTCAACACTTTACAAGTTCTAAGACTTCCGCTGTCTTATTCGTCTACCATTCCAGCAAAGATCCTTGGTTAAGTCTTGAAGTATCGCAAGGATATAACAGTGATTCTAGTGTTACAACTTGTTAATACTGGATGTTACTGGAGGTACTTCCAATATTACTTTCTACTTCAAGTACTTGTGTCTGCAGATTCTATACTTAGTCTCCTGCACCACCTTTCGAATTCTTTCATGGTATGAGAGTTGTCTGGAATTAAGACTTTTGTCAATTCGACTATTGTCAATCATGACTGGACCATCGTCGCTTCCATCATCTGGTTCCTCAACAACTTGACCTACGGGTGTTACGAATCCGACAGTCAATACTGGTCAAGCTGGTAACATTGCAGCTGGAAACTTTCCACTTGGCTATTCTTCAATTGGGATGCCGTAACAGCAGCAAGGTTTGCCTTCTGTGCATCCACCGGGGACTTTGTCCTGTGCACCTCCAACACAACAGCAACAAGCAGCAGCATCAATATCAGCGGCTTTCAGTGGAATGAGTATCGACGGCTCAAGCTATGCAAGAGCTGCAGCCGCTCCAAGCTCAAGTTCTTCGTTTTCGTTTACACCTGCTCAACAACAACAACTTCAATTTCTTCAACAATAGCATCAAGAGCAACAACAGTTTCAGCAACAACAACAACAACAACAACAACAACAGCAACCTCAACAGCAGTTTCTGCAGCAGCAGACTACTCTCACTGGTTCTGTCTTTCAAGCACCGAATCTTTTAAGCTACACACAGATCACGACAACCGTACCTTTTAATGGCGTTGACTTCTACGCCTGGAGCTTCGAATTCGAACTTCTCACGAAATCCGCGGGATTGTGGCCGTTCTTCAGTGGCGATTACTCTTATCCTGTTACGGGAACACAGATGGAACAACAAAGTTTTCTTCATGCATCACTCAGAGCTTACACCGTCCTTATCCGCAATCTGTCGCTGAAAGAGCAGCTCAGTATTCGCTCTCTTCACACCAGTCTGACTCAGGCAGAATCTGCGTGGACATATTTGAAGGGGTTGTATATGGCACAGGACACAATTTCCGTGAGTAAAATTCTCTCACAACTGACAACTGTACAGATGCAGGGCAAAGAGAACGTTTCGGATTATGTCAACAGGGCTCGAACACTTCGTGATCAATTGGAAAAGTACGGCGGATACTTTCCAAAGGACATGTTTATAACAGTCCTTCTTGCCGGTCTTGGAGCAGAATGGCGGCAGTGTTGATCCCTCCTTCGTCTTCAACCAAATCTTTCGGAAGCAGAGATCTGCTCCATCCTTCAAGCAGAGCAGTAAGATCTTGACCTGCAAACAGCACGTAACAAGAAAGGAGCAGTCAATATCAGTTTTTATACAACACCTACGAAACGTGTCAACAATTACTTCTGCCACTACTGCAAAAAGGATGGACACAGTATCAAATTCTTCAACAAGCTTCAAGCTGAGAGGAAAAGAGGGGGACAGCAGCAGTCGCAGCAGTTCAAGCAACCCGTGAAGCAGAATCCACCGACAACAACTCCTGCAATATCAGGAAAACAAGTCTTCAGCTGTTTTACAACAGTTCATGCAACAGAATCAGATTTCGACGATGACGACGACCAAAACTTCAACGAGCAACCTGAAAACATGGTTTTACCTCAAGTATATGCTCACCTTGCTCGGTTTATTGCCGGACCGAACACTTGGTATCTTGATAATTGTTGTGGACAACACATGTGCTCTGCCGAGACGCTCTTCGTTACTCATCAGTGTCCACTTCGTCGTCCAGTACCTGTCACAATGACAAATGGACAAACGATAATGGCAAAGTCAATTGGAAGCGTCATGTTGGATTCAGTCGACACAAGATTTTCCTTACACGTTACGAATGTACTGATCATCGAGGGACTTGGTTTTAATCTTCTATCAACGGCTCAACTCCTGCAACATAAGATCCGGACACAAGGAAACTGTGAGACAATGGACCAAGAACTTTATCATAATGATTCAAATACTTACATCGGGAGAGCCGCCACTCAGTATGGGGTCTTCGTTCTTCAATTCGAGTCACAAGGGACTACTGGATCTTCTGAGAGAGTGTTATCTCTTGGACCTTGGCGACATCCTGAAGAAACTGACTTCCAAAACGTTGACATCGACTTCCGAGCAACTGCAGTTCCAATAGGTTCTCGTACAGCAGCAGTGGTTATCACGCCTCTTGATCCCTGACAAACAAATACAGCAAAGGAAGACACATCAGCATGGAGGAAATAGTATGATGCTTTACAACAACTTGAAAATAAACCTACAGCACTTTGGGGGCCCAGCAGCAGCAGTGAAGCAAAATAAGCGAAGCAGCAGAGTAGCGGTGAAGCAGAAACAGGGATTCTCGTCGGTCAACCTGCAGCAAATTCACAAGAAACAGAAATCGAGGAAGGGGAATTAGTTCTTCAACCGGAAGAAGTACTCAAAGTGGAAATTACAACGATAAAGTTACCTCTTAATCGCTTCGTTCCTGGCGAACTCGACGCATCACCCGCGATTTCTCCTTTCATCGTTTCTTCTTTTTATACTAACGCTGATTTTTATCTGCGATCAACACGACACAAAGCACCGAAAGATATCTAGCATCAGAGGTTAGGACATCCTTCACCGGGAATTCTTAATCATACAATCCGAGCTTCAATTCTTGATAAAAACAGTTTACTCTTACCGGATGGTACAGAGATGAAGACGTCTTCGCGACCAGCAGTCTGCACAACATGCGCAACCGCCAATCTTCCGCACGATCCTTTTCCGAGTCACTTTCCAGATTCAACTCGCTACAAACTGATGCAGAAAGCCTACTGCGATATAATAAACTTACCAGAAGCTGGACCTAAGAGGGAGCTTTATATGATTTCGTTTATCGAAGCTTCTACTCGATACGTTTGGAGCGTCAACATACCAGCTCGGCATATGGCTCATGCTATCTTCGTCGCATGGCTCGCGGTGGCTGAAGGAGAATCGAAGGAGAAGCTGCAAGAATTTTAGAGTGATGGCGCAGGGGAGTATACGAGCACAACCTTCACAGATTACCTGCAAACCCTCGGCATCAAGCGCAGGTTGTCCCTGGCACATCAACACCAACAGATGGGGGTAGCAGAAAGGATGAACAGGACTCTACAAGAGAAGATGCGAGTCCTGCTGACTTAGGCAGCATTGCCACCTCATTTGTGGACTTACGCTTTGGACCACACCGTCCTTCTGCACAACTTGTTGTCGACAACTTCTCTTCCGGAAATTTCTTCGCCACACCTGCAGTGGACAAAAACAGTGGGCAACACAAAACTTTTAAGAGTTTTCGGGTGCATCCTTCAATATCGACCTTCGACAGCAGCATTCGGGATACATCTTGGCATCGAGAAGCAGTTTTACGCGTGGAAAATCATTGATCTTCGCACGAGTCAAATCGTAGCAGCACATGATTGTCTTTTCTACGAACGCCTAACCTTACCTGTTTTTCGTGCTCACCAAGCAGAAGCTGCAAATCCCACCAGGCTGTTCGAGGGCTCGCGTGCATTTGCCACCGACGACGCCGAAACTGATGTACAGGACGAGTCCGTGGCTGAATCCTCCGAAGCTGCCACAGACGTCTCCGTGCCAACCACGTTAGCTGGAACTGCGGAGTTTATTCCACTCGTTGACGCTGACCCTGAAGATGTTCGAGATGTTGAACTTGATTACGAACGTGACCGCCAACAGCAGCCCATGCCCGTTGTCTCCGAAGCAGCGATACGTGTCACACCTGAAGAAGTTGGGGGAGAACAGGGGTCAGAATACAACTTCTCCGGTGTCAATTCAAATCGTCCGCGTTTTACAGAAACTCGTTTAGAAGTTTTGGGACTTGCAGTTGCAGTACAGACAAACAGCAGTAACATTTTGGAATCGAAAACAGTTCGTCGAGCTTTGACGAGTTAACACCGAGAGAAATGGCGCGAAGCCATGGATCGTGAGTTAGCAGCTCTGGAAAACAGAGGTACATGGGATTTAATCCCGCTGACAGCAACAAAGGGGAGTAAAGTTCTTACCGAGAAATGGGTTTTCCGCGTGAAGACAAATGCCGATGGCTCCTTCGAGAAATTCAAAGCACGATGGGTCGTCCGCGGCTTCGAGCAAACATTCGGACTTGACTATGAACCCACTTTTGCGCCCGTCGGCCGACACACTAGTATCAGAATTCTTCTCAGCATCGCGGCCTACCGGAATTTCAGACTTTGTCAAATCGACGTCGCCAACGCTTTTCTATATGCGCCTGTCGACGCACTAATTCTGGTCGAGTATCCACATTCTTACGAGACTAATCCTCCCAGCGTGTGCCGTCTCAGAAAATCGCTCTACGGCATCAAACAGGCACCACGACTCTGGCAGCAGTATCTACTGATTCTGGTGTTACAACTTGTTAATACTGGCTGTTACTTGAGGTACTTCCAGTATTACTTTCTACTTCAAGTACTTCTCAAATCGACAACATCAGTTTTCGGTGCCTCCAGTACTTGAAGCAGAAAGTAATACTATTGTCAATCATGACTGGACGAAGTCCACGGTGGATGCACAGAAGGCAAACATTGCTGCTGTTGCGGCATCCCAATTGAAGAATAGTCAGGTGGAAAGTTTCCAGCTGCAATGTTACCAGCTTGACCAGTGTTGACTGTCGGATTTGTAACACTCGTAGGTCAAGTTGTTGAGGAACCAGATGATGGAACCGACGATGGTCCAGTCATAATTGACAAAAGTCTTAATTACAGACAGCTCTCATACCATGAAAGAATTCGAAAGGTGTTGCAGGAGACTAAGTATAGAATCTGCAGACACAAGTACTTGAAGTAGAAAGTAATATTGGAAGTACCTCCAGTAACAACCAGTATTAACAAGTTGTAACACCAGAATCAGTATTACAGCCTTGCGATACTTCAAGACTTAACCAAGGATCTTTGCTGGAATGGTAGACGAATAAGACAGCGGAAGTCTTAGAACTTGTAAAGTGTTGACCAGAATTTACTGAAGAACAAGTTGATAAATGAAGTTGTACATATCAGAATTAGAGAAGTGAATGATAGAAGAGTGAGAGTACACACAGATATACCTAAGTGTTGTACCCTCTAAGAGGTGACCCTATACAGTCTATACAAACATGACAAATACAAATGTTTGACACACCCCCTAGACTGCATAGGGGAATGTCCTAAACAAGCAGCTCAGGGCGGCACTACTAGTCCAACCTCTGAGACAAGGGTCTAAAGACTAGTCAGAAGGGGTAGAGACAAGGCAAGAACAAGAGCAGGGCGGCACTACTAGTCCAGCCACTAGGAGAGGACACAAGTCCAGTCTGAGTATACATATAAAGGACAGTACAAAGTTAAGGTCCTAGCAAGTGAGAGGCTACCGGAACTAGACCAAGCTGTACACAGTGCCGCTGATGATCTTTAGGCGCAAGCGCCTTCGTAAAGATATCAGCCGTGTTGGCACTTGAGGCCAAGTGTACTACGCGAGCCTGACGTCGCTGCTGTAGCTCACGCAGGTGGAAGTACCACAGTTGAATGTGCTTCGCTCTGCCCTCGAGTCGAGGCTCCTGACACAGGAGGATCATGGCCCTGTTGTCAGCGAACAGGACCGGGGCAGAGCTAGGCCGCTCACCTAAGTCAGAGAGCAAGAAGGTCAGCCAGCGGAGCTCCTGTGCCGCCATGGCACCAGCGTAGATCTCAGCCTCACAGCTGGACTGCGCAACAGACGAG